CTGTTAAAAACCAAACAAAGTAATAAGGTCTTTGACATCACAGATCAGAAGCTTTATTGCTCATAAGACGGCTAGAAAAAAAAGTTGGCTCAGATTTTCATTAAAAAGAAAATGATGAAGTAAATCGTTGAGTTTCCATCGAATGCAGGTGAAAATTGTCCAATAATTAGTAGTACAACACCCGCGTCGCTCTAAATTCAAGAGGTGTAATCTACCATCTTGTCCTTGTATTCGTCTCATAACAGTCGGCTGCAAATACGTAAGGCGAAAAAATAGTGGCACGCGTGCGGCTGTAACGCCGGCTGCAAATGCGTAATACCTCCCTACGAAAAAAAGATGAATAAAGAAAGGACAGATGTTAGGCACGCATATGCCCGTCTTAAAAATGTCGAGGCCCGATCGAAAGCAAGAGAGGAAATAAACGCGAGCAATGAATTTTTTGGCAGTATGTGTGCGCACTATTGTCAGAAAGCAGATGTTACGTCTTTAATATGCAGTAATATTGTACCGGCGCATGCAGCCGCGCTCCAACACGTATGCAGTAAAATGGGCCAAGAAAATTTTTTTTTCTTGCGCTACGGCGCGGTAACTGTTCGGCATGAAGTTTGCACGGACCATGTATTTTTATACATGCAGTTCTCTATTCGCTTACGTATTCGTTTATGCAAATGCGCCTAATTGGGTAATAAGCAGCTTAAAGGGTGCATCTTTATTGCTACATAGAATCGGACTTTTTTTCCACCCATGAATGGTATACATTTCAACCATATTTTTCCTGAAATTGGGATTCATATGTGATAATTCGACAAATAAACAAAGCAAGTCGGTAAAAATATTTTGTATTTGGCCTCCGCATTATAGTTGCACAAGAGAATGCGATAGCGAAGCGTCCGTCCAGAAGACGGACTTAAAACGACGGGAAACGAGAGACGATTGCTGTTTTGTTGTCGCAGCTATGGTGATATTTTAAATTTACACGCGGAAACTGACAGATAAGAACATGTGCTTGCAGTGCGGGACAATTCCTCGTTTCATAAGCTTCTGAAACGAGATACTTGTATCGTTGAAAATGCGAATTTACAATAGGGTTTTCAACGAGTGATTTAAACGAGACGCTAATAATGATTCGGAAAAATGGTTAAGAGATTTCCAGCTAGATTCAGCCTTATCTAATTAAAAAGCCATTGTTTTGCAAATGCAATGGTTTTTCTTTCAAAGGCGCGCGCGTTCGTTAATTAGGCCGCGCGACCACTGTAACACTTTTACTCTTTATAAGAATTATGGCACTATAAATAATACAAGTGGCTTTTATGATCTCTGGGTATGCATTTCTCGCGAAGCCGGTGCAGTACGAATACTTTTCGAAGAAATCGTCGGTGGCAATCTTTCTCACTCGATATTTAAAAAACAATGGCTGCAGAGCGAGCTGTAGCGCGCCAGTCCCCGAGCGTGCGATATGCGAAATATTGTGTACGATATTTCCCGTTGCAAGAGCGAGCAGTGCAAGGAAAGCAAACGATGCAGAAAAGGAGTGAAAGAGTAAGTGAAGCATAAGCCCAGAGAGAAAGAGAGAGAGAGAGAGTCAAGAATAAAACAAGTCAGAAAAAGGAAGTAGCGAGCGAGTGGAACGAAGAAAAAAATACCCAAGTACGCGTACGAGGGACGAGCATACCGTATATATACAAGTGAGAGAACAAAGAGAAAAAGGGAGAGAGAAGCATGTGCAAGGTCTATAAACAAACGCGTAAAAAGCGCATAAAGCAAGCGCGTATAAACTTTTCGACCACAATCCTGATTGAATACGTCACTTGGTAGCATATTACTTTACCTACGCGAGATTTCTGCCATTAGATTCCTGCAGCTTCGGAAAGAAGACAAAATAATATAATCCAAAGGGACATAAAGCAACCACTCTTCAAGTACAATACCATTTTTAATATTTAATTTCAGAAACACTTGACTACTTTTACTTTTTTTTTGAGAATTCATCAAAGATTCCTTTCTTTGCCCAAAGACATTTATTTCGTCAATAGAATTTCTATAGCGGAAATAATAATTGAAAAATATATTGAATTTGCCTCATAGGCACGCGTACAATTTTTAACAATTGTCATTAAATTAATTTACATTTTCTTTTTATTTAAAGATTTTAACTTTAAATATAACATTTTTTATCTTTAGAAAATAACTCAATTTTGTTTGAAGATTTACCTATTTATGGGTACGTTGATAATGAAGAAAGTCTCCAAAGTTATCGAAGACGCGAATATCGTCCATCCGATATCTTTATGTGTATGTATCTGTGTGTGCACGAGTATAAATTGTAATACCCTTGAACCTTCTCTTTGAGCAGACGATCGCGACGTTGCCGCTTACCGAACCTTCGCCAGCGAGTGCTTAACACGCAAGAAACAAAGACAGAAAAGTGCATGCGCCCACATACATGCATGCAACAAATTCAACTGAATAATTTTTTTTAAAATGTTCTCTCAAAATCTTTGTTCAAAATACGAGTAAAGGTTTTTTGTTGCATTTAACCAGAATAGCATTAGAAAATTATTGAAGTGTTTTTTTAGGCTTTGTTGAAATACAAATGTAGCGCCTGACGAATGCAACCATTTCATTGACATCGTTTGCTGTATGGAAAGAAATGCATCGTCCGATTCAAACATTTTAACCGAATCTCACGAATTTCAATTATCAACCTACGGAACGTAACGTATTATTATTAATTTTATTTCAAGAAAATTTCAATTTTTCAACTCGATAAAAAAAATCTATTCTAAAATATCTATTTTAGAGCATATGTATCGGGAAAAATTTTAAATTAAGTAATAATTACTGTGGGTATGACATTTAAAAGGTTACTAATAACCGTTATGTGTCAGTCGATATAATAATTTCTTTTTCTCGCTTGTCTAGTTCACTACATACAGAGTATTGATATCACGTTATAAGCCCCTATGTTAGGTCAATTTACTTCAATCTTGGCATGTACGAAGCTTAATGCATCAAAGTCAGTTACGGATCAATGCGACAATTTCGAGTTCAGTGACTCGATGATGTGTCATACTTTGGACTAATAGAACGATAAAAGAAAAATTATGATCAAATTATAGGGTCCCTTGGCTTCGCATTATTCGAGCAACGTGAAAAATAAAAAGAATTAACGCGTTCGCGGTGGCATATAGAGTTTCAGACGTGTGAACATTCATTGTGTTTTTTGTCAAATGTTTGTAGGATCCTACGTATTAAGACTCCTGTAAATATACTGCTGCTTACAGAATCTTTTTTTTACTTTTCTACGTCAATTTTCATTTTTTGTGCCTTGAATAGGGCTCAAACTGTACGATGAATGTCGATTTTTGCGGCGCAGTGCACAAATGGGTGAAGTACACGATGCGCAATAGCAAAACTAACTGCTGATGATGCAGATGCAGTAAAGAATACAAGAATATGTAAGGAGGGTTGTTTTTTAGAGTTCGTTCGAGTGCGAACGCTGCGAAGATAGAGAAAAGAGAAATCGCTGATGCCGAGAAAATAGGTTTCCAGAAAATGTGAGATCGGCGCTTATCAAAAAACGATGTAAAGGATGATATTTTTTCATACTCATTATGAACATGTATTTTATTAATCAATAATTTTGAATAAGTGAGAAAAGGGCCCTAGTTGCAATTGGTTACAAAAAATTACAATCACACCCTTAGCAAAAAATCGCATGAGATCAAAAGAAAATCAAATAGAACAAACTCCCTGTTTACAATACATTGGCACAGTACGAATTCATAAGCGCACGAGTAACGTAATTGCGTTATCCTTGTCATTTTCATTCAAATTGAATTTCACTCGAAGAAAGAACTAGAGGGAGATGAAAAGAGAAAGTGAGAGATGTAAAATAATTACCATAGAATAATTGAGCGGCAAGTGAATTCTATGTATCTATCGCTTTATACGCTAGTGCACTTGTTCGCTCCTACAGCACAGTAGTACATATATATTGAATCGCCCAGAGCCATTATTAGCGACATAAGCCGAAAACGTGAAAAGACTCCAGGAGAATGAGTATGAACGAACGTTGCATTAGGGGAGTCTCAGTACATCAGACCCGATGTACACATAAACGAACCGAGTGAGAAATCGAATTCATTATACATAAGGGTAAAGGGAGGGTAAATTACGTCAGCCCAGCGTCCACTTGCAGCAGTTGCTATCGTTCTCTCTCTCTCTGTTTTTCTTTTTCCATGGTGACATGTGCCACACCGCTGCACGTATTGTATTTACTCCATGTTAAAAGTCTGCTACGCGATCGATTCGTAAATTGTATACTTGCATAAGCTGGCAACAGCTGACCATACACCAAATTCATTTCATTTTCCTCTCATGACGTATGCCTGTACATAAATTATTATTAAACGCGCGCTTTCGATGCCAAACAAAGAGTATCTTTAATTTTTACCGTTAAATCATATCTATTTTTAACTTATTATTTAGAGTCTCACGTTTAAAGATCGGTTACAAATTTTGTTCTAAAATCTGAACGAAGTAATGAAAACTGTGGATTCGCATTGTACTAGCTTTCTCTAGTTTTCACAAGCCGAAATAGCTCAGTTGGGAGAGCGTTAGACTGAAGATCTAAATGTCCCCGGTTCAATCCCGGGTTTCGGCAAAGATGGATTTCAGAATCATTTTTTATTGTTTTCATCAAAGGGACTAGTGTAATGTGTATTTGTAATTAGAAACTTATGATCAACAATCATGTACACATTGAGACTAAAGACGAATTGAAAGATGTATTATGTAATTTATATAGAAACACTGGTGAGCAACCCATGTCTCAATCTACAATGTTTCGAGTATTTTAAATGAGGCAGGCTTACAAATTTGGATACGCACATCGAATTTTATGAAAAAAATGTTAACGCAAACAAAAGGGTTTTCACTAAATTTTTTGGGGTTCTCTAAGACGGCGATTTAGATTTATCGGAATGTGAAAAGCTCACCTCTCTGCTCTTGAAAGTTTGCAGTGTTCGTCGAGAGTTTGAGTCGAAGTCGTTACTAGTCGTGGCGATCTCACACTTTTATCGATTGTTCCTGGAAAAAAATACATAAGTTTAATAAAGTTTCACTAAAATAAATGTCAGTTTTTTTCAAAGTTTCTATAATAAATGTTAATAATAATGGTCAAATAAAAAATTATTTCGAATCATTATTATCATTCATTTTAGGATTGGTTTCCTATCGAGGATATTTTATCCATAAAAGTAGTTTCATCTCTTTCGGAGATGAAAACCCTGAGCCTCACTGTTACAGATCTTGAAAATCCAAAAAATGATCAACTATGCCGAAACCCGGGATTGAACCGGGGACATTTAGATCTTCAGTCTAACGCTCTCCCAACTGAGCTATTTCGGCTTATGATGGTATGATACGAAAAAGTAAAAAAAAAAGTAATAACTATGATAAAATTTCTTTTTTCAACGAAATTAAAAATCTTTTATGTTATTGTTGACAAATTATTGATATTTTCTTTCTAACTATAAATACTGTAGTATTGATTAAAATATAATGTATTGAAAGAACAGAATACTATAAATTGAAGTTAAAAAGCATACTTACGCGCTTCCTGTTTTTGCTGATTATCGCTATAAGTATCCAATTGAGTAATTAAGTTATAAGAGGCTAATCCTTGATGCTTCCAATCTTCGATCTCTTTTTTCAATTCATTGATAATTTCATCTTTTTTTAATTCCGGAATATTACTACTTATTTCCAGTTTCTGACGCTCAGTTTGAATTTTTTTCTGATCAACTCGATGTTTTGTATTCTTCATAATTGTTTTTTTTTTGACAGGTAAGTCATCGGGTAACTGTTGCGCCTGTACCTTTCGTCCAGTACTCGGATGACTGTGTGAGCGAGTGCGAGGATTTTTCGATGCCCCTGCCTTTTCAGATTTTTCTCTGGCCAAAAATTGTGGATAATTCCACATGATTGCCTGTAAGATAAAATAGTAATCATTATAACAAGGAATAAATATTGATAGATACTATGTGAAGTTACATTTTCTTGCTTATTTCCCAAACTCAGTGGATTCAACGTTTTCATGGTGCTGTAAATTTGCTACCTCATACAATTTTTCAATACTGGTTGCGTTCGAATATCCAAATTTATTCATAAAAATTTGCAACTATTAAATGAAAAGAATTATCGAAAAACTTCCCTCCAATTTCGTGGTCATAACCTCTGTGCCAATTTTTGCACGTATCTAAACAAATACCTGTTTTTACTTACATCGTAAACACTTGTTTACTAGATTAGGGATTCAATTTCAGTGGTTTCTATTTTTTCCTACGTGTGAATTTCAAAATAAATTTATATCTAGTCGCATTGATATGAATGGGAAAATATACCGATTGTAAAATTGACACGATCATTCTGATTTTCGATAGCTAAATTATAATAAAGGAAATTCGATTACAAACCTCACAACTGTTTGTATTTGTAGTGTAATACGCTGCAGCTGTCAATATCGTAAACTGTAGCAGTGTACGTTCATATCATTCATTCACTTTACGATGTCGCTTTTCAACTTATTTAGAGAAACTGAAAAAAACAATGAAAACTGATCCTAGCCCACGGTTGATACTGATCTTAATCTATCCTTTGCACTTGCGCGTACGTGAACTTGATTGGATTATTCAAAAACGTTGAGAACTCTTACGAATTTAGCGATTTCAGCATCAACTGTCAAGATCTGAGTGTTTGTGTACAACGCTTATAGTAGGAATACAGTGGACAGTATTGCATTTGAAAACGCACGTTTGTCGCGAATTTCTCTTGCGCACGCGCCAATTTTGCCAAAGCCTGTGCAGGTAACCGGCATCTGCTAACGGACAAAACGTAATGATCATACCTTTGCTATGCCATTTTCTAATTATCCTAGTTTATTATAATTTCAATTTATCAGACCATAAGTATTAGTCTTTGTACGCATCTAAAAATATATCATTTATGTGCATAGAAAAAAGATATAGCAATGTAATGATAGTTGGATTCAAAATGTCAGATTATTGTTTTTCAATAGTTGCGAACGAATGAATTGGACGATACTGCCTCCTTGCGGCGATTTGGCTCAAGTGTAAAAACCAAAACATTCACGTGCCGGCGAATCTTACTACGGACACTCGAGAGTTAAGTTGATGCTCGCATAGTTACTTGTTTTTGTTTTGTATATAAAAACGAATACATCAACCGCGTGTAGACTTTGACAATTTTCCTGAAACCAACAAGACATCATTTTAATTTGTTGAAACTCATCATGATGGATCGTGCATTAACGTCGAGAGACGATGTGGAAAAAGTTGTTGCCTTGGTGGAAAAGACTTTAGTGCCAAAACATTCGCAATCCATTCGTCCTTGCGCAGCAGACGATTTTAAAAATTACAAAGAAACTTTGAAATGCAATCTTGAGCTCATCAAAAACTTATTAGAAGATAAGATAATTATAAATTCTAACATAGAAAAAATTTTTATAAAAATTTTTATTATTGTTGGAGAACAGTCTTCTTTGCAACTTTGGAATGATGAAGAGCATGTACAGCAAGCTAAATTAATTGAAAATAAACTCTGTGAAATCTTTAATTGTGAAAATGTAGGAATTTGGCTTGAGAACGAAGATAATTTCAACAAGATATCTGTTGAATTACGTCCAAAACTACTAAAAGATACATGGAAAAGTTATCCAGGAGCTGTTGCCTGTTACAAATGGCTCTTGCAGACCATATCATCTTCTATGACAAGATCTCAGTTGAATGCAGTTACACCTATTCTCTCTTCTCAACTATTTTCAATAATACCTACTGCTTTGATCATTTGCGATGATTACGTTGAAGAAAACAAATTAACTGGTTTAGAATGCCTTCAAATGATTATCAACAGCTGTTCTAAGACTAGACTTTTACAAAAAGCTAATTTAGATAAAGTTATTTTTGACACTTTATTGAATATGACTTACAAGACAGAAAAAAAACCTTTATTACCTCTATACTTTTGTATTGCAGGTTTATTGGATATTTTTGAATACAATGATAAATTTTGTGAATCTAAGAAAATGTATGATTGGTCTGAAAGAGATACAATCATTCAAGTAACTATTAACCAAATGAAACTTCACTTTAACATAGAAAGTTGCGCAGACTATAGTAAATGCTTGACTTTACTTTTAAATAAATTTTCAAGCAAATGGGCACTTCAGTTAATTGAAACTTTTCATCAATTATGCGAGATTACCAACTATAATGCAACAGTTATTCCTCTAATAAATGTTATAAAAAATTATCTATTAATTTATAAACCTCAGGATCCTCAAGTGTATCAAATTCTCCAAACAGATTTGTTGAAAGTTAAACTTATGTTGGATATGCAAGAACAACCATTTGAAGAGGTAGAATCGAATCTGTCTACTTTTGAATCAATGCACTCTCTCTTGGAAAAACTTTGTCCAAATCTTGTAAAGAACTTGAACAAACTCATCTAGACAGAACTAAGTGGGTGAGTAGCATTGGTGTTGACAGTTTACATGAAATTTTGTAATGTTTTCCATTCATTCATACTCATTCATTCACACCTTCATTCATAACAGGGTCAGTAGTAGGAGCATCGGTATAAGATGGCGAGCTGCGAAGACTAGGTGTACCGACGTCGAAAAAAAAGTACGTTGGGGCGCCGGCGCGCGAGTCTTTACAATCAAATTTTAAACCGCAACCAGAGCCACTCTATATCTCCGCAAATCACGATCGCATCGAGAGTTCAGAGCCTGAAGGAATAGTGTATAGTGGATGGCCATTACTGGACGTCGGAGCTCGCGCGCAGCTTCTAAAACCCTCCCCACGCACCGAACGAAAACAAAAGGAACAAAATGAGGAATGTGCGTGTTTATACGTATATACCTGTACCACACAGGTATAGCGTAGCATATACCAAATGTGATGCGAAGAAAGAAAGAGAAAACGAAAGAGAGAGAGAGAGAGAGAGAGAGAGAGAAAGAAAGAGAAAGAGAAAGAAAGAAAGAAGTGAAGCGGCGCCCGGTATGTGTCGTTTGTGCAGTGCTGCTGCTGCGTTTGCTCAACGAAAGATCGCGTGTGTGCCCAAAGTACGTAGGCAACAAGTACCTGTCTGCATTAAAGTTTACATTACTCAACATTCTTGGAGTTTGCGATACGTGCCTCGCGATGTGTAACCGATCGCCGATAAAATAAGGCGTCGCGCGCGCATTACAAAAGCTGCAGCTACACGAGAGCTGCGCGAGCGGCAAACGAGACCGGTGCATCTTTTCGTTATAGCTACCTGTTGCTTAGACGATTCTCTTTTTTTTCCCTCTGCCTCTCGTATATATGTATTTGGAGGCGGTGGTGCTGCTGCTGCTGCTGTTGTAGGGCAAACAAGAAGAGAAGAGAAGAAGTGGAAAGAAGAAGAGCGCTGCGTTGTTGTACGCTCTCGGCGTTGCGAAAAAGAGCGTGTGCAGTAGTCGTCGGAGCGATTTGTTTTGCTTTCCGAGATAGAAGAAACATAACGTGCAAGTTCGTCTCAATCAAGTATTTAGGGCCCTGCGGAGCGTAAGCGATAAATGATAGTCCGACTCGACACCGAGGCGGAGGCGGCGTCTTTCGCTGACCAAGACGACGATGGCAGCGTTGAACAACAAGTCGCAGGAATATTGCGAAAATCGAGATACGACTCGCAGGACCCTCGACCTTGTATTCTATGGTCTCACTATAGCACTCTTTGCTGCTACCATTGTCACAGGTTAAACCAAGTTTATTTCTTTCTTCTTCTTATCTATACATTTTTTTTCAAACAAAAAAACAAACTAAAGCATTTAATAAATAACGTTTCACAAAACTTACAAATGTTTTTTTATTTTATTTTTTTTTTTTATTTTTACTGCTGTTTAAAAGTTCTATAAACCCTATGTACAATTCATTTAAAGTCAATGAGCTAAAAGTCAATGAACAACTTGACATTTTAACTAGATAACATTTGAATTAAAATATTACACGTATATACAATTCTTACAATTAGTGGCTATATTAGCACACGAATCATGATTAAATTTAAATTAAAATACTATACAATTACACGTATATACAATTCTTAAAATTAATAGCTATATCAGCATTCTTATTGGTGAGATCATTGCATATTATTTGAATACATGGTTCTATGTTTTGACAGATCTCATTGCGGTGATTGAACATTGGTTTGATACAAATAAGTCATGGGCTTATTGTACAGCTCTACTGATTCTAGTGCCATCGTTCTTTCTCCAGTTACTAAGTTTAAAATGGTATCAAACAAATGGAAAATTGAAGCTATTTCAATGGATCTCACACATGTTTCACTTAGCAGTAATACATAGGTATTTATTCAGAATATTCCAATTTGATTTGGAAAATTGTTAAAATTTATTCTGTTGGCAGATTTTATTTCTTACTCAACTCTGTACTAAAGTCCATGAAAAGTAAAAATACTTTAAAAGAGAAAGACTGGATTTTTCGATTAGAAAATGAAGCCTTTACATTGAATCTATTCACGTCGCTGCTAGTAGCAGTCCCTCAAATGATATTTCAACTCTATACTATGGCCGTATCTCAACGCGTCACGTTTTGGACAAGTAAGTAGATATATAAAATTTATTCATGCGCATAGACTTCAACATCTTTTTCAGTGTCCGAGTCTTTCATCGAAAATGAGTAATATTCATCGGGATGATATTCAAACAAGATAAAGTCAAGCTTGTAGACCTCGTACACTTGGCGAAGTAGCTTGGTGGGCACTTGTTTAAAATAATACTCCTTGACTTTTTGGGACGTTGAACTTTTTGGGTCGTTCTCGGGAAGTGGCGTGAGTGGGTAGGGAAAGCCGTGCTTATGCATACCGGTTATGAAGAGGTAGAAGTTGTATTCATCCACTAGGTTTTCGAATTTCATCACGTAGTCGTACTTGATCGTGCAGGGATAACAGGTCGAGTTATAAGGCGCCCAGTAATCGTCGGTTTCTTGCTCGTTGACGATGAAGTTCAAGAATTCAGTGAACGTCGGCTCGGCTTGCGTATGTTTCGACGACTTTTGACGATACTTCTCCACGATGCGTTTACCAAAACGTTCGTAGTAATACTCTTGGTCTTGTCGATTTTCCAACTTGTGTCTGTAAGCCGATAGCAGTCGCTCGAAAGGATGCCTCACCACCATAAGGGTCGCCATCCCGGTGGCTCTCTGAAGTAGATTGATTTTCGGCATTAGTAGTACGATCGTGTAGCAAGGTAAAAGGGACAAGTTGAAATATTTACCTTCCTCATTTGGCTGACAGGATAGGTGAGTGTATAGCGTCCCTGGATGATCGCCTCTAAATCCAAATCCAAAGGGTCGCTATTGCCTGTGCGCAGAACGTCGGACTTGGCGTCACCGCTGAGTATGGCAAAATTTTTCTTCCAAATGGTGCTCCCCGCTTTGTAAACCGGACACCATGCCAACGGAGGAACCCCCCTGCGTCAATTGTTTCGTAAAAATGTTCACTCGTTAAACTATGCCAATTAGCGCGCGATTAAACAAATACTCACGGGTTAATCATCATATTCATATATGGATCGACGGATGGATCCTCCGACTCTTGAAAAAAAGCCTCGGCAGAAAGGCCAGAAGTCCGGCAGTTATGCACGATATTGTCTCTTCTCTCACCGAATATGAATTCGTAATTGTTTATCTCATCGTACTCGAGGTGATACGGTGGCTCGATTTCTTCAGTTATTTCTTCGGGAAAAAAGGGCACTTTCCCGATCGGAGAGATTTCGTACTGCGGAATTGATTCCGTATCTTGCTCTGCAGGCAACTCGGAGAAAATCCTCATCAAAGTTATCGTGCAGAAAACGAGAAACAAGATCAGTAGCTCGTTCTTAAGCTGAAAGTAAGCAGAGAAAAACGGTCAGATTCGCGCGGGAAACTTCATCTCCAAACGATCGTCGTCGTGATCGTTGGAACTTTTACCCCCATTTTGGCGTCTTTTATGGCGTAGTCGGGCGAGAGATCGGATCGGTTCTGGAAAGCGTATGGACGATCGGTAGCAGAAGCGCTTCGTCTTCGAATTCGGTGCACTCGATGAAGTTTCTCGACGACTCTCGTGCGATTTCCTTCAGACGCGCGACATCAGCGGGCCGTGATCCAAACTCTCGTGCTCTGCCTCTGAACGCGCACGCGACTCGACTGACGAAGCGCCGAATCGGCCGATCCAATGTTTACGGTCACTCGCGCTGTTCTCATCCGCGCCGCTCTACATCGCAAACAAAAACAAACACACATGGTTCTCGTGATAATCGAGCCGTCGCATGTTGAACTTTGAAATTTTGTGACACCCCTATGTATTAAATGCGAACCATAATGTTGCACGCTGCGGGACTGCACCTCTTTCGTGTGCCGAGACCAACTGCCGGCGAGATAGCAATATTGCACGGCACGATACACGACGCACCAGCTAGGTACAGCTACTTATTCGGCAAATTTATGCGAGGCCGAACCGTTGCTTCGCTTTCGCCGCTCTTCCGATCTCGATTTTATTCATACGTATAGGCGCGTAGACAGCCACTCTTTTCCATACTTTGCGTCCGAGTTTTTGTCGCGGATTAAGCCATACAGATTTGATTACGAGCAGGCTAAAAATTCGTACGGAATGAGCAAACTAGTTTGACCACTTTCTCGGAGCATCGGAACGAAAGAAATTTTTGGCACCCGCGAGTACACTTGTCACCTGCAAACTACAACGTTTTATAATTTATTAATTTTTCTTTCACGTGCGTCGTCCACCTTAGCACCTGTATGGTGGCACCTCACAAATTCCCCGACGTTTCTTGAAAACGAGTGGAATCACGTTTTCGCGCTCTCCGAGAATTATGCTCGCGGCTAATTTTTAAATGTCACAAAATAAGGCGAGTATACGATTCGTTGTTGGGCGCGTCGCGAAAAACGTCTGCCTCGATTAAAATTCATGAATAGTTTTATAAGCCGACCCGCTGCCGATGTACATTGTACATCCATGTAATCAAGGTTGTGCAACAGTTTTTTGTGCGTTGTTAATCGTTGCTCTTTTTATCGGCGCAGGTGCCTGCATAATATCGTCTCTGTGCTCCTTGACATGGGCCCTGTTCGCCTACTCGTTGGCCACGAGCCGCGGCAGCCACCAGGACAGCAGCAAGTCGCAGTACACGTGGTCGTCGATGATGATCCAGGCCTTCTGGCGAGGCGGCATGCTGGCCTCGAGAATAGCGGCTCTGGTCCTGGCTAGCCTCTGCTTTCGCTACTGGGTTTTCCTCATTTTCGGTAAGGCTCCTCGTATTTGTATAAAGCATAATCGCTACATCGACTCTTTTTCATCAGCTCTGCACTCGCTGGCCATGAGCAGTTGGCTCCTCCAGCAGACGACGGACTTCTGCCCGAGCATCCCCCAAGAGATGCTGTACAAGTGCCTCATAGGCTCGGTGTACTTTTTCGACTTTCTGCGACTGAGCGAGCGACAGGTGCGCTTCCGGGTCTCGCTCTTCTACTCGTGCGCGCTCATCGAGAACGTGGCCTTCTACGCGGCCTACGTCCTCTCCTACAAGCATCTGTATCCGAGCAACGTCCTCGTCGTCGGCAGCGTCCTCGTGCTGGGCGGCAGCTTCGTCGGAGCCCTCAGTATGCTGCTGCACTTTTGCATGTTTCAGCACGTCAAGACCATCAAGCTGTGCCACAGAGCCTCGGAGCTGAACAACGCGCGAGATCCCGAGCTGGCGGTGGGCCCAGCCTCGTCGTCGGCCTTCCCTTCGGTCGCTGCTGCTGTCGCCTCCGCGTCGCCGCTGAAAAAGCGCGACAATCGCGACCATCGATCATCCGAGTCGACCGACAAAAATCTCTTGCTCGACAACGTCGTCCAGCGCTCGGACTCTATCGACAAGGACGGCATAATCAACGCCAGCTTTTCCGACGAGAACAACCTCACGGTGCGGGCCGTCGTCGAGGACAACAAGAACTCCAGCCACGACTCCGTTTCCATGGAAAAGTTTCAGTGCCAGGCTGCCACTGCCACTGCCAAATTCGACGGCTTCGATCTCGAGGACGACAAGGAGCTGCTCGATACCAAAGCGCCGAGCAGCAGCGAGTCGCTCGTCAAGCAGAAGCGAAGGGGTATCTGCTCGGAGCTCGACTTGGATCTCGACTTGGAGCTCGACTTGGAGCTCGCTGATCCCGTGGCCGCTGTACGTTATTTACACCATGCACACCAATTATCGATCCAAGGAATTTTTAACGAATACAGCGTTTTCAGGGCAATCTCGAAATTCAAAAACGACGCGCCATATGCTCCTTGACGCAGTTGGGCCTGGAGCTTGTGACGGACGACGAGAACTACGTGGAGAAGAGCTTTTCGCTCGATAAGCTGAAATCCGAGTCAAACGCGTCGCTGAACGAGGACAAATCCGCCGGTGTAATCGATTCTCTGCCCGTCAAAAATTTATTGAACTCGGACAATTTGTCGGAGAGCGTACTTCTTCGTGGGAGGCTCGGCACTCCTGTGGCTTCGGACAGTAGCGAGGACGCATCGATCTCGCCCAGGGTACGCGACGACGTTAATTTCATTTTTTCGTGCGACTAACGACTTACTTTCTTGACTCCTCACGCAGTTTCCGGAAAAAAATGCGCACGTCGACAAAGTCGAAGAAGAGACAATGAGCCACGTAACGTCGGTACACGACTACGAGAACGTGTGCCCGCTGAGCGTAGCGAGGCCGCCCTGGTGCATCAGAAGTTGGCGCGGATACACCGACATCGAGACCTACATACACGACGACAGCGTCGTTCGCGATCGGCGCACGGATACTCTCACCAGCACGACTTTCAGCTCGGACTTTTCCGATGCGACTTACACCAGTCTCAGGAAGTTCATGAGAACCAGTCGGCAGGACGATTATCTCGACACTCTCATTTACGATCTGGCAGATTTGGAATCGGTCGGCAACAAAGCTGCGACGCTCGAAGAAGTCTCCAGCACGACCGACACCGCGACAACGTTACCTGAATCGATCCAAGAGACTTCTCAAGTATGTTTCTCTATTTTTAAGGTGACTGATTCGCGAGAACTGATGAACGATATTCTTTCTTTTTTCTTAGGACCGGTCTAATTTATTCTCGGCTAGACCCGTGGTGATCGACGAGCTGGGTGGCATGTTGTCTTTGGACACCATAACATCTGAAGCGAGTAGCAGCAACCTGCCAGAACTGCGAGTGAACTTGCATAAGCCGAGTTCGGTAAGTTCCCTCGTGGCGACGATCGACGAAATCAGACGTTGCACCGCTGATAACTCGCCACGCTACATTTATCATCGTAACAGCGAGACACCCGCTCGTGTCCAAGATTTTCCACAGCAGAAACAACAACAACAACAGGATTCCCATAAAGTTTTTCTCAAGAAATCTCACTTGGCTAAAGTCTTGTTTGCAGGCAACGATTACAGCAACCTCACTTTCTCTTATAATCCATCCGAGCCTTGGTCGACGACAGGATCTCTCGTAGGAAATTCCGATACGAGTAGTAGTTACGATAAATTGATACGAGAGTGGACAAATTATAGACTGAGAGAAACAAATAGTGTAACGACGCCCTTAATCAACGCAATACTCTCGGACTCTCCCATTCTAGGCCCCAAGACCGAAGTTGTTACTAATGTTGCCCCGGAAGAGGACAATGTCTATGTGGATATGAATGCTTTTGGAGCAAAGGTGAGTGTCATCATAGCTTTGAGGTTTTTTCCTCGGTTAAAATTAACACTCGTTTAATTGTTTCTCTACTTTTTGGTACTTAGAAATGCAGCGAAAAAGACCACGATGTGGAAAATACAATGCCTCCAGAGATTATCCAGGATGAAATTCCCGTAAATATTACGTCTATATTAAGTAAAAATAGCGAAACCATCGTCGAGAAATCCATGACTGGACGAAAAAAAGTAGGTTTCGTTTTGACGGACGAAATCATTGACGATATGTCGACGGACACGAGTTCAGAAAACACGGAAAGTGTGCGTTCTTTGTCTCCAACACTCGCTCAGAATTCCAATTTGAGTATTGACAAACGCCGAGGACTCGTGAGCCGACCGCGATGTAAGTTTTCGTTGCTGCGCGATAGATTCGAATCGTCACCGAATAAATCCGATCAACAGCAAATACCGTTGAACCGAGCCCAGTTGAACAAGCGAATTTCCGTTATATTCAATGATTCGCAAGCTTTCGAAACTTCGCTTAATTGCGATAAGCAGAGCCTCACGAGTAATAATAGTCTGCGTACCGATAACGATGTGAAATACAACGAGCCGACAAATCTAAGAGAAAAAAGACGACTATTTCTAAAACAAGTTTTGTCTCCCCCCCGATTTCAAGGCTGGAGCAAGAAACGTACTTTCAGTCCAAATGCCAAAATAATAAACAAGGCCCACTGACCGCACGATATAATGATTACGCTTTATTAATTGCTAGTGTTAGTATTAAAAATTATACTATAAAAACGTATGCGTACATATACACGCTGGTGTGCTTTTATGCACGCGTAAAAGTTTACACATAAACGTTCCTCTGTCATTGGCATTCAATGTTCCCATACATAAATGAATGTTACGAACTAAGATAGCCATAACGTTCCTTTTATTTATAAATGAACAAAAAATGAAAAGATATGGTGATATCATATCCACACTTAAGGTCTTCCATTATATCGGTTGTGATTATTATACACAGGCTTAGTATTAATATTCATTGTATTTTTTAAAACAAAAATTTTATCAGAATCCCAACGATAAACAGCATTCTATCTTATGCTTAATGCATGAAATTTAACTTCAGTCAACGATTGATATTTTATTTCGAGATTTCGCATGCGTTATTTTTAACATCAAAATGTTAATTTATAAATTTTAATAAATATATCAAGATCTTTTTACGAACAGTAGTTTTATTTATAATTTTCTTCTCGATATCGTTTGAAAAAAAAGGAAATAACGTAAAAATTTAACTCACCGTATTACATATAATTAATTAATTTTTTATGTATTTTTGTAAATTAAATATTTTATAAACTTCATGTATATACTTGTATTTAATAAAACTTATACAATAAACTACAGGATTGTCTTAAAGTAACCTTTGTACAAAATGAAATCTTTATTGAGACTACTACTATATAGTACGAGACGTTAAAAATCATTATACCTAACTTGAATATTCATATTAAAAAAATTTTAATTAATTCAATAACATCAGTGAAACCTTTGATCCTTATACTGCAATTTAAATTTAATAATAATTCTACAGTTATTCATTTCCTTCTAATGATTCCAAAATTAATTTGTATCAATTATAAAGTCGGTATAATCTCGTCAATTCATAAAAATTTATCGAAAATTCAATATGGGCATAAAGATGTTGTACGTTTATCCAATTGAAAAAGATTAATTTAATGTATAATTAATTTTAAAATAATTATTCAAGTTACATATTTTCGACTTCTTATAAATGAATCGCCTTTTAAACTCATAAACATTCACATAATGTTTAACATTACTCCAACTTTTTATACAGTTATACTATAAATTTATATTTTATTGAAACTTATGAAATAGTGACTAGTACCTTAAGATTTATGATTGATCAGATTCTAAAATTTACGCTGTAAGAAAAATCATCAAAAAAGTAATTGGTAATACTATCATAATCTATTTACAAATTTCCCATTTTAATGTAACTCAACACTTGATCTAAAATTATTTTTAAAAAATTGGATCCAATTCAGTCTTAATAGCAAAAGTATTCTTCGTAATTATTACAAGAATTTTTAATACTAATTATTAAACTATACTTATTAAAATCGTATCATTAAAATTAAAAGATTACACGAAATAAATAAAATTGCCATTTTAAAATTCGTGTAATCAATTGATTGAAAGTATTTTGCAAAGTAGAGAAATTAATCACGATTACAATAAAACGTATTATCATACTATACTTTCTTAGATTGTCAAATGACACCTAGAATTTTTATGTTTCTATAGTAATCTTGCATAGAATTTATGGTTTTTTTCGAAAAAATTCATTTTAATGTTTTTTTCGAAGACTTAGTTTTTGTGTATTGTTCTAAACAAATTCCTTGAGAGATTTAATATCCTCTAAAATTAGCTCTTTTCTATAATAAAAATTTTAATTTAATTATAGTTTCAAAAAACTCATTATACAGATACTTTTTTGAACCACTTGATAAAACCAATTATAGGTAACAAATTTAGATAACATCTATTGAAATTATATTCCATCTTTGAAAAAAAATTTAAAGAAGTTCTAATTCCCATTTTAAGTTATATGCTTTTTGCATGATCTTTTTTTATGTAAATAAGTTACCATTAACCATAAAGAGTTATCTGCATGTAAATGGCAGTTTTCATAAACATATAAAACCCTATTACACCAAAACTGATTAATTGGATAGGTTGAATAAGTTCATATTGATCATTAATATTAAAGGCCTCTAATTGGGGAGATTTAAATGTACCTGGCCTTCATATAGGTGTACTTAGATTAGCTTTGTCTCCAAGTCTTATTATCCATTCTATATGACAAATAGATGGCAAACTTTTCATATTGTTACAAATTCGCGTTGCTAGTGGGGTTTTCCGTAATTCTTGTGCCACTCTGTTCAATGACTTTCCTTTAGTTTCAGGATAAAGAAGAAATACATAAATGATAGCAATAAGGCACATAAAACTATAGAATAAATATGTGCCAGGCAATGTCATTGCTCCTGAAAAAATCAAAATTAAAACTTTTGTTTTTAAAAAGCTTTGAGTCACTTTAAATCTACAACATGTATATACATTTAACTTACTTGTCATACTTCCAATTGACTCTGAAAGTGTTATGTGAACTATCCACATCAAAACAACAGAAAACCCAACACATCTACCTCTGTAAGCAGCAGGAAATACTTCACTGAGAGTTAATAAAGGAACTGGTCCAATACCTAAGGCATATGCTGATTCGAATACAAGTAATGTTATGACAGCTAAAATTTTGAGTCCTCCATTTAGCCCATCCGATGTTATAATATTTTGAGTCTGAAATAAAAAATTTGAAAAGAATTATTTGTTTACTAAATTCATTTTAAGACTTGTTTTGATTCACAAAAACTATACCTCACAAGACGATTTCACTTGTGTCCATGTTTCAGTGTTTGGAATAGCCATAGCTAAAGGAGTTGGTAATAGAGGATAAGGTGGAGGTGAGCCAGTTGGAGAAATTGACTTCATTTTAATCATATATTCTGTACCAAAATTACTCGGTGGTAAAAAGCTGCAAGGTTCATTAGGAAAATTCAATAACTCTTCGCCTTTATCTAATGTAGCCAATAATGATAGAAATGATATTGATGTCATGCAAATGGTAGCTGAAGTAATGAGAGCTGTTCGACGTCCACATTTTTCTACTACAATAAGACATAGTATAGTACTAAAAACTCTAACAATTCCAAGGGCAATCATGGATGTAACTTTGGTTATATCTAAAAGTAAAATATATAAAACATTTTTATTCCATTTTATGATAAAATTAACATCATACACTAAAAATTATTACTTGAACAAATTCCTAGGAGTGCAAATAATCTTGGAGCATAGTACAAAACTTGTTGCCTTCCAGTTCCTTGTCTCAAAGCCAGCATAATCATCATGACAATGATTGTTTCAAAAACGTAGCACCATGAATTTTTCACAGGTACTCGAGGAACATTTGCAACTCTTTTCAGTAACATGAAAGAAGGTGATCTTTGCAGAAATATAATAATTGTAAAACAGGTTGTTAGAGCAACAACTGATGTTGCTCCAATAACAGAACGCCATTGATTATCCAAAGTTTTAGATGCAGCCACAATAACTGACAAAAGTAATCCAGCAGCTGAGCCTACTTGATGAAGAGTTATGTTGCATCCTCGCTTAGTAGAGTTTGAAACTTCAGACATATAAATACAGTGAGCCATTGCTGACACTGTTCCAGAATATCCACATATAATCCTTGCAGCCAAGAAAAGAGCATAGTGATTTGCTAATGCTGATAGCATAGAACCAAATGATAGAAGTACTAAAGAACAAATCATAGTCCACCTACGTCCGCAAACATCAATCACAAACCCTAAAAGATGATCAATGAGTAAAGATGAAAGAACTTAGCAAGGAATAATTTTGTTATTTACCTCCAAATAGTGCACCCAGTAGACAACCTATGAACCATACATTAACTATTATATTTTCTTCTTCGCAATCGAGTGCAAAGTTGTTTTTTACTATGGGAGCAAGTTGTTTTCCGATTCCCATGTCATAGCCAAATGCAATACCCGCTGCAACAGCTACAATTGAGACAAGTACATTTTGATTTTCACTCACTAAAGGTGTGAGGTTTTCAGTGTGTTTCGGAATGGGTTTCCGAATTTTTTTTGGAGGGATGTATTCGTACTCTTTAATCGGCAATTTAACAACTGCGTTATTAAGTGCCACTTTGTTATTACTTTTTAGTAAAATCGTTGTATCTTCGTCTTCAGACATTTTTAATTAATAATAATCAACTGAATTGAGAAATTCGTAGCCCTTAAAAAACTGCGTAAGAAATATTTTAAAAAACCACCGTATTTTTATGTTGTAACTTATCAGTTATTGTTCAAACATCTTCATCACTTTTTAAATAAGTCGATCTTGAGGTGACAGTAACTTTGTACGCGCACTTGTTCACCTAGTTTAACTCCAAACTGTATCGATATCAAACAATGCAAGGCATTTAACTTCGTTGCAGCTTTTAAATGCTTCAAGTTTATGTGGGCACCGAATTTCAACGCTCACTCATGAATCCGATGTAGCGTGAAATTATTAGCTAGGAGAAAAATCAAAGTACATAACGTGTTCTCATGGTGAACGCGAAATTATCCTTTGACCCTGATACGCCGTACGGCTTACAGGATTGTGGGTTGTTGGAAGCGGCCATGTATAGGAGAACCTGTGCTCTGGCCGAAGTCGCTACTAGACAGCCTCCCACTTTCGCAAATGTGCATATATACATATACGTATAGTATAGAGATATATACAGTAAGAACGCACAATGTTACCTACCATCCTGCCTACCACTCTTCAAGCACGCGCGAGCTTTCGAAATAATTTCCAAGCAAAACCTGAGCTTCGGACATGAACTTACCGTGAAAATTAAAACGAATTTATGTAAAAACATTTATTCATGAATTTGTATTAACATTTCTTTACATTTTATTGAACAAAGCTATTACATTAATTTTTTACATCTAATTTTATAAGAATTAGGTCAATCAGTGGTACATTATGAGAGCAGCCCAATATACATTTAGGCTGATGCTTTCTGGAAAATCAGAAACTCCACTGGACGTCTGTATCTTTGATTTATTCAAAGTTATTTGTAATTTATTGAGTAGCTTTTAGTATCACTTTGCACAGTTCATTTCAAATATTTTAAAGCCATATTTTTAATTTAATTTCCATGATCTGATTGATAAAGGAATTTTCCCATTGAAATTGTCATTACTTTTCTCCTTTTAATCACATTAGTAACTGCTTTAAATTACTTATCCCTTTTAATGATTTGTTGCGGGGAACTCAGTCATCAGATTATGAACACATTTTATTATATAAATTTCATAACTTTATAAACAAATTATTCTAAACTTTATGTGCAATTTCCATTTTAATTATAAATAGCATAATGCAATGAAATTCTAATTACACAGTTGTTAATGAAAAATAATTTTTTTGCAAACAGTTTTTATATTTAGTTTAGCAGTTTTAAAATAGATTATTAATTACAAATTTTGAATTTTTATACAGTGCTAGAGAAGAAATAAATTATTTATAACAGTACAATCACTCTTTTACACTTGCGATATTACATCGATACCTAAAAAAACAACATTTGACGCTGTGATTCAACATAGAAGTCATATCAATTTTAACAAATAAAAAGTGCACATGTACACAAAATCACTTTGCTATGTTTTACTGAAGTTAATCTTCGGTATAAGTAGCTAAATTTGAAATTTTATTAACACAAGTACACTTGTGAATTTCATCTTAGCCAAAGTTTGAGTCTTAGAGCATCTACTCCATTCAAATAGTAGCGAAACAAGCGCTTATCACGAACAAAACCAAGATTTTCATATAATTTTAGTGCAGGTTGATTTGTAATTTCAGTTTCCAACACAATTTCATCTGCATTGTCATCAATCATTGCTTTTATTGCACGTCTAACTAAATTTGAACCAATTTTACGTTTTCTGTATTTTATATCTACAGCAAGCATAGCTATATAACCTCGTTTAGTTATTTTTCTGTGAATATCTAGTTTGCAAACTATAGCACCTATGCATTCTTTGCCATCCATTGCCTGCAAAAAATTAATTTTAAATGGTATTCATAATAAATATATAGAATTTATAGTGGGATTCTTACCAAGAAGCATAACTTTGGCCAGTTGTGAATAAAATATCGATAAGTGTAAATAGAATATGGTTCGCTCAAGTCTTTTTGAATTAATTTCATTATATCTGGCATTTGTAATTCACTAGTGTAACTAACGTATTCAATTTCCCCTGTTGTACTCTTAGGTAAATCCTGTGCCTCAGTGCCTATGAAGAAAAAACATTTGATAGTAGAATTAAAGCTGCACTAATGAATAATCGAAATAGTAAAATTGTCTCTCAAACTTACATTTTTCATTGACATGATTAGCTTCAGTATTTTTAGACTGGACATTTTGCGTATTATCAACAAAACTTTTGGATTCAGATGACGAAGATTCGGTCCTGCCATTAAGTTGTCGAAGTCCATTCAATTGTTTGGTTTCTGCTGGACGTTGGTCGGTGCTGTTTTTGAGCAAGTATAATCGGGTCTTGATGTCATTGGTTACGATTTCGACATCTGACAAGTTTTCTTTGTCTTTGACCTTATTAATAGTATCGGAATCAACAATAGGCTCTGAGTTGCTGCTGTTTACTACGCTGGTCTCCATTGCCCGTTTTGAAGAAAACTTTTATCGACGATTTTCACCAAAAAAGACAATGATGATGCGTGTTTCGATGCACAATGTAATGAAAAAAATTTAAAAAGAACGCGAGTGTAAGCTTGCATACGATTAGTAAATATAAAAAATATATTATGATTTGAATAACAGGTTAAAAACACTCAAAAATGTTCAACGCACTACACAATGGTCAATTTAGAAGGCCCGAGTGAAAGGGTGGCAATGTCAGCGAGGCCTAAGCTCTTGGTTGATTTTCAGCCGTATTTTCATAATTGACAAACAGTTGGGAACTACAAGAGAAAAGTATTCAATTGCAAAATTAAATGCGTCGACGTTGACAGAATCATGCGATACACCGCTTGACTAACGACACCATATTGAATTCTCTGCAGACTGTCTGCAGAGGCACTAGGCAATGTATGTACACACACATTTTACATCTACATATACTTATGGATATATATATATACTTTGGCAGTTTATTTGCGGTAGGTATGCGTTCTGCCAGTTTGCTCTTATTTCGCGCGCGGAATCGGGATTTTTTAAATATTTCGGGGCCGTAATTGTTCTCTTGTAATTGGATTTAGGACGCACTTTAACCTAAGACACTGGATCTTTGAGAAATTCAACCAACATGATATTTCTTGATGCTATTATTGAAATACATGAACATAAATATTGTACTAGTAGGTATTAATTCCACAGTACTTATATTGTAACCCTGATTTCAAAATTACTTACGATGAGATGAAAGTAAATTCTATGTAGTCTTATTTTTTCAGATTTCTTGATTATAACTGATAACATAACTGATTTACAAAAATGTTAGGATCATTATTTAATTTTTTTTTACTTTTGACTGATCTTATGCTTTATTCGATAGTATCAAATATTTGATTTTTTTAATAAAATACTTGTTCGTTTTTTCTATGCGAACGAGTTACGTGATTCGTAAAAAAATAATGTTGTCATTAATTCATTCAAATATTTATTCAAATATTTCGCACAAATTTTGCCGCATACCACGTGATATTTTTGTTTTTGTGGGTGGCTTCAAGCTTGGATAAGATTCGAGCGTGTAAGGGGGGTCCCCTAACCTATCAATATTTTAGTCAGCATAAGCGAAATACTAAATTAGTAACTGCTGAGTTTTACTGAATGTAGACTATATCTAGCAAGCATTTTTACATAATGTTGCAGAAACGATTGAAAATTTGAGCTGATTGTTTACATACATGCAATAGTAATCTTCGTTTGTTGTTAGTGAAAATAATAGTGCACCGTTTTGGGATTATTCTCAACAGAATTAGACACTCAATTGAAATTTTCTTAGAACAGGTAAATTATTTTTTTAATCAAATATTAAAAATTAAATTTCATTTAATGTTGTAGTTAATCAATAACATTGATGCATGAATCACAATTGTATTAATTATTGCGACTCGATTTATTTAATTGAGACAAGAACACCCAATTAATTTTACTAACATTTGGTAAATATCCAAATTTTCCCTAAAACATGTTACAGCTCACAAAATAGTTGATAGAAAAAATTGTCATAAACTATTTGCTTGAAGAAATTTTGATGGAAACTAATAAAACTTATTTGGCTATATTTTTTTTATATAATATAAAAACTTATTTTTTGTTCTGTAATATTGCCAATATTTTGAAATTGGTTAAAAGTGAAAACAGCTTTAATCATTTTTAACATTCAAGTAGTAAGTCAATAGTCACTGAATTTATAGATAAATTCAGGAAAAGTTAAGAAATTAAACAAATAGTTACAATGAAATGAGCTGTTCTATTTATGGTTTATCATAAAGAATAAACACTAGAAATTATTTAAATCTATATATACTTTTTTATAAGTTAAAACATAAATATTTTGCTATTTTTGCATCTATTTATAAAACCTTAACCTAGGCTGTGCAAGTCATATTTAATCGTGTTTATGTTCATTGAATGAAATTTGCAAGAATTTCAAATTCATTGGTTAGTTTTTATAACAAATCTAGAAAGTATCAAGTAAAGTGAATTTCAAAAACTTCATACATACTTCATCATGAAATTTCTAAGACTTCTTATGAGATAGAACATAAATTTGTTTGTTCAGTTCATTGTGGTGTGAATCTTAATTAACAACTTATTCAACTAGAGTCATTATTAATAATTTGAGCATTTGGGTAAGTAAGTTATAATAATTAACCAATAGAATGTATTTAAATGTTCATTTGCATATTTCATCATTTGATTTATACCCTGTTGAAGTTTGCTTGAACTTGATATGGTAATTCTTATTGGCAATTAAAAATTACGCTCAAATTTTGCTAGCTGTAAAAAAGTTTTATTTTTCGATTTACTTTTTGTTACAGAAAAATGTCTTTTCCAAATAAGGAAGATCGAAAAAAATGCTGGGATAACAGAGATGCATATTGGACATGTCTAGATACAAAAAAATCAGAAGATATGTGCACAGAATTTAGAAAATTATATGAACAATTTTGTCCATCACAGTGGGTAGGTAATTTTTGTTTTGTATATTTTTAAATGCAATTGTACTCTTGAAGATTAATATTAAATTTTTTAGGTAAAACACTTTGACAAAAGAAGAGGATATTTAGTTTTTAAGGAAAAATTAGAGAAAGAAGGGTACGTTCCCGAATTTCCAAAAAAAGAAAAAGTGTAGTGATCAATAACTAATCATTTTTAATTGAATATATGTATATAATGTAATTAGTGAGCATCAACTAACTAAACTCGTTCTAATAAACTGCTTGAAAATAAAATTGGCTGTTTTTTTTTTAAGTCATTCATTTTCCTGCCATTTCTTGTGAATTTTATTTAAGAAGTTTATCAATCAAAGTCTACTCAAATTTTTTTTCATGTTAATATGTTGACTATGAAAAAATTAAAAGTGTTTCAATTTCAAATTTCAGTTTTGCAAAAGATATCGAGAGTCAAGTACCATCCAGCTGTTCTGACTTGATACTTCGAAGACGATCATTTCATGCCTTCTCACCACGAAGATTCAGTACAATTAATTGAATTTTTACAAAACCGCATAAAGTATTACTACAGAGTAACTAGAGCAGATAATAACCTATGATTGTTTAGATGAAATAAATAATTAAAATAAAAAATGGAACCTGTTCACCGCCCCATAAAATCTAAGTCAAGAAAAACAGAACCTGACAAGAGTCTCTCACTACATCCATCTGAATTCAATTTTCCCCTTGATAGAAAAGACATTATTAATTTGGAGTCTCTTCGAGTGAGTAAATCATTTTTCCTCTTATTCAAATTTCAAATTTTTTACTGATTATATATTATTTCTCTTTAAAAATTATAACTTAAAACTCATTTTTTTTATAAAAATGAAAAAGTAGACTTAAAAAAGTTTTGCAAAGTTATTTTCTTTGATATTAAGCAGTAGTTTTTTACTTTCAGGCAATTATTAGTCTATCTTCGTGTCCGACGGGGTTATCGATTTTAAAACAGCAATCGGAAAAATGGGAATCGGTGCTAAAAGCTTTGATGGAATTTCTCAGCAGCAACGAAGATGAAATTTCCACCTGCAGCAATGAAGAAACATTGCTGGCATCACATGCTTATCTATCGTTGCGACGTGCGCTTATGCCATCGCTCAAAGAATTCGAGAAAAAACTACACGAGTATTTAAATCTGAATGAGTCCATGAAGATTTTTCCCGATCTAAAAACTATATTTTCAATAAATAATTTGGAGCTATTTAAGCACCTTATCATTCATGGTTTCCTTCAATTGGGAAACAGTCATGTCATTTCACTGGACGTTTATCGGCACGCTTTTGATTGTCTATATCCACACTGCATCAGATATACCAGCTTTACCTACATGTCTTTTCGATTGTTAAGATCATGGATGCGGCGCATTGAAAAAACCGATTTTTGGTCTAGTGATGTCTGTCTCGACATTGAAGAAAAATTAGAGGCGATCATTTTTTCCAACTGGAACAATGTCATGTGCAAATCAAGTTTTGTCAAAGTATTTAATCAATATTTACTTGCTATGCAGTCAAAATACGACGATTACTTGGAATACCTGTTTCACTGTTGCGTTGATAAAATCTCTTGGTGTCACGTGAGCAAATACGCCATACTCGCTGAAATCTGCGTCTATCTACCGAATATTGATTTAATGACCGATTTTCAATTCTTGTCAAATCTTTTCAACAGTCTGACACTTGGCCACTTGAGCAGCGCCAGTACAAGAGTTTATAGTATCATTTGCGGTCGAATTGACAAAGACCGATGGAAATCGGCTTTTGGAGAACATTTGAAAAATTATGTAATTGATTGGGAAGCCGAGTAAGTTTATCCAATATCTGTATAGAAGTATTTTTAAAATTTACTCATTCAACTTTTATTGATTTTTTAGAAAAAAATACTATGCACTGCAATCTCTCTGTAAATTATGGATTAAGCCTATTTTGAACAAGCATCGAGATCTTTTAGATTTTTTGCTGCGCTGTTGTGACGATAAAAGCGTAGTTTACCAATCATATCTGCTGCGTTTTTCTGCGGGCTTTGGACTACCCCCAATTCGTCTGAAGCTGGCCAACAACGTCACTTTTTTGGACCACGAAGAGGAAGTCGTTCGATTGAACGCGTTCGCGGCTAATTGCTGTCGATCGGCTGTTAGCGTTGACGACACTGATATGGCTAACATCATCAAAACGATTCAGCACTTCCTGTTCTTTAACGCCACTGCCGACACTACATATTTGCGGGAAGGAACAATAGATCATTTTAAAATCTTTTTGATTAGTTTGTTAAAAAAGACATCTGTGTGTCGGGACTCTCTGGTAACGCCTTTTCTAGGGTGGCTCCACGAATTTTTTATCGATTGCTTCGAAATCGGCTCTTGCTATCAGCGCAAAATACTCGGTTTGCAGCTTTACAAGGCAACTTTGATGTTTCTACATGGTGATGTAGGTATATCCAAAGACCCAAATCATAAAGAGGCAGCAAAATCAGGAGTTCAGTTGCAAACTCACATGAAAGATACGGGACAGTGGCGATTTACTGATCGCGAAACTATATCATTACTATTGAAATTAATTCTCGATCCCGCTAGCGATGTTAAAAATTTAGCAACCGATCTCGTTGTGACTTATTTTAGCGCGGATGTCATCACGATCGGGGAAAAAGCTGTAAGTTGTGTGTATGTTTGAATGAATGCAAAATTTAAGGATCATTCGAGTAACTTGTTTTTTTTTTCAGAGTCTCTTTTCGATAGCTTTGAATCATTGCAACTCTTATAAATTCTTCGAGATAGACAGTGGATCGCTGATCATGAAGGTACTAGTTCACTGGTTCCCACTGAACAGAAATGAAAACAAAGAGGCTCTGAAACTCGAAAAAGATTTTGAGTGTCAAGCTTCCATCGCCAAGGCTCAGTTATACTCCAAACTCTTGTTCGAAGAAGCCGGCCATCAATTGATCATGGCTAAGCGAGATATACTCAAAGCTGCTACGCATCGTATGCCATTTTATGGAGCTCTTACGGCTTTGTCGGTGATAGCTTTCAATAACGGCCCGGAGCAACATTTGGTGACCGATCAGTTTCTGAACGAAATCATGGGCTTAGTCGAGAATGCTGCTATATATTTTCTCAGCGCTTTTTCAGCCAAGACGCATGGCGATCTGCAATTAACGAAATTCGATCGTCAATATTCGTCATCTTTTCAAGAGATGGGAATAGCAATCGATGAAGCGATCAAAAGCAGTGAAATAAGCTACGAGTACGACGAGCTCGTTTTGTCGCCGGCACAGCAAACTGTCATGACTTGTATCTGGCGATCGCTGAAGGTATGAAAGCTTCGGAATTTTTTATTTCCACTCGCATAAACAAAATTATCATCTCTCTAATATTTCAGGTTCTTTGTGAACTGGCGGTAGAGGTAGCAAAACACGAGCTAGCCCAAGATAATACAATTTATTGCGCGATGGATATATTGGTGGCAGTCTTGATGAAATGCCGCCAGAAAGGTGTGATCGAGTCCGCGGGAACGGCTATCGGTAAGCTCACGCGGCTCGTTACTGAAACAGGCAGAGGAGTGGCTAGTTTGGACGGTTACCTGGAGAGTCTTTATAACAGGGACTTTTTGGCGAGTATCAATTTAACTCGTAGAGGTGCTGGTTTAACAATTATGTTTCATAAAATCGTGGCCAACGACGTTCGTGGTGAACGGCCAATGCTTCAAAGTGCAGTATCCAATTTATCAAGATCGCTAAGGAAATCAACGAAAAACGAGCAAAAAGTGGCCAACAACTGCGATGATCCATGCGCTTTGCATTTGCACTTTTTCAAGACTCTGGTGGCCGACAAACAGCTACAAGCTGCAATGAGCCCATACCTCGAGGACATAAGTTTACTCTGCTTCGAATACTTGTCCTCGCCTTCCTTCACCATCAGGTAAACATTCGTAAATGCGTCAATTACCGTACTACAATCTTAATAAAAAAAAATCTTAACGAGCTTGAATTGTTTCAGAAACGGGAGCTTGCAGCTGTTTGGCGCGATAGTGTCCCGCTTGGTCGGACAAAACACCGCTGCCCGTATCCTCGACTTTGGATACGGCTACTCGCTCAACTACTTGACGACGCATTTCCCGCGACTGGCTGCTTACATCTTGCTCACTTTGCAGACCTGCTGTCAACAATGGCAGCAATATCGCAGCGGCGAGAACGTCATACACATCCTGTCGTTGCTATCGAAGCTCTTTGTGAGCGGCTGCGAGCTCATGGATGGAGGCGTGGGTACCTGCTACGTACGCCAGATTCGCACTTGTTTGCTGTTCTTTTTCAAAAGTCCCATTGCGCACGTGCGACATCTGGCCGCGAAAGCTTACGTCGCCAGCATCGGCATTGCCGATCTCGAGTTCGAAATCAGCCAAATCAAGGCTCAGCTCGTCGAGTTTTACGATTTTAATCAGCTCAACGGATATCTTCTGACGCTCGAATACCTGTATCAGAAACTCGAAGACGAACAGTTGAGTACCAGTGTCAAGCACACTAAGATCAAGTTGCTCGGTGACGTACGTCGAAATCTCCAAGTCCGTGAAAAAAACGAAACTCTGTGGAACTATTGGACTCGCAGGGCTGAACTGACGTCTCGAAAAAAGCTCTGCTACAGCGTCGAAGCTCAATTACTCAGGTTGTCGCGCAAATTTTACTTGACTATCAAAGACAATCAAAACGATTCGAACGAAAACTCCAAGTCGAGTTGCTTTCACGACATCAATGACAAGACAAGGCCTGGTTTTTTCGAATTTGTCGACGAGCTATCGAGCTTTTGCGTCGATTACATTCAACAAAACGAAGACTACGCTCTGATAAAGAGCCTCTTGAGTGCTAATTGCATCGACTTTGCCACGAGTTTTTTCAAATATGCGCCCACGGACAATCGTCACATCTTGATAAGCTGCATCGATCATGTTACCGAAGGCTTTGACACGTTTCCGATGCAACTGTTGGATCGGTTGAACGTTTACTGCAACGAGTCCGTGAGAAATGCATTCACGAGCCGATTGCTTGAGTTGCAGTACATTGACATCGCCAAAGTTAAAACGTTCGCCACGAAACTCGACTGCGTGAGTGAACGTTCTCATAACGTTACAGAGCTTTTGATACTCGTGCACGTTCTATCGTCTCGAGGCTCTGGAATTCTCGATCTGTTCGAAGACTTGATCAGTTGCATTTACCGGAAAAAAGTGACTTTGGACAACTACTTCGATTGTCCGGAACACTTGAGATTACTCGTTGCGAAAGCTCTCGACGTTATTCTTAGTAACTTCGCTCAGCTTGCGCCTAACTATCGCGTGCAGCCTCTCCTGGCGGGCTTGACTTTAATCAGAGACGATATCGATATTGTTCGACAAATTACGCGCGAAAGTTTAATCAACAATGTCATTTTAGCATGTAAATTGTCAAGAGCTAGAATACAGCATGAACTCGTACATCCTGTTCTCATGTTGAGTTTGAGCGCGAACAACGGTGTGTTGAAAGATCTGAATGCGGAGGATGTTAGAGCCTTCTTTCGAGCTTATCTATCAACGATTAAACCCCAAGAACAACAAAACTCCATTTCTAGTGACGACATCGACAGTCCTTTTGATGATAATTGCGTTTTATCTCACGCTGAAGAAACCAAAATAATCAATTTCATCGTGTTTTGCGTTCAACAAAAAATATGCAATGGAATGTTCACCAAACAGAGGAGTGTTTACGAGAGCATCAGTTATGAGGTGTTTGATATTAAGCACCAGTTGATAGAAAAGATGGATATTGATTTAGGAAGTATTCGCACAATCATGAGCATCAAGTACAGTGAATATTTAAAACTAAAGCTCGACGTTGTTAACGAAAAGTATTTAAAAATCAAATGAATTAACAGAAAGTTTTTTATTTCAAATTTTATTTATTATTATAATTTTTATTATTGAATACTATACATATAAGTGGAGAATTTATACAACAAATCAAACTTTTGTCAATCATAGGTGAGATTACAGAACTCAAGTTTTCTTATCTTGTGCAATCCTTAATACATCAGATTTTTATTATGTATTTGTTTCCGTAAATGCATACACAACTTATAAATGTATCAAATTTTAATACGATAAATTCACCAAAGATTGAATGAAATCAAGTTGTTATATTTTAAAAAATTATCCAATTTATGCTATTTTCATTTATCTATTTTAATAAATAAGAATTAATGAAGTTTTATTAGTTAGACTTAGTAACAATAGGAATTCAGTATAATCTTATGATCATAGTATGTACAACGATGTATTTTTTTAACATAAAATAATAAGAGCACAATAGAAATGCAACACATAGCGACTTAATAAATTATATTTTTTGTCTTATGATTCTTAATTCATGTGTTTGATAATTCTTTTGATATAAAATTGTATAATTCAAAAGAATTTACGAGTGCGTGTAATTTTGTAATTCGACTAGTTGAATAAATGAAGTAATTGATAATGCATTAACTAACTGCAGTAGAGTTCAAAACACTTGTCAACCCTATGTACTTACAAACTCATCTTCAAAAAAAAAAAACCTTTCAGAATTTTTTAAAATTATAATTGATACATACGAAACGTAAAATAATAAATTTGATTAAAAACGAAAACATTATTGGTTTCAGTGACTTTATTTACAACTTAGTACAATCTTAATTCACACAATTTTGTTTTTTTACGTTTTTTTAAATTTTTTATTTTTTTCACGAGTGCTTATTCACAACTATTTTCAAGTAAATCAAACCTTACATAAATACTTGCAAGCAATTAATAATAGCAAGAAATTCATCAATACTCTCAGAACCAATGTAACACTCTTTTTGATATCTTATTTTTGTGGAAATATTTTTTTTTACATTCTATAGTATTGCAGTATCCGTAGATACAGATGTATGAACAATCACGTATGACGTTTGGAAATTCAGCTACAATACTCAACAATGAATAACTAAAGTTTCAAGTGTTTCATAAAATCAATACAATGCAAGCATTGTAAAGCAAAACACAGCTGTACTCAGCCTATTAAAAAATCAGGTTTCCAGTAGCCATTCGAATCTTACAATTATATTTATAAAGATTAAGAATATGCAGTGCTATGCAAGATTATATTTAAGTATCTTGCAAGTGAATTGACCGCTCATCAAAGTGTGGCTGAGTACGGATGTGTTAATTATATTCAAAATTATCACGTAATTTCAATTGTACATGTTTTTTCAGACCATAATTTCTCTAGATATTGTTACTTCTCTAGATCAATCCTACAACTTCTGCATTATTGTTCACACGAAATGCAAAATTTTTTAAATTGCTCTTCATATTCCAGTAAACAATAAATTTACAAAACACTTAATCGATAGTGCTAGGAGACATCTACACTAATAAACAAACGTACACAATGTACATCAAATGGTTAAAAAAATTCGCACAATTTTTGCATTGAAAAAATTTGGTAATCTCTTGAACATCATATAAAAAAAAATCGGCGATCTAATATCAATCATTCGCAAAACACAACCTCATTCTAGGAAAACGACGATTTTTAAAACCTATTCATATTTACAACAGGGTAGTAAGAAAATAACTCATTTCATTATCGTCACGCATTCTCGTAGAAAAATCGTATTTACCCTAGCTTCTGAATTTACACTAATTAATCTCAATTTTTTTATGCGTTGAAACCGCACAGCAGAGATTTTTACTAAAGCTATTAACCTTTATTCAACGACTTTCACATCTGATTGCTCGTATACGTATATATGATAAAAAAGTGAATGAAAATAAATTGTAAAAATCGGTCGGAAGTTAAATATTGTAACTTTGAGTTCCGCATGTGTACACTGGTCAATGTATAAGCGGCTACTTAAACAACGCGATGCTTAAATTACGGAAATGCAGTAAGCATCATTTTTCGTGTAACTATGCTTTATAAAATACGTCGAATATTTTCTAGATTTCTCGATAGATGCCACAGGAGGGAGTTTCAACTTATTATTTGAACATGAAAAAAATGCAAATTGGAAATTAAATGAAGCATTCCATTATTTTGTTACTATTAGAAGTATGCTTTGTTTTCCTTATCAATATCTATACGTCGCTGAAATATTGTTCTATTTATTAGTTTTTCGGAAACTACTACTTGCGACGTTGATACTTTGAGAAAAATAGAAAATCGCTCCTATAAAAATCATACTTTTTTATTTGATTAACGATTTTTTTCTTGACCGTGCTTTGAAGTCTACTAGTCAAGTTTTGGAAAAATGAATAACACCTTTAGAGAGCTACGAAAAAAAAAAATACATTGAATGATCGAATGATATTTTTGTCTATAAAAGATGAGACGTTTGTTCAGTATAATATTGAAAACTCAAAAATTGTGCTACTATACGCATTTCCTGAGGCATCCATCGCAATTCTCATCATATTTCCTATTTATACATTTACTTAGAATTATTGAATAATATATTAACAATATTATTCGAATTTACTAGGTGCATTTTAAAAAGATGCACGTTATTGGGAAGCCGGTGAAGCTTGTGTAGTTTCAGGTGACTCTTCTGGTTTCGAGGGTGATAACACTATAACCTCTTTTTCAACTGAGGCTGATTTCACTTTTTTCAAATTATTTTCAACCTCTTCAGTCATTGCAGGCAAAAGTCGCTTTTTTGCTGGAGTTGGGCTCGGAGTTTTTCGGATTACTTTATTTTTTCTTTCTAGTGGTTTAGCACCAGTATTGGCACTAGGGGAAGTTTTTCTTTTTGCTTGTTTCGAGTCCATAAGCTTTGGAGTGGATTTTTTAAACTGAGCTGGTTTATTTACTTCCATCTGAAAGTACAAAAATAAATGAGCGAATTGTAAACAGAAAAATATTATAACTAATTATTATTTTCAATTTTCGGGCCTAATACATACTTCATTTTTTACTTCATACTGAATTTCCACGGAGGCTGAGTTAGTTGTTTCAGCTTTTAGCGTTTCATCGAGTTTTAAGTCATTTTCAACTTTTTCATCAGTTTCTGGTTTAACTTCGGGTACGTCTATCTTAACGGAGGATGAATTTAGTGCCGTAACCGATGTTTCAGAAGCATTGGCCACGGCATTATCAGCAGCCCCAGAAGCAATATCACCTACAGCAGCGGCGGCAGCCTCTGCTTTTTGATCAGCTTCGTACTCGGCTAGAACTGCATCTAGATTGAAACGTCTACGATAGTTGACGAAAAATGACTTTAGGTGTGATTCATTTTTGGTTCCAATAGTTTCAGCGATGGCCACTGCATCCTTCCCGTACTTCCGAACACCTTGAACGGCCAGTAAAAGCTCGTCATTAGACCAACGAGAAGTAATTCTTGATTTGGTCTCACTGGGTCGCATTGCTGCGAGAGCAGCTGGTGAGAGCTTTCGTTTTACTGCACCTATCTGCTGTTTGTTCATTTGAATCTTCATAAAAAAAAATTTTAATTAGTATCATCATTTAATTTATAGAGAACAGGAGTACTGAGTGATCTTATAGTAGTTAAATGTCGATTTAGAACAAATGTATCCACACGATATGTGACAAAATTTAAGAATAACGTTGTTTTTTGAAATATAACATACTTGTCGTTTGAGACTAACGATTTCAACATCAATCGACTGACATGCGTCGGCAACTTGATTAGGTTGGCCGGCCAAAGCTGCCAGATCGTCGTGATTCACTAAGATACCTCGGGGAAGTTTTCGCTTGTTCATTCGACCAGGCATCGAGCTCAATGGTCTCACCACTCCCGTGCGTCTACAGTTATACAAGTGATATTTGTTCAGTTGAAAAGAATATTTTAATAATTTTTTTCTAGTTTTTTCATCAACTCGAATCACAAAAATTTTTTTTTTTCATATCTTACTGAATAAGAATGGAAATTCGTACGAGCGTGTCAAAGAAGCAGAATGATTCAAAAAGCATTAAAAAATTCTAGTGAATCGAGCCGTATGCTTTTGCTTTGTTATGCACTGACCTCCAATGCTGATAGCAGCTATGACACGCGTGTCCTTTAGGCGTAGAACGAACTTTATGACAAGCAACACCGCAGTTGCTGCAAGAATCCTACAACATATAACATGCCCTTTTTTACACTTGTCTGACTTAGATTCTTCTACTTATTGTCAGGAAGTATGAGGGTTGTGTTGTAGGGTCAAACATTTTACGCGCGTTACAGACGTTTGAGAGTCTTTTTTTATTTACAACGTAAAAGGTTTATATTTGCATAACTGTCTTAAAAATACTTTTGGAAATTTAATATTATTTTAATAGTCATTAAATCGTTTAAATGGATCATATCATAAAAGAGTTGATAGTTCAAAGAATGAAATTGAAACCAAGTATGTACTCTTGAAGAGTACATTGAAAAAGGAAAATCCTGAAAATTTCAGTCCTTTAGGTTCATCCCTCTTGGATCTTATTAGAGTTCAAAGTTGAATTTTTATTTTTCAAATTGTTTTCTGCTTTTTTGGGGTACATATCGGAAAATGGTTTAAATATGATTTTTGATGTAAAATTTGATGAAAAATTCAGATTTGTTGTCAAAAATCATATTCATAAATTTAAAATCCATTTATGCAATAGTATGACGAAAAATGTCTTTTTTCGCACATTTTTTAGTGCGCAAAAAGCGTTTTTGGACACTTGTGTGCGGTAAAATGCCCCATTTTGGACACGGGTGTGCGGTAAAACGCCTCATTTCAATGAACGTATTTTTCGCCTACTATTGCATAAAATTTTGTATGCAACACGTGCCCAGCTTTTTGCGCACAGTGTGCGGAAAAAACACCCACTCGTGCCGGCATAGCCGGCACTCGTGTCTTTTTCCGCACACTCGTGCCCAAAAACGCCTTTTGGGCACTTGTTACATAAATAACTATTAAAATGTAATAAAGTGTAAATGTCAAAAAATAAATGTGTTCATCTACAGCAATTAGGCCAATATTGTAATATGTTTATTGATATATCAAAATACAACTTCTGATCAATTTTTTTCATCGGTTGAAAATCAGAGATAATTCTTCAGCTGTCAAAAGACCAAAAATAATGTAAAATTAGAGCAAAACCATGCTTTTCGGTCCTTTGAAAGCTGGAGAATTATCTCTGATTTTCAACCGATGAAAAAAATTGATCAGAAGTTGTATTTTGATATATCAATAAACATATTACAATATTGGCCTAATTGCTGTAGATGAACACATTTATTTTTTGACATTTACACTTTATTACATTTTAAATGGATTTTAAATTTATGAATATGATTTTTGACAACAAATCTGAATTTTTCATCAAATTTTACATCAAAAATCATATTTAAACCATTTTCCGATATGTACCCCAAAAAAGCAGAAAACCATTTGAAAAATAAAAATTCAACTTTGAACTCTAAAAAGATCCAAGAGGGATGGACCTAAAGGGCTGAAATTTTCAGGATTTTCCTTTTTCAATGTACTCTTCAAGAGTACATACTTTATTTCAATTTCATTTTTTGAAAAATCAACTATTTTATATGACCCAAATACAACGATGTAATTAAATAATGCTGATCTATTTGGCTAATTCATTAAATGAAAATTTTAAAATAGTGCATTAATAAATAATATAATAGCATTCATCACTCGATTTAACTATTTTTACAAGGATATTGAAAGGGTTTTTCTACAAAGTGTTGGCTTATGTGCTTTTAAATAATAAACTATTTTTTAAACTAATTTTTATGGAAATAAAAAACAGATAAGCTGTTCATTTTTTTAGATGAAAAATTTTGATTAATGCTGATTGACCTATGACATTGAAAAATATTAAAGCCAAGTACTGAAAGAAATGAATAAAAAAACTGGAATCTACATGACAGAATTGATTAACGGATTTTTCAAAATTTCATTTAAGATGAAAGAAGATTACTTTCAAAACCATCAAGTAATTTAAAAAAATGTCAAACTGTAAGATTTTTACTTTATTACTTATTTAAAGGTCCCTACTTGTACGAGGCAAGAATTTATCATTCAACTTGAAATTTAAAACCTTAAATAATATGCAATTTGTTTTGAAAAAGTAAAACCTTAAATAATATGCAAATTAATATGATTTTTTTTCAAATTCTAGATTGTTATTTGTTTCATATAATGCAAAAAAGGAAGTAACATCTTAATTAATTCAAACTTATGCAATACACATGGATTGTGTGCACCTAGGCCGTGTGGATACATTTTGATGGGTTAGGTCTTATTGAAATATTATATAGATTAAATGAAAGAATTTTAAAATAAGTCCATTGCACTTGACAAATTTAATTATGGTAGCTGTCTGAATGTTTGTGCAATGGTATGAAATTTATATAAATTATTTACTTATTGATAAAATCATTGAAAAAGTGCAGTGCAAGCGTGGATTTAGAATAAATTAAAGGAGATAGCATATTGAATGCTAATAGACAAATTCACTTACCTTAGGCACCTTTGCTAGGGCTTCTGTATCGCCATCACTCGAGCCATGGTTACTATTGCTGTCTTCTTCATTATCTGATGACTTCTTGCGTCTACGTTTAGCTTGTTTGTCCATCAAGGAAGTTTTTGCTCTGGTCTTTTTCCAACTGTAATAGTGTTTCACTAAACTGGAGATAGGTTTATCAGGAAGCTGCAACAAAATTGGTTTTTCTATAGTCAAAAATTCAAAACAAGTGATAGAAAGAGGTTTAGAGTGCCAACTTACCATTTGTCTAATTTTTGCAAAGTTTTTACCATGGAACGAAAATGCTTGTTCGAACAAGATTTTATCTTCGTTGGTCCACTCATCGGGGAACGGTGTGAAGTTTGATAAATCTAAAATAGCTCGATCTAAGTTATGCTTATGCCAAAACAGCATTCCTAAGGCCTGTTCTCCATTGTACCCATATTGAGTTTTAGCAACATGAACATATTTGTCCACTGTGAATGTAATAAAATATAAATTTACAGAATATTATTGAAGATTCAAAAATTTGAATGGGAAAAATGTTCTTACGTCTGGCATCAGTAATATCATGAACAGGGGACCAAACTAGTAGAGCTTTTTCCTGCGTTGCTTCATTTTTGGATTCTACAGAAACATTGTCAGGAACAGAACAATTTTCAGCAACAGAAACATTTTCAGTTTCAGTTTCATCTTTATTGCCATAAAGTTAATAAAAATTTTCCAAAAAAAAAGAATTAAAAAAAAGTATGAAAAAAAAAATTGAAATAAGTAAATTTACTCACCAGTATCGGGGACTACTTCTGGGATAGCTGCTTGATAATCACGTCCAACACGAATTCGCGCTACTGGAGCTGTAAATGAGTAACCGTTCAACAATTGGGCAAAAAATTGTAATTGTTTAAATATTTGAAACTATGTTTGGTTAAAATTAAAAGCGCAATTAATCGATGAAAGGAAAGAACACGCGCTCGATGTAAGCTTAGCAAAGTTGCGAAATTGCAAAGAAAGGTATGCAATGTATAAGACTGGAGACTGCAACAAGGCGCATTGGAGAATGAACACGAAGAGGAAAATGCAAAAAACTTACTTTCTTCTTCATCGCTAGCACCCGCCGTTGGTGGTGACTTGGGACTGTTGGTACCCGAGCGGCGACCATTCCGAGTCGGGATTGCGGCTTCGTTACCAGCAAGCACCATGATTCAAGTTTGACCGAATCTGCCAGTCGATTGAATGAGGCGCGAGTCTCGGCTGCAACTGTACTACCTGCCGTGTCGGACTCTGGATGCAGGGCGCTGATTATTCTCAAGTCTTCGAGTCAAAAAGCTCCGCTGATCCGTAGCGTATCTAGCTTCTCTCCCACCTCGTGCCGCGAATACCGTTCAGGGATGCGCGCGCACACACGACCAATTGTACTTGGTACAAAAATGGTCTCACACACACGCACGTGTGAGCTGCTACTGATGGCTTGCAACTGACTGAGAATCACGAGGTTAGCTCGCCGAGCGGGAGGCTACTATTTGTCTTGGTGTGCGTGCTGCATGAAGCTGACACGGTCACTGTCGGACGTAGCGTGTGCTCCTCCTTGCTTGTGTGGGTAACTTCGTCACGAACGACCAGTCCTGCCGTCCAATCACGCTTGATTTAGCTAGCTGTATAAACAGACGGGACATTTAAATTTATTTCTGTTTAATTTTTTATTCAAGTGATTTAAAAAAGCTGATCATTATTGTACATTGATACATTCGTACAAAAATGTACAAATACATTAATGAACATATAAAAAAATAATAATTTAGCAATGACTTATACTAGGATTCTCTATGTTTTACGCATTATTTCGCGCATTATTATATATTGAAAAAATAATATATTTTTGTTGTCTATAAAACAATAAGAGATGATATTTATAAAAAAAAAAAAAATGGATTTTGCTATTACAAAAATGATTAAACGAACCGAGCCAAAATTCATATATTATTCCTAACGCTTCCCAAAAGAATAAGACATTTGTTAGTTTGATTTCGATTAAGAACAAATTAACCCGACATTTGAAACAAACTTGTTATATGTATCAACTAATCACAAATATTCATTTTGCAGAGAGTGAAAATAATTATCTTAAAAATAAAATTAAGAATAATTGACTTTTATTCTTTTAAACTTTAATCACCCGAAATATTTATAAATACATACATTTATCAAGTCATCACAATAAGTTTACTGATAAAAATAATTATCTTAATAAGTAAATTAAAAATGATTCGCCTTTAATCTTTAAAAATCAACTACCCTCAACACATAAAAGTTTTAAGAAGGCCGATCGTTTGATTATAAATTGTTACTTTAAGTTATAAAAACGTAAAAGCTTACGATTTATTTGTGTATGTGAAAATCCAGCAATCGAATTATCATTGTCTAGTCTCTGAAATTGTTTAATACGAAAAAAGCAAAAGTAACAACACGCCTATATTCGTGAATAGGTTATGTCATAATAGCGTATCCACTTGGTAATACGATTATATAGCGACCGAAAAAATGAGGCTCGGGGAAAAAGTGAATGTGTGACTGTCAAAAAACGACATATTTTATTTGCATTATTAAAAAGCAAGAGAAGTTGGGTATTAAACGATTTTTAGGTGACGTAAACGATGTTGGGATTTTTTACTATCAATGATGTTTCCATAAAAAACTACGATTTTAAATGTCTGTTTTGCAATAATCGAATAATTCATATGAGTACTGGTCAAAATCTATGTGATTAACATAACAGAATGATCTTAAACGTTTTCGTAGACTAACTAACCGAATGTGCTTCATTCATACAATAAAAAACACAAATTTTGTTTTTCTGCTCTACTATTTTAGGTAAATGAAAACTTTTTGCAGCATGTAGTTATTTGCCTAAAGGAATGTGTATCAACCGTTTTTTAAGGCACACAAATAAAAGTCTTTGGTCTGATTCAACGATTTAATATAACGACAACATTTTTAATCGATCATTTTGATCTGAAACTTTGTATTCTCAAAAATTGAAATGAGAGAACGATATTCTCTGAATAGAAGGGCTTTATGAAAAATAACTCCTTTGTTGAATTGAAAAGTACTCATTTGAATGTTTTATTTAAGTTTGTAGATTAGACTTTCTATGTGAGCTGTTTGTATTGTAATATAGAAAATTACTACTACAAGCGTCATAGTTTTATCTTCCACATCTCGAAGTGGTGTCACTAATTTTACTATAGCTATTGTAGTGAAGGTCAGTACTACATGATAGCTGATACTCGTTCTTTTACATTCTTAAACATTCGAAAAGTTATCAATTCCGAGAATTAAAAATTGTTCAATTTCTACAGTACGAATTCAATTAATCAAAGAAAAAAGAGATAATGAAACAGGTTAACGTTTCTATGAAAATGAGGGATCGTTCTCCACTCGGAATAAGAAAAACTCGAACAGCGATATTATCCCTTGCACATATGCTTTCTGCGTGCAAGTAGCAAGAAATTCGCAATAGCCACTATATAACTGCTCCCCGTTTACGTAACGCAAATATTAGCAGTTATTTCAAGTATAGCAAAAGCTCTCGAGCTCTCATGCCCGTTTAAAAATTATAACCTAAAAATTTGAAACATTGAAGAGAACTTTATTTTTAGCGCTCGATCGGACCGATCTTTGCGTCCAGTTGATCGTCGAAGGAACAATGAATTAATAATCATTTTGATACGAACATTCGCAACTATGAGCATGGGGGATGTATGACGCCTTTTGACACTGTCCAGAGATTTTCGACTCGATCGCTTCGCGCGACCGTGCCGCGTGACGTCACCTATCTTCAACGCACCTTTTCCTTTTCGTTCTTTTTAACACGAGCATTCTCGAACGCAAGACGTAAATATATCTTTTCAACTGAAATTTTAATTTTCAGGCCTATCTGTGGCTTTATTTTCATTTTCATTGAGAACAAAAATAATGATATTTATTACGTAGGATTAATTATTGTATCAGATTTTTGATGATATTAAATTTTTTGCATTAGCGACGCAATAAACACGTGTAAACAGTTTGCAAGCCAAATATTTCATTTGATTTAAAAAATACGTTACTTATTGTGTTTCAAAGATCAAATATCAGTGGTAACAGTGATTATTCGCTTATTAAGTTGAAGAAAACCTAATGATAAATCGGTATATTAGGCGTGAACCAGATCGATTAACGTTTTAATAATATAATAAAAAAATACGTCGTGCTTAGCAAGCTGCAGTAGAGAATGCAATACTGTGCCACTTTAAGCTCAAGAGCCATCTGGCCGGGGATGGCCACGAGAAGGATCAGTATCCAAACCGAGCCTCTCTAATAAGCTCCAAGGGCGTCTGCTGGATAAAAATTCAAAAATATCTTTTCAGTGAGAAAAGTTACGAAAACTCGCTTGCGTGTACTTTGATCAGAAAACGTTTTAAGATTTATTTTAACAAAACAGAAATCATCCTATTTTGCAAGAGAAAATCGTGAATTCAAAAATAAGCCGTTATTTTTTCCTACTTTAGTCTTAGTTTACAAGTAGTTGGATGACAATCTTCGAGCGTTGAGCGATCTCTTTTTCCTTTTTATTCGAGTTACAAGGGATCAAATCTTCATATTAGTAAATGACCGTAGTTTGGTAACAAAAAATAAATATACATTTAAAAGATAACTAATAATATACTTTAGTGCATGGTAAACTGAAAGAAAGATAATAATCATTTCCTTAAAGGAAAGACAGGCTTTTTTTTTAATTTGCAAATTAACATGTATTTTTGCCAGTTAGAAATATTCTGTTGGAATATCGTAAGAACTACTAGCCATTTTCACATGTACGACGAATCTTTGGGAATTTCATTTTCTTCTCGTTGACGCATATGTAGACTACGAATACAGCGAATAGGTCACGTGATCTGATAAAATGGCCGTATGTAACGGAAAAAAGTAGGTGGCTATGTGCGTTCGGTTAATCCAAATTGCTTTGATATTTCCATTCGTAAGCAATCGTTTAATAAGGCATGAACATATAATTATTGTACTTTCGGGGTATATTTCGATGATCTTGCTTTAGATTGTTCAATAACGATTAGCAAGTCTCGAGAAATTGAACAAGTCAAAATATCAACAAACAGTTACGAGGCTTTGATTCATTTGTTATTGACGCGATGCTATTGTAAAATTGGCCATCGAATCGTTCGCAAAGGGTAGGAAAGGGCAGAAAAGAGTAGCGAACGTTGATCGAGGTAAGAATGCGAGGGGGAGAGAGAGAGAGAAAGAGAGAGAGAGAGAGAGAGAACGACTTAGGTGTATATTAATACTCGAGTACGATTACGAAAAGTTGATTGCAAAACTTTCTAAAATCGGTTTCGAACATATCTGAATAATGTTGGCGGCGCGTGAGTAAAAAAAGGGGCCGAGTCGATGCAGATACCGCAAGCATAAACGCGCAAAAATTCACGTCTGATTGCGAGCAAGGAAATCTGTTGGTTCGCAGAGCCGAGGGCAGCTTGCGTATCGCTGCTGCCACTGCGAATGCTGCTATTGCCAAGCTTTCGATTCGCTCGAGCGTCCACGCAGCGCGAGACGATGCGAGCAACAAGAGGGAAACTCTGCGTTGGATGCGGGACGCGCCTCTCTTCTCGCCTTACTACATCGGCATGCTATAGGCCGCTGCTGCTGTCGAGCACGTAACAGCAGTCGCGCAGCTCGAGACACTTTTTCGGCTAGGTAGCTCATTACGAAGATATCGCGAGAAACGATTACTCGTAGATTCGAGGCATTGCCGACGACGACGACCACGGCTCGTGCCGATGGCGCCACCAAACGGATGGATAATTTTTTCATCCTACCCAATGCCTTACCTGCTAGTGCAATAGCTAAGCTCGCCTCGATGTTGGGCCCATGGCTCGTATCTACCTCTGCCACAACTCCCATATACATAAGTTAGCGCGACCAAAATTTATGTTCAACCGTTCGAGCAATAATGAAAATAAAGCCACGTACTGCCGAGCTAAGAAATTTCCGACCCGAAAGCTCCCTACCCCCACGAATTATATACTTTATTGTTATGGAAATAAAACAATGCGAGCTTGAATACATTTTTTTACACCACCGACTTACTTTCTTTTTTTTTTACAACTTTTTAATTGTCGCATTTACTATTCATCATGCTGATCTCGATAAAACTTACATTTCGAAACGTACGAATTAAAATTGAGAAAATTTTGAGAAAATTTAAGAAATTTTTTTTTTAATTTCAGAAATTATCCAAAAGTTTTTAACGAAAAATGCAAGTCTGAAAAAATTTAATCATTTAAACAATGTCAATGTATAATTAGTACTAAAAATTACCAAGGCATTGTGGGTGGACATCGTAAGTCCAAGTATTCGAGTTAAAAAAATGAATTTCAGATCGATTTTAGGTTATTAAGTGGTCTATAGTATGGTATATGGGTGAAGCCGCCGAAAACAAGCATCGTATCGAAGTAAAGATATTGAGCAGCGAGTAACGACATTATTGCTCATATCGACGTCAACAAATTGTTCCAATGTGTATCTTTTCTCACATAGAGCTGATGCGACGAAAAAAGTTGACGTTTCTCTGATAAACGCAAATGAAAAACAAGTTTGAGAATAATAGCTGCAAGTTCAAATTTTCTTTTTATACATGTGGAAAACAGGACGATGATCAAATTTCGTCCGGTCGTAGCTTTTGCTGAAAGAAGACCACGAAAGTGATGTTGAGTCTGTGAAACATTCACAGACGAGTCAACTTAAATTGTTAACAACAATGAAAAATGTATTTATCGCTAGGTGTTATGGGCTGCTGCATGTGGTTTATCAAAAAAGACTGTTGCGAAGTACATATAAATGTGATGTATGTTAATTATATGCATATAATAATTAATGTATAAAAATGATGGCTATACGAACCTGTGCGTGGCTCTCTGCTGCGAGCCAAGTCTCGAATTGGTCAAATTCCTAGGTAACGCCGTCTCCTCGTCAACAAGCGAGCGAAATTATCCAAGTTCGCGGATTCTTTCGAGCTTTGCTTCTAGCTAATCGTGCTCGGGTTGGAAAATGAGAAATACACAAGTTACGAGTCCGTATTCGCGAATCAAGCAGCGCAACGCGTGAAATTTTCAACGTGACCGTGGCAAAAGATAATGCGCTACACCGAGGTTTCCGTACGACGAGTGCGATGTTCAGCGAAATATAAAGCTAATCGAGAGTCGGAGCGTCGAACGAAGGGACTTTCTCGCGAGATGCACACCCGATGTACGGACTCGCAAATATCCCTCGCTTTTTATCGTCAAAGGAAGCACGGCGGCGTGCGTAAAACACGGAGCACCTTACAGTTACATAGACTGCGGCAAGTTGCAAGCAGCTCGGGACTCGGGACTCGACAATCGGGATCTCTGCGATTCGCAACTCTAGACCGTGGGGGCGCTCATGACAGACTTTTCGATTCGTGCCAATAAAGACAGAAACTCATCTTGCCGACTCCGTCGAACGAAGGGGGCGGCACGAGCACGTGTAGTAGTAGCAGTATACGGACAATATATATATATTTCAAGTTTTAATGAATTGCACATCGCAGCATGGAGAATAAAAACTGGAGCGCCCAAGTATATGAATTCGTATACTTGGGATATAGGTAGCAGCGCGGTAGCAATGCTACGACTTGATAAAACTCAGTAATTGAGTAGATTTCGATTGCCTTCTGAGTAAACATAGTGCAGGCGTTCACACTGATTCTTACACCTAATTATATTTGTCTGGAATGGAATATCATATCAATCAATTTTGACGATAAGGTGTCGTCTTATACTGATTGAGGAAATTGCATGTCAAAATCTACAACTAATTTCCACCAATAACTTGTATTTCTGATCGATTTATATTCTCAGTTTAATTAAACTGAAATTTTCAAAAAAATTCAACTTTTTCAAAAGATGTTGTATTTTTTGCATTTTTGGATTCGTTGTGATGATTCCTTTGATTGTAATTTACTTAAAAATGTCAACGACAGCCCATATCTGAAACGAGTGAATGTTCTTTTTAAGTTAAAATAAAGTTTATTGCCTCGCAATATCTAATTTTTCAAAATATCGGGAAAGGTTGGAGGGTGTGTCATTAGTTTATTAGATGTTAAAAAAATAATTCTGTATTAATTGACGACATCGCTTTTTTTCCAATTTCGACTTCATCGTAGCCGACCAGAATTTGTTCAGTTTTTTCGATATTCTTTACAATTTTACCCTTGCATATATTTAAATAATAATTGTAACATAATTGTATGTAACTGTTCACAGGTAACATAATAGCGCAATTATTTGTCCCGCACGTTGCTTTGGTCGTGGCTGATGCAAGCGAAAAATGCCTCATTTGCCCATTCACCTCGAAGCCGGGCCCAAATAATTCCATTTTCGGATCACGGCAGGTCGTAAATATAAGAAGTGTTGGGTACTTGATAAAATCGGAGCATGCCTTTTCCCGGCTACTTTTACTGGACTATAATGACACTGTGACACTGCAATCAGCCTCATCTACTTGCTATATAGTTGCGCTATACATTCGACGACGTGATATAAGTAGATTTCTGTACTGATCTACGCAGGCAGGCCGAGCTGACGACTGCTGGCACGAAAACCAGTGCAGTGTCACTTTCTTGTATGTTGGCAAATGCGCTCGTATCTTAACTCTCTCTATATATACATTCGTATATACATGTATAGATAAAAGAAAAAAGTAAAAAAATGATATATGTATATATCCTAAGTATAATATGCGCAAAGCAAGGCTGGCCCTCGCGCTTGGATAACCGAGCGGCGCAGTGGTGAAGTTGCGGCACTCGGGTCGTCATCTACGTCGCCTGCAGCACTCCTGCTGTGCCCATTGACACCGCCACCGACGAGCGACGACGGGGGCAGACCCGAATCCCGATAACAGAGAGAGAGTCGGATAAGCGACGGGGAAGCTTCACTCGCCCTCACCGGCCTCCGCCGCCACTTTCCCTAATTCGATCCCGTAACCCGTTATAACACATCGCTCTTGTCGTTCGATTGGCCGTGCGTGCGCTACACACGAGTGTCTGCCAGATCAGCGCGTGCATCGTCAGTGTGACATCTGGCCCTTGTATCGTCGTTATACACTGACACAGTGACTGGACATGCGATTCACTCTGGACAACGTGAGTTTTTCCCGCAGGCATCGGCCAGAAAAAGTCAACGCCGACTGAGCCAGTTGGATGCTCATCGAGAACCTATTTTGCTTATGCTTTTTTTACCGTGTTCCGACGTAAGTACGTGCGCTTTCTCGTACCCACGACCTGCTCTATTGCACGCAGCGCTCGCCACGCTCTTTGGCCTCTGACTCTATATACCTATGCTTTTACTCGCTTACCCATCGTATTTGCTTGTCTAGCTACCTCCTCGTCGATACCTTAGTCGTCTGTACGTACGATGCCTTGACGTTTATTTTTCTCACTTTTTGCCGTTTCATTGAATCTGCTCCCCAGTCGCATTCGGTTCTCGCTTCGGCTGCCTTTTCTTCGATAGCTTATCAGACCCGACTAATCGTTTGCACTCTATATGAATTCAGAATTCTGTTTTGCTCGCTTGTTCACTCCTGCCTGTACATTTGACAGTTAACGTGTTTATACCTCCGGATTAATCGCTCTTTCGATTATTTACCATTCTCATTTTACTTAGTAAACTTGAAATAAAAAAATTATTGTACTGTTGGCAGATTATATCAAGTAATTGCAGCCATACATATTTTTTGGCCTTTTCAAATAGCTCCTATTCCCTTTTCACTTTTTTGTCTGCTGATCAACTCAAATAAAATACTTACCTGATTTAGGGTGTGATACTAATATTAAATATTTTTCACGTTTCTGCAACAATTCCTTTCAAAACAATCAAAAAAACTTCTTTCAATTTATACATTTTCATTTGAAAAAAAAAAACTATACCTTTTATTAAATTCATTTCTTTATCACAGCTGAATTCTTATTAATAAATAAAACATCATCTTGCTTGCTAGTTATTCTTTTTCTAATTTTACTATTTTTCTGTCAATTAATTTTGTAAATGTACTTAATATACATATATTTGTGACAGATGGCCATATGAGCAGAAATATCAACGATTGAATTGTCTGAATCATATTTTTATCTATATTACACTATATTTGGAAACATCAGACTAACTTTATATCAAAATGAAGACTGTAGCATTAATAAGCGGTGGCAAAGATTCTTGCTTCAACATGATGCAGTGCCTTGCTGCTGGGCACGAAATTGTGGCCCTGGCAAATTTGTATCCAATTGGAAAAGGTATTTAAATTTCATGCTACACTCAATAATTATGTTTATATTGAAACAAGTCATATTAGTATGTTTAGAGATTATAATTAATGTGTTAAAGTCCAATATTTTCATTTCGATTAATAAATGATAAATGAAAGTTGAAACAAAATACTTTAAACATCTTTAAAGAATTGCATTCCAATCTTATCTCGCCAAAAAAAAATTATCGTTCATCTTGTGATAAAGAATGTTCAATATTATTTTATGCTATAGTATTTGAAATTTTTGATATGTATAAAATAAAATAATAATTTATTAAAAAAATGTTTTTTTCTAATTATACAACTATACAATTCCTTTCATTTTAGATGAACTGGATTCATACATGTTTCAAACAGTTGGTCACCAAGGAGTAGAGTTTATTGGAGAAGCAATAGGATTACCTCTTTACAGGGAGCCTACAACTGGCCAATCTAAGATGCAAGAAAAAAACTACCAACCTACTGAAGAAGATGAAGTTGAAGATTTATATAGACTACTAAAAAAAGTCAAGGTATATGAGTAGTTCATTTCTCTAATTACTTTGTAATAAAGCACAAGCTGTAAAAGAAAATTTTGAACTTATTTTTTGAGACCTTGATGGCCCTCTTTGTTTTGATGTTATTAAAGATGTTGTCTCTGCTCTGTTAAGAAAATTATTCTGTAAAAGTCTCAAAAAATAGGTTTATTTATCACATTTGCGGTGCAAATTTTAAAAATTAATTAAAATACTCTGCTAAATAAAATACAAAATTAATTAAAATTAATTCCGATCTTTATAATATTTAGGACAAAGAAAATATTGAAGCTGTTGCCTCTGGTGCTATCTTTAGTGATTATCAACGAATAAGAGTTGAAAATGTGTAAGCATATGATGAACAGTAATCTCAAACTAAACTAGCTTGAAAAACTTACAAATTAATATTTTTTACAGTTGCAGTAGATTAGGATTGGTTTCACTTTCTTACCTATGGAGGAGAGATCAGGAACAACTCTTAAAAGAAATGATTGAATGTTCTGTAAATGCAGTTATTATTAAAGTTGCTTCATTAGGTTTGGAACCAAGGCATTTGGGTAAATCCATCTCCGAGATGCAGCCACATCTCACCAAAATGGTGAGTAAATATCTGAATGAATACATTTTTTGAGTTAAATTAAATTTGGATGGTTTCCAAATTTCCTTCTAAAGTTTTTATCATCCCTATCCATTAAATTCAATTTAGTAAGTGGTTTTCAAATTGTTCTGAATTTTGAAACAACATATAATATAAATTCTGAATATGAATGAAAGACAAAAATATACTCAGTATTATGTTTTTTTGCAGAAAGAAAAATATGGACTAAATGTTTGTGGCGAAGGAGGTGAATATGAAACATTTACCTTAGATTGTCCTTTATACATCAAAAGCATAGTTGTGTAAGTATTAGCATTTCAAGTTTTATAAAAAAATTGTAAAAAATTAATCAAATTATAAATATTCTAGAGATGAATATGAAAGTGTGGTGCATTCTAATGATGAAATTGCACCAGTTGGGTACCTGAATTTTAAAAAAATACATCTTGAAAATAAAAATGTAAGAAAAATTTTGAAAAACAACTTTTTGTTGATTAATAAGTAAAGTATTTCTTACAAAAATCATTGATTTCAGAATGGTTTAGAGAAATTATCACTTCAAGAAAGACTGAAAAATATAATGGTAAAAACTCCACTCGATTATATTTCTGAAATAGTTGGACCAGAATTGCAAGATGGCTGCAACTTATCTGATGAAGAAAATGAGGAGCAGGAGAAAGATAACAACGACCCACAAGCGACAAATACTGGTAATAATAAGTGTATACTAGAGCATTTTGAAATTACTCATTTCATCTCTAATTGTAACTTTATCAAATGATAATAAGTTACAGGCCAACTAAACCCTCCAAGCCTACAAGATGAAACGTTCGAAACTGAAGAATACCCAGAAAATCCATGTGTCAGTAGGAACCAAACTGGCTGGTACTGGTTTGGTAGTATTGTTGGGAGAAATTCAGAACCAAAGCTTGCTATGGCCGAAGCATTAGACAAATTAATAGGTAAAATGTTATTTCGTTTTTTTTTGATAAAACTGTTATTGAAAGTTGATTTACTTTATCTTTCATTTTCCAGATCTAGTCAAAAGAGAAAATCTTGATATATCTGATATTGTTGCTGTGACAATGTTTTTGAAAGATTTATCTACTTACGCAGATATTAACGAAATTTACGTGTCAAAATTGGCAAAAGTCAATCCTCCGGTGAGGGTGTGTACAGAAATTCCCAATAATTTTCACATTGTTTTGGATGCATTAGCTTATAAAAAAATCGAAGAAGAAGACGAAAAGAGCGATAAGAAAACGCATAAGAGACACACGATGCACGTTCAAAGCATAAGCAATTGGGCACCTGCCAATATCGGACCTTATTCGCAAGCAGTTCGAGTAAGTAAATAATTCGCTTACACGAATTCTCGCTTTTCCTCACTATTTTTGATAAAATACACTGATAAATGAAATTTAAGATGTTCAACGTCATCTCTATCAGTCTCTATCTCTTTTGAATGTCTCAATATAAACTCTCGGTTATAATTTGTTCAATTTTGATATAGTGAGCATATAATAGTATTTCAAATTTTCGTAGATAATTTCAAGTAATGAAACTAGTTTAAAAATCTAAGATTATGTTAAATAAAAATAACTTTTATTTTTGCTTAAAAGAAAAATTCAAAAATAGTATCGAGTAACAAAAGAAAAAAGAATTACATGATCATTATGCATGAGAATAGAATAATATAATTATAGCACTATCTTCTTCAAATTCTTTATAAAAAATTATCGTTTATTTTACTTTAAAGTTGGTTTTGCGGGCATGCAATTTAAATTTTGGTCAATTGTAATTACATTAATATCTATGTTCTATTTTATTTCCGTCATTCATTGATTGGCATTTTGTTGTATGCAATACATGTTATGAGTTTATTGTTGAACAACCAAGATTTTGTGCGGTTAATTTCACATGTCATAAGAATAGATAAATCAATCGATTTTTTGTGCGCGCGTATGTTATAATTCGAAAGTATATACTAGCGCACATTTCTGCCAAGTCAGTTTTTCTAATTTATTTTTATCAAGATGAAGAATGATTTTTTTATTCTTTTCGAACTTCTTTAAACTTTGCATAGGTAGGCGATATAATCAGTGTCGCTGGACAAATTCCATTGATCCCAGGAAATATGTCGATTCTCGAGTCAAATATCAAGCGCCAGTGTCGGCTGACGTTGAGACACATCAACCGCATCGTCAAGGCCATGGACTCAAACACCGAATTGAGACATATTGTGCAGGGCATTTGCTTTCTCACTCATCCCAACTCGATACCTGCCGCGCGAAAAGAATGGGAAAAGCGCACTAACAATGCCATAGTCGATTATGTGGTGGTTACAGGTCTTCCACGTGGTGCACAGGTCGAATGGTGCGTTTGGGCTCATCGTGACAACAATAGATTTGAATGTGAGTTGTTGTTATTTCTAATGACTATTATTAGCGTCGCGGGTGTCACGCTAATGTTCAAAATTCGAGGGAACTAGTAAGAGAGAAAAGTACAAGTCGTGGCTTTTATTAGACTCGAGTATATGTTGCACACACATATTTATCCACTGTTGATGCATACGTCAATGAGCTATTGTACTATATTATTTGTTTCCTTATTTCCACTTAACCATTCGGTGATGGCTTTATTTTCGTCTGATTCTTAAGAGAATTCTACACAACATTAAGTTATATTTAGGATCTACTATATATGTATTTTAAACATCTATGACAATGTGTGCATTTTGTTTTGCGAATACAGACGAAGAGACCGGCAAGTGCGTTGGCAGCTTCAAAGTGGCCATTAGAAGGAGGTGGAACTACGAGAATAACGTTTCAGCCATCGTGTGTTACCTATCGACTGGTGAGTTGTTGGCGGCAGCCAAACTACGACGATCCAAGAAACAATAGAAACTTGCTCATACGTATGATTTCATTTTTATTCATTTTTTTCAACAGGTTCGTCCAATTCAACCGGGAACTTGACCACAGAAACGACAGTCTCATCGTCGGACTTTACGCTGCCAGAATTGATCGAGGCGTTCGAGTACCTGCTGTGCAAATTAACTAAAGGCTCACAGGTGGAAAATCCCTCGTGCAATTTGCGTATATTTTATAAACTTGGTAGCCTGCCAGGACCTAGCTTTATACAGCAGGCCCTAAACCACTTTGCTGATCGCAATCTTGTCACGACTATTATACCAACGCGGCATTTGCACAACTTCAGTACTTTTCTGTCTGTGTGCGGCATCAGGCACGAATAATGGGAATACTTGATTTTTTGAACGTTTATATATTGCATATATGTACGGATGACTTGTACTCTTTCTCTCTTTTTCGTATGCTTATTGATATACTATCAGTTATTGCATAAAGTGAAAATTTGAATGAGCCATGAACAGATGTAATGTCTTACATATGTATGAGCACAATGTTAAAAAGTCTATTGTGATAAGTTTTAATGAACTTGTCCGTTTGTTTTGAGTTTTTATTCTTATTTCATGTATATTTTATTGAGCTCATATTTCTCAAAAGTTGATAAAACTCGTTGTTGAGATAAGTTCTTTATTTGTAGTATACAACCCAATAAAATGATGGATGATTAGAAAACTGAATGTTTGATTGATGATTTTAAATTTTAAATATTGTTGCTGCATTTGACATTGAACATTTTTTGTCATTATTTTTAATTTTCTTATTTTAAATTATTTTGATATTTTTTCAGTAATTATTGGATTTATTTAGAATTTTTCAATTATAACGATATCATCACTGCAAAAAAACTTCTTATACTTTGAAAAGTAAAAAAGAGAAAAAGAGACACATATTAACTGCTGAAACGTATCGCATGGACAATGTACATAAATAGACTATCTGTACACTTCATCGGTAACTCATACACTCGATACTTTTTGACAATGTATTTAGATACTTCTTACATTTTCGCTAGTCAACGGGTCGAGTGCAATCCTAAAGAGGCCGTCCCAGCACTCCGAACAATACGACTTTTTTGTGTATAAATTTGTATAACAGGATTACACAACTTGGCTGCTAATAGAAAACAAATCTACATTCATTCATAAGTGCTCAATTTCGCAATTCATATTGCTTTTTATATACATTGTCATTTATGCTATGAATGAGATTAAAGTGTTCATTTTTAAGGTAAATTATTGAACTTCATTAAGAACCAAAATTACTTTTAAACTTATATTTATCATCAATCAATAACGTATTATCAAACAGTTTATAATCTAATAGGTACATAAAAATATTTTATACGTATATTTCAATAATGAAAATGAAAATTATCAAAGTATAAACACCTTTACAAAATAATGAAATGATCTTCGGAGGAAAAATTTAACTGTTACTAAAATTTCAATTCAATAAGTAAAAAGACTTTTTCCATTGGAATATAATTCTTGAAAAGTTTGATGAAATTGTTTCAATAACAATAATACTCTACGAGCAGGTAAAGAATAAACGGCACAAGGGTATTTAGAAAGGTTTTCAGCATGAAATGAAACATTTTAAAAATCATTCACATGCTTTATAAATGTAAATAATGAAAAATATTGTAAAATTCTCTTAGACTGTGAAAAATTGTCAATAGAATCTTGCATTATCAAAAGAAATTTTATTCATTATTGTTGATTCTTAAATATTAAATTCTGTAAAATTATGTAAGTAATAATTTTCTGTAGTGCGTGATGGAATTGTATGATTATCCAGGTATAAATGAATTGATACAAAACTAATCTATAACTGGCCAGCAGCCCTGTGTGTGATATAATTCAAATACTATGAAATTGAAAAGGGTGAGAATTCGAGGAAAATTCAAACTCGACCTAATAAAATCAAGTATTACCGATAATAAAGAAAAAAAAGAAAAAAATCTATTTTTAAAATGAGTTTCTATTTATAATTTGTTGCTGAAATATTCTAAATGTTATTCATTTTATTCATTTACTGTTACTGATATTAATCAATCAATTTTTAATGTTTATAAATGAAATTTATTAGTGGAAGAAGAATGGAAATTTCACAAAATATTGTCATATGTTTTTCATTTTGTTTGTGTACATTGAAATATGTCAAAGTTCCTCAATAAAAAAAAGCCTAAAATTTACATTTCGTCGTCGATATAACGTAAAAGATAAAAGAAAAACCAAAACAATTATTAAAAACTGAACCTAAAGCTGATTGTTGCAATTTATTATTTTAGTATCAATTATACATAATTTTATAATATACATTATAAGGATACATGATTGTTTAAATTAACAAAAATTTCGCAAAAAAATTTGTTGACGTACAACGCGTCACAGGTACAATTAATGTAGTTAACAAATATTTTTTGAGATACATTTTCATCTGCTCTCTTTCAAACATATAATGTCACTTGTGCACAATTTATTCAGTCACATAGTCATTTGAAGTTTAACCAACTACACACAATCATTTTACATTTAGTTTAATTCGTTCATATTACAACCTTAAAACAATATTCAACATTTCCACTCATTGCTCCAGATACTTAATTTTATATGATTGATATTTGCTGAACGTTTTTATTTCATTTTAACCTCATCATTGTAATCGATGTATCGATCGATTTTAATAACTTTTACTAGACATCTACAAGATGTGAATGTAATTGCTTTTAATGTACATTATTTAAAAAAAGAAACCTATAATTTTTAATTTTTATATAGAAACTAGAGTATTTTCTTCTACTTTTTAATTAGAAGAACTGATTCCCCAAATAGTTTTCCTTGTCAGTGTTCCAATGGATGGGTCCCACGCAATCTTTAAAAATAAAACAATTACATTAAAACTTGACATAAGAGGATAACAATTAAAATTACTGTTCAACTAAATTAATTTATAAGTACTTTTTACTGCCATACATTTACTGCACTAATTCAAAAGTATGACAAACAAAAACATTTAAATTTTATTTCATTCATTGATATTAATATTTTAGAGAATGAAAAAACCAGAGTTTCACTGCAATGAAACTTACTTAGAACACGGCACGCAAAATGTTCCAATATATATTTGGGTGTTATTTGCTGCTTTTTTGTATTCGTGCTGCCACTGGGCGACACTATTCCGTTCGTGATTAATGCCACCAGGCTCTTTGGAATTGCAATTTGAGCAAACTGCGCATTCTTGACAATGCCATCTTCCTGAGGGTACTCTTCTCAGACCAACGCAGTAAATGTGGAACCTAAAATGTATAATTTTTATTGAGTTTAGAAGTAACAATTATTTTCACGCAATATAAAATGGATTTTTTGAAATTTACCCTCTGTCACACATGTCACAAAAAAGCATTTTATCTTCATCTGCAGGATCGTGACACTGAGCACATGTCTTGCAGTCTGTACATTGCCATGGATATGTTCGGATATGGGGTACCATATCAAGGGTCAAATCCGTGCATGAGGGATGCACTGTAATTGAATTATTATAAATCAATTAAAAATATTGTAACAAAGTATTGGTTTGAGAATATGAAATAGAGACAAACCATGTTTACTGCACTTCCCACAAGCTATTAAAATTTCAGCCTGGTTTAATTTATTCAGATGGTTGGAACACATTTTGCATTTAATATCTGAATTAACATCGATTTCTCCCATTGTCGATTGGGATTCTGCTTCTTCTGAATCTGGTCCTTCATCACTTGATGAAGAGCTAGAAAATATTATTAAATAATTATCCAATTAGATCGGTTTTCATTTGAAGCTTGTTAATCTATATATTGTATTTGGGTAAGCGTAAATATATTGGATTATTATGGGCAACGACTAGATACCCTCACAAAAATAATCATAAAACACTTGCCTAGAATCACCAGATGTAGAATCACTATCGCTTTCACTTTGAGACCCATCGGACTGACTATCGAACTGTCTTTCGTTGGGTTTCATCGGTCCATACATTACTGTATTCAAAGGGAAGTATCTAAGTTCATTCGAATTATACTCTCTATAAAACTCTGCAAATTGTCCTGGTATGACAGAACAAGGATAATGATTTGTCGACCGTCTTTCTGGATCATATCTTACTGGTCTCTTCGGTTTGTGCACGGTAAAGGTTTGAAGATCGAGGCTTGAAGTTCGAGAATCAAGTCGTGATTTGTTCAGACGAGTGTTGAAATTAATTGCAGATTGCATGGCCATCTCAGCGAGATCAATTCGGTTGCGTTCGGCATTGGCAGCAGCTGCGAGCTCCTTTTGTTTTTTCGAATGTTCTTTGACTTGTTTTTCGCGTGTATATTTGCGATATTCTTCATACTGCTCAGGAAAATCGGTGCACATGATGTCCAAAACTTCGGAGCTTGAAACAGCTGTCAAACCTAATTAACAAATAAATTTTTTTTAGTTTTTTTTTTCGTTTTTGATATTTGGAAAAAAAGTATTATCTTCTTACCCATGTCGCACATCGACTCGCTAACAAGTCCATGTTCTCTAAGATAGTTTCTTTCTTCCATATCGACCATACGTCTCTTGAGATCGGGATATTTTCGTTTAAAGCTTTTAACACCAAGATATTGCGATATTTGCTCTTGAATCATGAAAGTTTCACCACGAACACCGCTTGGTTTTGTCTCATCGCGGCGCGGCCATTCGTATTCGGCTATTTTTTCAACGGTAAATGGCCCCTCATCTGGATCGAAATTGATTTCCATGCGGCGAGTTCTCTGTACTTTAATTTTTTCAGACTCAGTAGTAGCGGTGCTGCCTTGAGATTCATCGTTCACTAATGGTTCGGACATACCTGGTAAGCGAATGAGAAATACGTACTTTAAATTTTTCAAACAGAAAAGTATCATCATTACTATTTCATATAATTTCTTATTTTGTTTTTTGAAATAACATTAAGAGATAGAAATTTCCTTTGCAAGTAACATTTAATGGTAATATGCGGCATGTGCTGCTCAATATTTTCAAAGAAAACTCACCTGTTGTGGGAACGTTTCGAGCTGGTGTATGCGATCGGGAACCGCACTCTGCACTCATTCTAGTCTCCTCGTCCAACACAGCTGCAATAGGTTCACTTGGTCCACGTATAGCAGGTTCAGTGGGAGCGAGCCAATTCTCTTTACCGCAAGTAGATGTAGCCTCCTCAACGACAGCTTTTGATAATTTCATCGAATCCACTTCCATAGGTGTTATTTCAGTGGTAGCCACAGGTGTAGAAGGCGCTGTATCCAGGTCTTCTACTGTCTCGACGTTTTCTTTAGGTAATTGTTGAAAGTCGACTTGTGGAGGTGTAATTTTTAGCGTTGGTGTGGGTACTCTCGCTAAATTAATTATTTCCACCTCACGTAAATGCGGTGCCGTTCGTTCTACAGTGGGTTGATTAAGAGCACGGAACAACTCGGAAGCACTGTGTCGCGTGCCAGCGGAAGGATCTATTGGTAATTTTTTCAACGTTACAATTGGTTCTGTAGCTTCAATTTCTGGGTAATCAATTTCGATACGTGATCTCTTCGGGGCTGGAGGTTCGCTTTTTCGTTTACCTCGACCTGTAAATATCAGTCATTTATGAGTGAACAATAATATATTTATAAGTTTACACTATATGAAAAAGTGCAGCAACTCACCGCGTCCACGACCACCTCTTTTGGGAGGCGCGTAACTTTTTCGTTCCACTCGACACGTCCTTCTCGGTCTTTCACTATTATCTGCTGCAGCACCGGGTGTGCTTGGCGTTACAGATTGATCCAAATTCAAAGGATCTTGTAAATGCTCTGAGCCACCTGTTGCCACGGAAGCAATAGTGGCAGCGGCTGCGGGAAGTGGATTTCGTCTCGGGCGACCTCGCTTTTTCGGTATTTTAACTGGAGGCAAGTCCTCCATTATCATGACATCTTGACTCGAGCAAGATTCTTCGTTAACTAATACTAATTCTGGCTCAGCCTGATGTTCGATGATTTCACAGTCGGTATTCAAAGATTCTGTCGGTGCGTTCAAAGCACTCTTCAAGCGCTCGCTCATCGAGCTTTCCACTGAAGCATAAGCAGATACCGGTGTAATACTGATTTCCCTATTAAAAACATTCATTTGTTGTCGGCTTATGCTTCCACTCTTAGAGTCCAACATCAATTTTGGCTGTGGAACTGGAACTGGCTGAATAGTGAAGTCGGACGGAGGTTGCATTGGATTAAGGTCTAATTTCATTTTCTTCGATTCGATCGGGGAAATCGTAACTTCAGTGCGCTTGTAAGATAGTTCAGTCACTGGCCTATCTATTATTTGACTTGGTAATGCTTTAATCGTAACATCTTCCGAAATATCTGATGGATTGACAATGGTTGGATGGCCAGTTTTTGATAATTTTATCTTCATTTCTATATGAGCATCTTCTTTCGGTTTTTGTAGTACGTGCTCCTGCACGATAGACGGATCTCCTGTTTTCGAGAGTTTGATCTTCATGCCAAGATGTTCTTGCATTGTATCGTGAACTTTGGCTTTTTTGGAAATTTCAGTTAACGGCTGCTCTTCCGTTTCGTTTGAAATTATCGATGCGTTTCCGTCCTTTGTTTTAGATAGTTTTATTTTGACCGAACCCATTGGTGACGAGGTTCGTTCCATTTCTGTTGTTTTAGAAATGTCATCCAATACGACTGAGGCATCTCCAGTTTTTGATAATTTTATCTTCATACCAATTGGCGACTCTGTGCGCGTCTCTTCTGCAGATCTTTCCTTTTGTTCGTCTGACTGTACAATGGACGCATCGCCAGATTTAGACAGTTTTATCTTCATACCGATCGAAGGAGAGTCTTGTTTTTTCAGTACCAATGATTCCTATTATTAAAATATACTCAACATTAAAAAAAAGTATTTAAAAAAATTAGTACAAAATGAAAAAATCCAAACTAACCGTGTAGGTCTGAGATGCATCTTTTGTAGAGGAAGTATCCGGTTGAACTATTGATGCATCGCCACTTTTTGACAGTTTGATCTTCATACCAATCGATGTTTCGGGCTTCAGTACGTCGTCATCGGGACAAAGTTTACGTTTACTTCCAGTAGATGGACTGTCTGTGTGCCAGTCCTCCATGCCAGAAGTTTCGTTACTTTGAATAATTGAAGGATGACCACCTCTAGATAATTTTAATTTAATCTTTCCAAGTTTTTGATCCTCAGGTGCTGGTGAGTTCGTTGCCGAACGAATTTTGGGGCTCATGGGCGATCGCGGCTCTGAACAATCTGTTATCGCCGATTTGGCAATTTTCAAAATAATACGAGGAGATCCTACGTTTTCGTACTGGAGTTGCTGTTGCTTGTCACCGCTGTGTTTTTCCGGCAGTTCTCCTGGTTCTGGGGTTTGCTTTCGGGACTCGATAACTCCGTTGGTACTAGATGAAGAAGATTCAGAAGTCTCGTCGCTACTAGCTTGTTGCTCATCTTCTGGTGCTGAAGATGCAGCAGATTCGGAGGATAATTTCGAATCAGCAGCTGAGAAAGCCTGTACAGACAATTGATCAACGATTAATAAAACTTTCATAGTTATTTTTACTTTTAATGTAAAATTAAATTCTTGAATGCAGATATAAATGCCTAATATAACTTTTATGTGAAATGGTTAAAACAAAATTATTAAAATAAGTGATAAATAAAATGGTAGAGTACTGTCATACAAAAAAAACATGAAACCTCTATGTCAGAAATTATAATGATTATTGGCAATTAGTTATAAAACATAAATTTACCTTTGAAACATCTTCATCTGAAACTACTATTGTTGAATCTTGCTGAGTTTGTAAAGGACTTTTATTTGATACTTCTGAGCTTTCTAAAAATTTTTTCTCTTGAATGGAGCTCGGAAACTTTCCCTCTAAACACTTTTCTTCTTTTAATTCGTTTTCCTCCTCGGTGGGATTTAAAGCAGCTTCATCCATATTAATATTTTTGTTTTCCTCATCTGCTTTTTCAAATTGTTCCCTAAGCTCCAGTTTTATTTCATGTTCTCTTTCCAATTTGGCAGCCTCTGAGATTATTTCTGCTTCCGAAGTGTCAATCGAATTTGAAATAATTTCGTTTGTTGTTGTATCCATATCTTCTATGTTTACATTTTCATCAGATACTTTAATATCAACAAATGAACTCTCTACGGAATGATCAATTTTAAACATATCATTTGTCTTCAAGTTTTGTTCTACTGATTCTTGCAAACAATCAACGGCAGATTCTAATTCTGATACTTTTTCTACGTTAGACATTGTACTTTCAAACTGATCCGACATTTCAATTTCATCATTATTCACAGGATCTGAATTTTCTTGGCTCTTTTCATCCATTTCGATAACAGGGTCATTACTCATTTCTACTGCATCATTTGGAACACAACGATCATACAATTCATTAATAGATTCATCATTTTCCATTGGCGGTGACTGACTAGATTCCTCAAATACAATAGATATTCCATCTCTATTTACAGACTCAATTTCTGTATTTTTCAAATTTTCTTCTGCAGATGTTAAATTACTTGGCTGAATACTAGAATCTGAGGAGTTTTCAGAATTTTCATCAAGAGTTTTTGCTTTATCGAAACTATCACTTGTTTCACTTGTAACTTCTTTGGTTTTTGATAAACTGTCTGGTTCCGAATCAATATTTTTTTCTGAATAACTCAATGAATTTGAGGCTAATTGTTCATGTCCTACAATATCATCAAGTTTTTGATTGTAATCAAAATTTTGACTCAAGTCTGTTTCCATTTCAACAGGATTTTCTAAAACAACACTTGAACTATCACTTTTTAACAAGCCACTCGATGAATTATCATATGACATTACTTCTTCTGGTATAGATGATCGTGCAATAGGTGAACTGTATTCTTCTGGTTCTAAAGATAAATTAACTTCAACTACATTTTTCGCTTCATCTTCGTTCTCAGAAGACTCTAAGTTTCCTAAACTTGCCAGCATATTATTTGGATGATGGTTTTCTACTTCAGATTGTTTAATATCTTGTTCAGCTTCTTCCATATCTTTGGTTTCAGCTTCTTCAGAACTTTCGAGCATAGATGAGCCTGCATTTTCATCAGCTGATTCTTCTTCTGCAGTTTTAAAACTATCATCATCTTTATTTTGTTCTGCTGGTATTGGTTCATCTAATATAGCAGCACAATTATCGGTTTTCAAATCTTTAGCATTATTGATGATCTCATCAACTTTTATTTCTACAGATTCAGCATGAACGTTTTCTGATTCATTGTTTTGCTGTTTTTCTTTGGAACTATTGGCATTCAAATTTTTTTCATTTTCATCAGATTCTTTAGACACTTTAACCAATGTTGAATTTGATTCTATAACATCGGATGTTGATTCTTGGGGAAATTCCTCAAGATTTTGATCAAAAATATCTTCTTCATCTATTGAAGCAGCAGGTGTTTTTATAGTTTCTTTTAACTCATTATCAATACTCTTGCCTATCGGATTATGAATATTTTTCTCGTTATTTTTTAAGATATGATCAGTGCTATCCGTAATCAAATTTACATTCGGTTGATCGTGATTTTTTTGCATTTCTTCATGTTCATGAGACAATTCATTATTTGTGATTTCATTATTTTCTTCTACTACAGGATCTTTTGTTATTGCTGTCTCAAAGTCTACTTGTCTATAAACTTCAGGAGATTGAGGTTCTGTCTGTTTATCGGAACTAAAATCAGCAAAATTTCTTTTTGTAATATCTTCATTGCTTTTTACAGGTTTAGAAATTTCTGGGGTCTCATCCGAATTAGATTCTGAAGAATCATGCGAATCTTGAGAACAATATGCTTCACTTAACATGGCTAAACTACTATGTACAGTTTTAGTTTTATTTTCATGACTACTACTTAATTCATTGGACAGTTCAGATGATTTTACAGACATATTGAACTGATGAGTTTTATCACTACTTTCCAATTCCCTGTTTTGAGGGAAATTTGATTCATCTTCAAGTTTATCCATTGCTGCAGAATTATCTAATTTTTTAAAATCATCTTTAGGGGGTGAATTTTGTAAGTCACTTTTTCTAGTATCAACATGACTGCTTGTGTTTGTAATAATTTTGGATAAAGCATCTATTTCACTATCAAGGGTAGATTCCAAAGTACTTTTTGATGGCACTTCACCAGAATCCATTGCTCAAAGTAACTTTAAATCACCACAGAAAATAAAAATGCTTGTTATTTACTGTAGTTTTTATACTTTCAAAAAAGAAATTTGTAGAACACATTGGTTTACACGATGCAAAGTCACAATTACAGATGTAGGAATGAGCGTTTAGCATATGTATGGAACATTTTTTAAATAGTTGTAATGTTATTATGCACAATTGTAATTTATTTGTTTGGACTCACTTCCATAAAGGTCGGTGTACATAAAACATAACCAACAAGATATCAACCGTTCACCTCACGTATCATATTTTCGATAAAAATTAAAAGTTTACCAGTGAAAAAAATGACTTTTTTCAGTGCAAATGTATTAACAATCAATTAAATGAAAACGTTAGTTTGTCTTAATGAAACTATGCAGATGTCATATAAATATTTGTGAAATAACACTGGAACGGACGCCAACCGTTAATCGTTCCCCCCTGAAACTGACGACGTGCTTCTGGTTACAGTCAATATAGGCGCGCTCATGAACATCCAGTCAACTCTGTCTATAGGCTGTTTTCACAGTCGTCAGTGACGGTCAAAAATCGACCAGCTGATTTGACTGGAGGCCAAACAAAGCGACCGCCCGTATACTTTACATATTAAAGTTGGTTGGTAAAAGTGCTTATAATTAGTTTAACGCTCAGTAAAAAAATAAACAAAAAATATCTGGAGAAAGCGGAAATCCTTGTGTATCGAAATATCGAAGCGGTTTTTAGTTAAAGTCTTTAGATTGTAAATAAAAAAACATTGAAATTTCGGCTTTTTTGTCTGTTATATTGTCAATAAACTCTAATAAAATAGTTATTAAAAGTGGTTTTTTGGGTTGCAATACAAACCCTCAAGCGGAGAATTGTTTATTCTTTCAAATTACCAATGAAAAACTAAAAAACAATCGTAAGTTTTTTTTAGTTTAGACCGTCACTGACGACTGTGAAAACAGCCTATATGTTACATGCATATATATAAGTTCCAGTGTTGCGGCACTTGATTAAGCTGACTTTGAATTTGCCGATTATTTTTTTAGTATTAAATATAAGTACATATGATTTTTTTTCAGGGATAAAAGTTAGCTAGTTTGAAATTGTATTAAATTTTATTTATAAAAAAAATATTTTGTTTAAAACATTACAGAGTATTTTATAATTCTACTATATACAATAATAATACAATCAACTTTTTACTTGCGCTTATTCGCAAGTTGAGAATTTCTCTTTATTTTTTCAATCATACTATTGACTTCGCGATTTGTTTCACTTATTTGAGCCTTTTCTTTTACACCTTTGTTGTCTCCATTAGTCTGTAAAAAAACAAAATGATATTCAATATTAATATAATTTTGTTATTTATAGAAAATCAATGATTTTAATATCAAAATAAGAAATGAATGTGCTTACGTAATTTGTAGATTCATATGCTTTTTTCTTGAGTTTTTCTTGGATAATTGCTTCAGTACCCTTTGTTTTTCTATAGTGAGGATCAGTAGGATCAATATTATACATATGTGATGAGTATACATCAGCAAAACGAGGGTCATGAACATCAACAGTAAAACTGTCTTGGACTGCCTCAGCTTGTAAATCTTTCTTCTTTTTGCTAAGTCGCTTCTTTTTAGATTTTGATGCAGCTTCTGCTTCTTCAATTCTTTTCATATTGAAATGGTGCTTATCATCTGTTTCATCATCCATCATAATTAATTCCAATTCTGCCTGTTGCTTTTTCTTTTCTTCTTCTTCAGCAGAGTCAATATCTTGATCCTTAGACAACTTCTTTTTTTTAGTTGGAGGTTTTCTATTTTTGAATTCTTCTGCAAAATATGGATCATTCATATCTATATCAGATGGAATCGAATCATCACTATCAGATAAATCATTGTCCTCATTGTTACTGTTCTTCTTATTTCGTTTGGCTTTTCTCTTTTCTCTGCGTTTTTCTAAATATTTCTCAAATGGTGTTAATTCTACTTTTTCTTTCATTTTTTTCTCAACAAGTTTTTCAGCTTTTTCTTTAGTTCCTACTCCCCATGTGAATTCCAGTTGAACATCTTTTTTCTTTTTTTCTTCCTGTGCTTCTTCAATAGATTGCAATAGAGATTTGTATTTTTCTATAGTGTTTTTATTTCCTTGATCAGTATCTACTTTTTTCAACTGTTTTTGAACTTCATCTTCTGATTCATCATCGCTTGTTCCACTTGCAAGGTAAGCCTTTATATCATTTCTATCAATGTCATCTACTTTTCCAGAATTAAGTTTAGCACTTATTTCTTTTCGTTCTGGATTTGTTTCATCCCAAGTGCAGTCCACTTTGACTTGCTGCAATGCAGTATTGGTAAACAGTCTAGGTTGATATTGAGTTAGATCTGGTAACACAGTGCACACTTCTTTAGGTTCTTGATCAAATGTCATATCATTGGGAATAAACCTTAAATCTAGTTTAGTAGCTGAGGACTCATACTCAATTCCATCGCACTCGCTGTAAACTTTGCTGGCAGTTTCAACTGAATCAAAAACAATCACAGCATAATAGTACTTCAGCCTATTCAATTGATATTGTCTTAACTTTTCCATATGGTAGTGGGATCCTTCTTCATTTTCATTACTTACACCATTATCTTTGTCATGATTGGATTCAACAAGCTCTATGGGTCCTTTTACTTCTTCTTCTTGCATGCGCTTCAGTCCAAATTCAGATGGATAAATTGTTACACTATGAATAAAAGCACCAGTGGGTAGAAATGAATTGAAAAGTACCATTAGGTCTGAGGCTCTTATTCTATCCCAATCCAAGTTACAGGCAGCTAAACGAGCAGTACTTTCTTCAGTGGTTTCAGCATCTTTGTCCAACTCGCCCCATGCATGCTCAATACCATCATCGCTACTAATATTGTCTTCCTCGTCAGATTCATCATCCGATGAACTGCTTGACATAAGAACTCCTTCTCCTCTAGCATAATCAATAGTCAGATCTCTCAGTTTTTTCTTAGTTTGAGCATCCAATTTTTTATCATCTTTTTTTTTGGTAAACAATTGTTTTTCATTCTTCTGCTGTTCTTTTTTGTTTTCATCAGATTCATTGTCTGATTCACCGCTACTTTCTGTTTCACTTTCTTTAGATTTAAGATCACTTTTATCACTAGAAAGGTTTGACACATTGAATCTTTCATCAACATTGACTGTTGCTTGCTTCTTGTTTTTCTGTTTTGTTTTGTCTGCTTTCTTTTGTTTTTTTACCAACTTTTTGGTATCAGCAACTTCTGTTGTAGCAGTATCTTCTTGACCGGAGAACTCTTCATCGCTGGATAAATGGTAAAATTTTTTCAAATTGTCCGTCGATGATTGATGTAGTGGTCTACCTCTTTTATCAATAGAGGTTGTTGTAACGAATTTTTGGTCATATAACATTGGCCGGAACCTCTTATCAATTTTCACTTTTCTTTCACTTTTAGGAATTCGACGAAATTTAGGATCTTTTGGAATATGAGCAAAACGCTCATCTTTTGAAAAATCATCCATTTTTAGATGGTTGTTTTATTAATGTAAATGAATTGAGCTAAACAATACACCGATGTTACATGCACGAGTCGCGACAGCAGACACGCCAAGAGTGAATGAAAAAGCACATGGCACATAGGCTACTACTAGCTCTGTTATTCGTATGCCACTAGCTGCTAGGCTGTGCGGTGCTGCCATCTAAAAAATTGAGAGGCAAATTTAAAATGATTTTGAGTAGTGTTGTGGCGTTTGCTGCGGAGGCCAGGCGTTTTATATACTTAAATACTTGACTAGTACTTGAGACTAGATTACAATTTGCATCGATCTCGCCTTTAAAAAATTCTAAGAGTTAAATAATCGTCGTGTTGTTGCCAAATTAAGCCGTGCATCGGTGGTTTTATACGACTAGTGAGTTGCAAAATAGAGCTTATTTCAAGGCTAGACTCGTGCAGGTTTGTGCGAATTGAATGAATTCAATGCAATACACTCCCTTATTTTACTCATCTCTAAACATTGGCGATACAAAGAGGGCTTTCTGCTTGTGAAGAATGTGGGCATGTAGTTTGCACGATCGGTTTAATATATCTTTAAAAATTGCTCGAATAAAATATTTCGTTTATATTGAAGTTATATTTTCTTACAAGATTTGAAAATTGTTATTCAAACATGATAAACTTATGGTATGAAAAATAGTGTACATCGTTAAACAATGAATAGCCAAGGACACATACATTCGAGGGAATTATTTGCTCAGGATCGTCATTAATCATCAGGAGAGGAGAAGTTGGATTTGGAAAGCTCGAAAGCTTTGAAGCCGCAACGCATGAAAAGGACAAGCCATCAAAGAAATGTAACTAAAAAACAATTGCCGTTGTAAGTCGAGGTCGTGTTTGAAAGACTGCAGTAGTGAAAAGCTAGAGAAAAGTCAGTGATGGACAGATGCTTGCAAGCGGTATGGAGATGGGTGAAGCCGCTGGTGAACTGGCGACGCAGCTGGAGACGTCGCCGTCGACGGCAGCGCAGGAGCGACGGATCGCGGCACGCGTGCGAGTTCGAGCAGGGCTCCGAGAGCCAACTGGCGAGGTTACCGCCCAACGCGGCGCTCCGGTCGCGCCTCAAGCGCCGCCTGCAGAAGGTCCTGCTGGTGAGCTCGACGCACCCGTTCACCCGCTACTACCTGCGCAGCAAAGCCTCGATCGCCTTCGAGAAGCAGCGTCACGGCATATCCAGCAACTGGTGGGTCGTGCATCCCTGCAGCAAATTCAGGTACTTGTTGTTTTGTTTGTTCAAGTTTCAATTCTAGTTTCAATTTCTGAATTTTGAAAAGCAGATTCAGCTGGGACGTGGTCATGGCGCTGACGTACATCTACGCCTTCTTCACGATGCCGTACACGATATCGTTTCGCCGACTGGCCTCGAAATCGGTGCGATCGGCTTACCTCGGGCCCATCTACGTGTGCTGTCTGCTCGACGTCTTGCTCAACTTGGTCACGGGTTACTTGTCGCTCGACGGACCCAACGTCGTCATGGAGCCGGTGCACATAGTCAAGTAGGCCTAAAAAACCAGTTCAGGAACGCGTCTGATCATAAAGTTGACCGAGTAACTATCGTTGCGCCAGAAACTACGCCAAGGGATTCCTGCTGATCGACTTGGCGAGCTCGATGCCCTACGAGTGGTTGTACGAGGCCCGGCTGACGCTGCCCAGGCAAAGCATCCAGTGGCACCTGCTGCTGTTCGAGCTGGTGCCCCTGCTGAAGCTCTCGAGGCTGGTGACGCTGCGCATCTACGCCAAGGAGATCCTCGTGGTCGTCGGCGCCTCGAGGGCTCGCGAGTCCGTCATATGCTTGCTCGGCTTGACGGCCTTCATACTTCATTGGGCGGCTTGTTTCACTCACATGTTTCCCTTTTACTACGCCTACGTGTGGAACATCGACGTCCAAGTGAGTAGTCGAACGAGTTGCTATAGTTTATAAGCTAGAGAATGGGGAATTTCGAGCGCAGAAATCGACCAACTACATGTTTATGGCGGAGCTGTACGACAAGCCGGCCTGGCTGGTCTACCTGAAAAACTTGCACATGGGGGCTGGAAATCTCTGCGGCTACACCTACAGCGAGGTGCAGTTCGACCACCTGCCCGACAAGATCGTCAGGTGCATGCTGCTGTTGCTGGGCATGATTTACTTTCTATACGTGATCGTGATCGTGCTGCAGCTGAGCAGCTCGTCGACCGAGCCCGAGCACAAGTACCAGATGATCATGCGCGGCGTCAAGGAGTACACGAGGAACAAGCGACTGCCCGAGCAGCTCAAGAATCGCCTGCTGCACTTTTACGAGCATCGCTTTCAGGGCAGCTTATTCAAGGAGCACGCTATAACTTCGGCTCTCTCCAGTTAGTTCCTTCCTCCCTCTCTATTAAGAATAAAAGTTAATTCAGTTCGTTTGACAGAACACCTGAGGAACGAGGTGACGCAGCACAACAGCCGCAAGCTCATCGAGGCGACGTCGCTCTTCAACAACATACCGCGCAACCTGCTCAACAGCATGATCGGTTCGTTGTTCGAGCTTTGAATATAATAAGCTATATAATGGTAGCGAATTTTATGCACGTTTATAGGAGCCCTGAAGCAGATGATATTCCTGCGCAACGACGTCGTGTACAAGTGGGGCTCCGAGGCCAGCTGCATGTACTTCGTGGTGACGGGCTCGGTGGCCGTGCTGACCTTCAGCGGCGTCGAGGTCTGCCACATCCAAGACGGCGACTACTTCGGCGAGGTGGCTCTGCTCCTCTCGCCGGACAACAAGCGCAGCGTCACCGTCGTGGCCCTCGAGGTCTGCGAGGTGCTGCGGCTCGACGCGCGCGACTTCAACCGCCTGGTGCTGCCCAAGAGCGAGCTCTACAAGCGCCTGAGGAGCGTCGCCCTCGACAGGATCCGAGCCTTCCAAGAGGCCGAGCTCCGTAGTGCCAAAGAGCCGCCAGCTGCTTCTCCTTCTTGAGCTGCGGGCCCTTATCTGCCAATCGCGTCTCAATAAATCGTTGCGCATTATCTTATCGGCCGATCGAGCCCGCATCTTCGTCTTGTGCCAACAGATATGCGCTCTACTTCTCTTGTTATAAACCAATGTTACGAAACAATTGCCACTTTATTGTTAATACTGCTTCTATTGTAAGCTCGATCAAATACATATTTTTTCCATCTTCAACTCGTTCGTAATTGACTTTTGATTTTCCGTCCAACCGACGCAGCATGTTGAGTTGGCGCATTTGTCTCTGCTTACTGATCGTCTCCGCGGAAGGTAAGTTGTCTACGTTGCGCTCCCCATCGTGCTCCCAATTGTGCGCTTGTATCGATTGTTTTTAGCGAAAAAGGGATTCGGACCGATCGACCAAGAATGGGCCTACGTGCAAGTTCGTCCCAAGGCTCACATGTTCTGGTGGCTCTACCAAAGTAGCCCCGACAAGCCACTGGTCATTTGGATCCAAGGCGGGCCCGGCGTTTCCGGCACCGGTTTCGGCAATTTCGAGGAGATCGGCCCGTTGGATGCGCAGCTGCGCCCGAGAAATCACTCCTGGGTCAAAGATTACAATGTGCTTTTCATCGACAATCCCGTGGGCACTGGTTTCAGCTACGTCGAGGATCTCTCGCTTCTCGCCACCAACAATCGACAGATCGCCAAAGATCTTTTCACCTGCGTACGTTCGTTCTTTCAGACATTTACAAAGTTCGGCGAAACTCCAACTTATATACTGGCCGAGTCGTACGGAGGCAAAATGACCGTTGAGTTTGCAAACTTGTGGTATCGGGTGAGTCTGGCTGAATCGACGATCGAGTCTCATCTCTACTATAAACCTTCGTTCTTTTTAGGATCAAGTCAAAGGAAATATCAAGAGTAATTTGAAAGGCATCGGCTTGGTCGATTCACTGATTTCACCCGTAGACATGCACAAGTCCTTGGCCCCGTATTTGTTCAATTTTGTATAACTTCGGATAGTATATAACTTTTAAAAGTCATTGTAACTTAATTTTTTATGCGATCGACATTTTTTTTTACAAGGGAATGATCGACAGGGATGGCTACGAGGCCATCGATAATGCTGCCGATCGATTCGCTGATGCAATTCAACAGGCTCAGTGGTTGAACGCAACCAACATATCGATCGAGATCGAATACTTGATGCAAAAGTATACCTACTCGGTCGATCGGTTGTACATTTTGAAGAAAGTACAACCCAACTACTATCCACAACGTTAGATCAAATTTTCAATATTCTTCCATTCTCTTTAGATACGAATACTTTTTTTATCATTTTAGTGAGAAGTTTTTCAAATCTCTCGAGAGGATTGTATAGCAATGATTTAAAAAGAACCATGCAGAAAGTTCAAAGTACTTTAGGATTAAAATCAGTTTGGGGTAACCAGGAACCTTACGTTTTTAATGCTCTTTATCGTGATTGTCGTAAACCAGTGGTTCGACACGGTAATTATTCCCTCGACCTTTTTCATCATAAAAATTCATTTCTTTCAGTCGCATGTTTATTTATATTTTTAAAGTGGAAAAATTACTCAATGAAACTGATCTGAAGGTGTACATATTTAATGGACAATTAGATCTCATTATAAATACTCCTGGTACTTTAAGTTGGATCGAAAAACTTGATTGGAAAAATAGCAAAAACTGGTTAAATGCTCCTAGATATCCTTTAGTAATTGACAACGTTATCGAGGGTTACTCTAAGGCATATGGAAATTTGAAGTTTTTCTGGGTCGTTAGATCTGGTCATATGGTAATGCTTTTGTAAATATATTTTTTTTATAAAGAGTGCTAACAATGATTGCTTTTTGCAGATTCCTGCCGACAATCCAGTTGCAATGAACAAGATCTTAAGAGATTTAATACATGACGAATCATAAGTTTTTTTTATGTTCCGGTGTTGAATTGGAACTGGGCAAATTTTCCAACGAATAAAAAATTTACATCTACGCTTACGACATTAGTGGTAGCTTTATTTATTATTTTATAATCGTTCTAAAATCATAAAACTTTCTTAAAAACAAATACAAAATTAAATTACACTTTTTTCATCTTGTGTAAAATTTTTTGCGTCAAAAACGCACTTGTGTATATTGTGTGTACAATGCATGTATAATCCACATGTTCTCTCAATAATACGTCGAAGAAGGAATTCAAATTGCGTAAACATGAATCTATACACGTTCTTACGTTTTGCTTTACATTGTGTTCTCACATGGTACACGTATCAACAACGCCTTAAAAATAATTTTTTTAAACATTTATACGCGATAGACATTTTCACAATTTTTCAGGATTTTTTTCTTAATAAGTGACAATATACGATTTAAAATGTATAAAATTGTGAACACCAAAAGGAATAGACGAAGCTGTACTTGGAAAAATTTAATATTTACAAAGATTATCACTAAAACGGACCCTATAACACAAAGAAATTTCAACGATATCGGTCATCGAGTCACAAAAATTACTTCTGACATTCATGACTCATACGATGTACATTTAAATTTACTTACATACAACATTTTCCTTCAAATCGTTAGTTTCAAATACGCCAAAATCTTCAACGATTATCCTAATTAAATGAAAAATTTTACCCGATGGTTCAATTCAATCACGCTTGTATGAATTCGCTTACATTCTATTCCAAATCAAATAAAAGCAATGTAAAGTTTATTATTTTCAACTACGGATGATCCGAATGAAGTATCATAAATAGAGGAGCATGATTCTTGATGAGTTTGTGCATAAATACGCAATGTACATCGTTATAAATTCGCTAGACGTTTAATCTACCATCTCAATGAGCCAATTAACAAATTAAGAGTCGAATTGAGTTAATTTTCCGTCATAGATGGTCTACACCTGCTGACATTATATATTATTTTTAAATATTAGGTTTAATGCTCACGAAAAAAGATCTAATAATTTCCTCATTATCTAACATTCTAACTTTTCAAAATCTGCCGCCGCGATACGTGTGATTCCCTGCGCCTATTCATTGAAAAATAATAATTTTAATCGATTACCGCCTAATTATGTGCACGATATGTTTTAATCCTGATCACAATCATGGGCATTTTATCTCATCAATTTAACTGCAATGCTTCAAATAATTCACTGTTATCAATAGTTGTAATTATAACAAGTCTCGTGACATCATTTTTTCTGGCTATTTAACCTTACTCTTGTGTGAACTTCACAGCAAACAAATTTTATAAAAAAAAATTATTTGTGCTCAAATCCACTGTATTTTTCATACAATAATTATTAGCATTATAGTTCAATTCATACGCATTCACATTTTCACTCTTAACTTATGTTAAAAATTTTAATATTCATCATCAATTTATCATTCATTTTTAAAAATTATACTTTTTTTAAGTTCAATTGGTAAATGTTGAAATTAGCAAATCAAATACGTACACCGTTTTTATACTCAGTTTACATGTATTTTCATTCAAAAACAAACTCAGAGATAAGAAATTTAATGTTCTCAACTTTTAACATTTTACTATTGAACACACAATTTGTTTACTTGATATATAATATACAATATTTTAATAAATTATGTTAAAATAATGCCAATAATATAATTCATTCTATAATAAAAACTACTGGTAAAAGAATTTGCAATTCATATCATTTTAGGTACGAAAGAGGACTAGATTTTAGAGAAGTTGAGAAATATTCCAAATGTTTCGGTTTATCGCTTTGAGAACGAAAACATTCCCTCCAAAGTAATTTTAATTACCCAATCTGCACTAATAAATAACAATTCTAAGCCAGTGTTAGTTTGTTCAAGTTTGTAAAAAGCACTTTAGATTATGTTAAAAATTTACGATTAAGAGCGTCAATATGAAGTTGCTCTAATATACGAGCGGTTATATATAATTGATTAATCCTTTTTTGTCTTATAATGAATTTTTACATGATATTGATTATTTTTATGAAAAAGCTTTCTCTTGGGTTTAGTCATCTTTGATTGATTCGATATCAAACGTGGTACATTTCTGTATTGAAAATTGTTTATTTTTAATCTTGTCCCGGAATGCTTATACAATTACATACTATATAATTTATATATGTGTGTATGTGTGAGTGTGTGTAAGCGCGTCCGTTTAACAGCTATATGAATTATAGCTAGAGTATTTTACAAAAAAAAATTCAGTCATTTACATGTTCCGTGGACGCTTCGAAAGGGGCTTACCAAGATAATTATTATAAAGTAAAATAAAAATCAAAATGATAGCGCAAATCAATGAAACTAATCAAACGGAATATGGTCGAATAGTTAAAATTAATTATTTACATTTAGATATATCATAACAAGAATTACTTTAAAAGCGACTTTGGCTTAATAACTATAAACTAATATGATTTTCTTACTAAAAATACTTTGGTTGGTAAAAAAATCATTTGGTTACATTAATCAAAATTATTGAGGCATATAAAAAATCTATACATTTATGTCAAGCCCCTTGGGAAGGTTTCGCGAAGTAAAACGAACGAACAACATTGCAAGCTTACTTCGCGGGATAAACAAACAACAACAGTGATCTTTTAATTATCAACAATATTAACAATATCAGCATCCTTTTTTTCTTTGTAACCTTGATTATTGTGATCGTCATTTTCATATTTCTTTCGTTAATTCTTATCTCTGACTTCATTTTTTCTCTCTTTATAGTCATAGCTTTTGTTATCCAAAAGCACATAGTTATGTCTATTCGATATACGCCCTTATTACAATAATATAGTATTATATTTTTATATATTTATACTTGTTTATATTTAACCACTATAAGACTACTATGTAACCGACAAAATCATTGTCACGATATATCGCACATCAAAAATCGTCCATATTATTCAAGTTTTTTTTCTTCTCGAATATTTTTGCGAAAAATTTCGTTTAAATTTACATAAAAGGTAATTTAGATCTCAAAGTTATAGTATGATTTAAATGGTTGTATACATTCATATTTCTCGCCTGAATTTGTTTCTTTGCGATTGAACTTTGCCAAATGAAATACACTATTTTAATTAAAAATATGCATACTGTACACACATCTGACTTTTTTGTTTTCAAACATTACCTGTTTCAAAATTATTTCAAGATTTTGAACAACCTTTTCTCTCGGCGTTTCATTTTATTATTATGACATTGATTTTATGTGACTGTGTAAACTATTAAAAAGTTCATTGGGACACATTTAATATCGGCATTTATGTTCATATAAACCTTCAAGTTCATATATCTTTATATCTATTTATGCATCGTTCCAAAATTTTGGTATAGAATGACTGTTTGCTCTTAAATTGGTAAAATAAAGAAAAATACTTTTAATTTTACCCTTTTGTTCAATCGTCCAGTCCATAATTTATATTAATTCATATTGAAATATTAATATATCATTCACGATTAAATATCTATTCATGTATGTCTAGCGATATCTTGACAAAAAAAATTTGTACAATGTTTATAAAATTAAATTTATTATTACTCGAGAATTCAATGTGCTCATGATCTTCGTAACCATGTATCGTTTTTTTTTTCATTTTATAGAAAATTCAGCAATAAATAATTCATTAAGAATTTAAGGTTGTTTAATTACAAGAAATTTTTCAACTAGACATCAATCGTTTTCACATTGGTGGGTCAATTTATTTTAAGACATACTTCAATTGTTCATATAACATCTATTATATTATCTTCAATAGTTTCACATCGTTCCAAAAATGTATACTTTTCACAATAAATGTTGAGAAGAACTTGAAAAAAATTCATAAAATCAAAAAAAAAACTATCAGCAAGTACTACGAGGTCTAAAGTATATGTAGACGCTTTTAAAGAAGAGTTGCACGTTTATATGTTAATTTAAATGGAAAAGAGTTACTCTTCATAAAAAGCGTCGATGCAGCTAGCGTAGTTAAAACTAATTTTTAACAAGATTATCACCATTGAGGCACAGAAGTTAATATGTAACGTAAGGTTTTGGTTGCCGTTATTATGAACATCACGAGGAAAAAACGGACATGAATTTCATCCCACTTATCATCAGTAACGTATAATACTGAGCATTTTATTCATCTTTTTGCAATGACAATGAAACTTTGTGCGCGGTGTGATTCACCGAATTTGTCGTGAAGATGAGGATTAATATGTAATTATTTATTTTATGCAGGGCAGAGAGATTACCTCAAGCGGGGAAGTTTATGTTGTAGTAACAAAATGCGCGTATAAAATTGTTACAATTTATACTTCATTTTTTAGTACAATCTATTAAAAGTCTAGTTTTGCCTTATTGTCTCAAAAGTCTGTAAATAAATACCACTGACCTTTGACAAAAAGAAAATACATCTTAATATTTCACTAATTTTTTCATTTCTGTAGATATCTTTTCTCCTTTTTTGCTCGCGCTAATTATCCAAAAGTCAGAATTGCGCTCTATATAGCGTAATATGTTTCTTGATAAAATACATAAGAACTTTTCTTCAATCACTTCATTTCATGATTATGATGATCTTCTACGAGCTGTACTAGGTGATGATACAACACTCAGCTTTACAAACTCGCACTAAATGTAAGATTAGTAGTTGAACTTTTTAAAATTTTAAATAATTTTGAAGTAACATTCGCACATGACTTTCATTCACTCTATGGTTTGTCACAAATTTTCATTCACTAGAACCTTTATAACGTTAATATGATTGGTATTAGCTTCTTTTTTTTATGTCACTTATGTAATTCGAAGTAAACTGATGCTTTTCGAGGGAGTAAAATAGTCGCTCTTAAACAGTTGCTAAAATGCATGACTCGCGTTCAAATAGGAAATAACGTAGCTAGGGTTTATGGACTAGACGTGGGGCTCGAGGTTCAACATCCTCGATGAGTTGGATCAGGATTTTAAGCTGTTTGTGTCATCAGGCCGCCTTTCCGTACCAACTGTAAGTAAGTTAGCAAATTCTACTTCTAAAATTTGTCTTGCCTGGAAGAAGCCAAAAATTAATATCACGTATTGATTGATTATTAAATATTTTCTCATATTAATTTCATTTAAGCTCTTTAATCACCTGCATATTTTGTGTGGGTATTTGTAAGTGTAGCGCCAAGTTATTGGAATCAAAGCTCTCATCAAGAGCTATCAAGGAGCCATGGACTCCGGATTCCAGGAGATTATTTGCATACTCCTGTAAGGAGAATAATAATTTTAAAAATAAATTATCCGGATGATAATTTTTCAAGCGAGTAAAGTTCCTTTGTCCATTAAACGCCATAAAAAAGCTATTATTTTATTAAAAATATTTAAAAATATTTTCTCAGCATTATATTTGTGATTTTTTCCCTTTATTTTCATTTAAATAATCAACTTACCTTCAAACCAATCGCTTGTACCCATCTAATGCAGCGGTCATTACTCCAAACAATCACGTCAACATTTGCACCCTCGGACATTCTTCGTCTATCCTCCAATTGTTGCCTATCGTAATTTAATCTTTTCAAGCAGCTTATACCGTACTGCAAACTCGTCCTGAAAAAAAAATTATAAACAATCAAAATACTTGGTTTTGTTAAACTTTTTGTAAAATAAATTCGTTAAAATGGTTTACCTGTGAAAATTATCTACCATACGAAGCTGGCTGCGCAGATCTTTCTTCGTGAGGTGATCTAGCATCCTCGCATCTACAAGGCACTCCATAAAAGAACACCGATACTGCGGTAAGCCAAGACTAGGTAGCCAAACATTGCCGATCCACTCGTGATTCATATCACCAAAAGCCAGCGACGACCTGGAAGTTTTTGGTGCCGATGGGCTCGTAAGCGACACCATCTCCTGTATCGCTAGTCGTAGCTTGAGTCGATGCAGAGGGTTACTTATACCGATTTCGCGCTGAATTTCGGTGTCACTGAGCGCACTCATGATGGCTCCGCTCTTGACGTTGGCTCGACAAGCCGCAACGTACCAGGCGGGCATGCCGACCCAAAGCTCCAACCAGGCCACTATCGTTGGTCCATTCCAAAGGGCGAACGGCGTGCCGGCCTTCATGGCTTCCGTCAGCAGTTCGTGTCTCGACGTATCCAGCATACTGTTGGAACAAGAGAGTACGTCACGTGCAAGAGCTTAGTCCAGGACATTCGTTTCAGTTACCAACCTTTTCTTTTTCCTCCGATCAAAGTCACCGGATTTGTTTCCCATCGTCGCTATGACAGATCCTGCAGCTATCTCCCCGTAGTCTGGATCCGGCGTCATGACTCCACCCATACCGGGCACATCGCCAGGCATCACCACATCTTTTCCCTTGTTGATCTTGAGGGCAAAGAAAAACTCATTGAATCTCGTGTTGCACCGTAAAGATCGAGTTAATAAATACCTTGTCCTTTTTGCTGAAAAATCGGCCGAGGCTGCTCTTGATTCCCTTCTTCTTTTGCGCTGCGGCTACGGCGGCGGCAGTTGCGGGGCTCATGGCGATGACGGTCTGCGAGGCATGGTACGGATTCGTGGCTACGGTGTACTGCCCCAGAGGCAATGCGCACGCCGACAGGTTGTTCTTGTGCAAGCTATCCTGGCTGCTGTGTCGCGAAGACAAGGGGGACGGAGTCCCAGAATTGAGTGACGGTCCATTGTGATGACTTGTTAGTGGCCCATGCCTAATGCTGCGCATGGTTTTTACGATACAAACTACTGATCTAAGAGCGCTCTAAATGACATACTACCGTGTAGCGGCGCCAAACGACAGTGTTGCATCATACATACTCTTTGTTAACGAAATAATGTGTGAAAGTGAAGGCGTAACAAAAATTGACAGCAAAAATTGAATGAATCGTTAAAATGACCCCTTTAATCAAATGGTGGATGCAGCTTGAAGATTTTTTCTTACCAAAAAAAAAACGTTATGAGTTTCCGTTATGAGTTTCCGTTATGAGTGACTACGGCTATAATGCGTACATACCCATGAATGAGAACTACATGTGCGCAATATATACCTGTTTAAATAAAAAATGGATTTTCGACTTGGAAATCCAGCGATTTTCTTTTAAACAGGAATATTAGTTATACCGAAGACACAAACATACATCCATACAAAGTCTCTAATATTTCGTCTAACAGGTCATCATAAAATTTCAAACACATATACATAAATGTTTTATTTAAGCCAATAATATTCTTAAATAGCAACTATTATCGTTTTAAAACAAGAAGCAGCATTGTAATGAGCCTATGTAAAATATGAACACGTTCACGATCAAAATATTAGCACAGTTATTATAAACTCAAAACGGTGTAAAAATGATGTATGCATAATACAGCTCTGTGAATGGCAGCAAGCAAACAATATGACTGCTCACAACCATATTGCTCACATACGAGTATATAAAAATTAATTTTCAATACTATATTTATATATTCATGTATGAGAGGGAACTTACAAGAAGCTTTGCGGTCTACACACGACAACTTTACTCATTTCTTTTTTAAATATCGAAAGGGGGATGTATCTATTTTATCTCTCTAGCATAATCAAATTAATTTAAGTTTTTTTAAACAAATATCTCACTTTTTTGCAGAGAGTTTCAGATATAAATATCATATACCTACTCGGAGATGCACTTGAGGCACATAAACCTGTAATCGTTGACATAAAAATTGATTTCATCGTTTATAAAGTACTTTTTTTTTTTTTTTTTTTTTTANTGTTTTTTTTTTTTTTTTTTTTTTTTTTTTTAATCTGCGATGGGCAGGGGCAACAATGGTGAATCGAAGACATTTTACTAGCAATAATCTACGTCTGCTCGACGATGATAATCAATGTCAGGAGAAGCACTTTGATGACTGATTAAGATTGAGAAAGAAAAGACCTTGATCTATGGGTCAAGCTGCGCTGTCGTTTGACGCATTTCCGCTCGCTTATTGTAAGTTCCCTTGTCTGCTTGAGGCATCGATGCCTATCATGGGCTACTGGGCAGATTTGAACATAAGTCGCGTAGCAAGATGCTAAATCGCTGGTCGGTGACGCATTCGACGTAGGCGACGTCGAGCTGCTGGACCAGTCGGGACTGCTTCCTCCGCTACTGTCCCAAAAGTTGCACCATTGAAACTCGTTAGTAGTACGGCTTTGACGGTAATAATGGCCCAGAAGCGAGGAAGTCGCTAAAGTTATTGATAGGCCTTTGAGCACTTTTATGTTTGTTTTATGTAATCAAATAAATGGAAAACCGAGGCGAAATTGAAATATGATAGATCGGAGGCCACGCGTAAAAATAGCCGTTTTTACCGTCGTCGTTATCGAGGTAGTAACTCAAATGCCCAAAGCTGCCCAATGCCGAGTGACGAGGCGATACAGATACAGCAGTGGTGGTGCCAGTCGTTGCATTATTATCGTTATTATTATCATTATTACAGTAGTAATCCGCCAAGAGTAACGGACGACTTTCATAAGACAAGCATGCAGCGTCAAAATTATTAATTAACCTGTGCATGGAGTAGCCAGCGCCGCTTGGGAATCCGCTCTGCCCGGTACGTCTGTGTGCAGCAAGAGTGACGTGGTCGTGATGAGTGCGCACATTGAGATATTTTATTTGCAAATCATAAGAGAAAACAGAAACAAACAATAAAACGATAAAATTTGAAAATTAATACGAGTGCTAATGTGTAGTATTATGCGCAATTCTTTCGTTTTCTTTACGACTTCATGTAAAATATATGTATAAGCAGCAAATACCATGTTGTGCATTATAGATCAGATTTTCATGTAACGTTGCTATTATCTTGCACTATAATCTAAATTTCACTGTATTATAAAACAATTTATTCGCATTGCATCTTATTAATACTGTGCACTTTGCATTTAAGCGATCTACGCGCATTCCGCATACTGATCTTTTTCCAAGCTCTAATAAAACCACATTAGCAAAGCTCTTCGAAATGACTAGGCGTCCGCGTTAATCCAGTTACTAACAGCTTTCGCCTCTGAACGAATTTCATCGAATTGTTAAGTAAACTTTAAGAAACGTTACCTTCTCAGTTCTTCTTGGCTATTGGCAAGCTGTTGCACTACGCGTTCCAGTCTGATTGATCTGGCCGTAAGCGGTGATGCTGCGTCGCTTCCACCACTGCCCATGCCGCCCGAACTGTCGCGTTCAGAAAGCGAATGAAGTTCATCACCAGAGAGCTGCAACTGCCACAGGCAGATTAGTTTTAATTTTTTTCTTTGATATTTTAATTATTAAAAAAAAACATGTAAATTTAAAGAAAAGACGCATTTTTTCGCGTACGACGCAATAATTTAAATAAATGAAATTGAATATACATAGTGCAAAGAATAATCATCAAATCGTTAAAAAAAATTTCTTTTAAATGAAGCGATAAATCGTTGTCCTACATTAGGTTGGTCCTCGTTTGAGGAACTAACGAACCTGGCTTGCGGGAAGTGACTCGGACAGTTGACTGGGGCTAGCCAGAGACGCGATGTATTGTAGATGTGCTGGGGACATTGACGCTGGTGCCTAAAAAAACACCAAGATCAACGCCCGCCGCAAAGAAACATACTTAACTCCTCCGAGCATTTTTTTTCTCAAACGAACCAATCGTCTAAGCTTTAAAAATAATTTGTTTTCCTTACGCTATAATATTGATCTTACTAAAAAGCTTTTTCAAACCCATGCAGAATCTTTCAAACTTTTAAATGCAATTTGTATTTTCATAAGTACACATCATTTTACCACTATAAGTGTATACATGTATAAGCTGAATCGCATCAACTATTGTCATTCTAGATTTAAATTCATTTACAAAAATTTTTATGAGAAATTCAAGCTTATATATTTTATAAGCTTGCATTTTGCCAAACTTCAAAGCTTTATAAACAAAGCAAAACTTTCGAAAATTCAAATATAATTTTTGATGATTTTTCGTTTGCATGTATAATTGTTAAAAATGAATGATGAATTATATGATCAAATCTCCGTTGTAATTTTTATATACATTTATAAAAAAAGCTATTTATCGTTACTAATAAAAATAAACATTAATTTAAATAAATTGGAAAACAAAATTTAAAAAACTAACGTTTATGCTATAAAATAAACATATTTGCGGCACGTAAGACATTCAAAATCAAATTTGCATCATAATTTTTTTGACTGTTGTTTTTCTTATCATTATATTAAATTACTCACAGTATGATACTTGTGCAAGTAGTCTCGGTTGGGGCTGTGATGTGATTTTGGGGTGGATCTGCCACTAAGTGGAGGAGAAGCACGTTCGAGACTTCGGCCTCGTGCTAATAAATTCATATGTTCCAAACTACCCACCCTTGACTCCAGTTCTTCCGCTCGCGCTTCTGTACTTTGCTTTTCCTCCTACACGAGGACGGGATGCAATTAACACAATTTTAGTTTTCTCATAAATGTATAAAAAGTACAAAATCGTACAAATAAATTTATAATATCAATTACAGGAATACAAGAGCTGCTCTGAATTTTTTTATCAAGTAAAGTGAAATTATTTGATAATCTTAATAAAGGTTATGCAAAATCGAAATAGACATACGTGGGTGAGCGTGTATTAAAATTCATTATAATTCATAAATACTCACAAAAAGCATATAATTTTGATACTGGTTAAAATTACAATAAAGCATGTCAGATAAAATATGACAAAAACGAATAAATCTCCTTTGATACTTATACTGAGACTCAATATACATTTTTAAGAAAGTTGAATTTTTCAAATTACATACAATGATCATACGTGTTTCGAGTGAATACGAGAGTGTGCATGTATGCATGTACAAGTATATTAGAAAGGTACTCTATAATGTAAATAAAAATACTAAAATTGAAAAAGTAGAATAACATTCACTAGTGGGCATGCAATTACAAAAATTGCAACGTGCAATTAAGAGAGCTTATACGAGAGACATTACTTCAATGAAATAATTGCAATAAAATATTATTTTGTAGCCGATTTATTTTTTAAAAGTAAGGCACGACGTTCGATCGGTCAACCGGTGGCGAGCTATCTTATTGTATTGCCTATATGCCACGGCAAATTTTCGACCTTTAATAAAAAAAACAGGTCTTGCTGCGGCTAAATATCTCACTGTGCCACGTTTCGCGAAGCCTTGCTTCCCATCTGCGTAAACAATTGCGTCAACACTGTCAAGTGCATCGGCTACGATTTATTGATGCTTTTAATTAATATAAATTAATGTTTATCCCCCCTAAACTCCACTGCAACCCCGACTTTGATCGAACGATTGAGCTAACTTCATGGTACATTTTTCGATTTAATAAGGTAGCGTAAAAATGTAATTGTCACCTTTCTATCAAATAAGCTATTTACATAAGAAGTTTGAAGGACGCTTTAATTTTACTCGTTTCTAAATCCCACCCAAGAAACTATTGTTACAATTTTCACAAATTTACTTGAAAAACATGCAAAACTACATCGTAGATAAAAGTGCTTTACTGTATGAATAATAATCAATTGCAACTACAAAAATGTATTTAGCTCCTAAAGAGATCAACTAGCGATTCCAAAAACATGCGTATCGTCAACTGTTAATACCTGTATTAGCCTGATCTCATTGTTGATGGCATCGAGCTGTTCCTGAAGCATCAACGCTAAAGTCTGTGCGTCAGTGTGGCCAGTTGGACTGATAACGTCGGCAGCGCAGCTCAGAAGACTCTCGTTGTCCCCATCGCCTTCGGCATCACTTGACACATCAAAGGCCTGCTGAACGTTGGCCAATACGTGAGCTTGCTGAAGTTTTTCCCATTCCTGTTCGGCTAAGGTTCGCGCGATATAACCCTGCGAATCCAAGAGCAAACCGCAGAAGCGTCGTTAGTTCCGTTCGCGATACAAGGAAAAAGAGTATTTTATACAAATAAAACATAGACGCTGCTGAACATAAAATAATTTTCATTAAATCAATGCAAAAATAAGTGTCGCTGATGTGATGTATCTGACGCAGATTTTAACGCAATGATTAACATCGAACGTTAAATTGCACATTTATGAAATGATAAAGATATTTTGATCTTTACGATGCCGAATTTCGAAAAATGATCAGACTGTACCGCAATGAAGGGTAAGTTGTTTATGATAATTGCTCATGGTTTGATTTGTAAATAAGCAGCTGAATCGATAGTAACGGCTCCATATACGAGAACTGTTGAAGATCGAATAAAAAATATAGTTGATAGTGCTCACCAGTGGCACGAGTGGAACGTTCTCTGGTGGCGTGAGTCCGTGGTATCGTGAATACCGCTTTTGTGTGAGAACATAATAAAATAACGTGTATAAGCACAATATCAATAACTTGATCGTTGTAACAGCGTTATTTAACACATTATCAATTAACGTTGTATACCGAACAATGACGTATTTAAAAGTACTTTGTTGCGAACTAAATATTGTGAGGCTATTCAATATTATTTGAATAATATATCTTAAGATTGCAACAGTGCATTGTACATAAGACGAAAGAGAAAATAATTGTATTATTGAAAAAAGAAAGGAGAGTTTAAAGCTTACCTTGGATTCTTCCTCGAGCCTCTTGACAGCTCTTCTAGGCAAGGAATGCGTATCGAAGCTGCTGTGGCTGGCACTTCGCGAAAACGAGCTGGGATCCACGGCATTCGGTGATAAACTCCTTGTCAATGCGTCCGTCTGCTGAATATTGAAGGCAATCTCTTGCTGAAGCATCTGGCGCTTGACGCTGTCGATCTCGAGACGAGCCTTGCCCAACTCCTTCATGAGCTCGGCCTTCTCGCTCTGCAAATCTTCGGCAATTTTACGCATCTTTTCGAGCTCCTGCGTCAGGGCGTTCTTTTCTTCCAGTGCGTGCATGCGTTCCTTCAGATGCACTTGCAAACGCTCGTTAGATTCTGTGAAACACGATTGTTCGTTAATCTCTGTGGAAAATCCGTGGAAGCGCTTACTACGTCGGATGCTTACCCGAAAGAAGCTTGTCGACCGTTGAGCTGAGCCTCGTATTGTGCTCTTCGTTCATTTTCAATCTCTGGTTCAGTCTCATAACTTCGCCTGCTTTTTCTTCCAATTGCGTTTCCAGCCTCTGAATTCGATCTTCTGCCGTTCCGTGCCTTTCTTGTGCCTGCGAATTCAAAATACCATGTAATCGTAGTCTAATAAACATTACGCTTTGATCAATAGCAGCATAATAATAATATTAATAATATTTCATTTAAAATTCTAATTTTTATTGACTTCCTGCTTTTACTTCAATAATAAAATTATTGTAATTAGGAAATCTCTGGTTGAATAAGGAAAAATAGTAACGATATTCTATTAATTGATGTTCTTAAATTAGATCAATTCTACTAAAATACCGACGATTAAAAAGTACACATCAATGAATGTAGAAAAAGATTCCTCATATCATATACTGAAATTGTCTGATGCTCAAACATACATTAGTAACAAAAAACACCGTGAACATGCTTTTTTGGCAATTTGACATCTTTCCACGATGGTACTGTTACTTAGTTAGTATGCATGAATTTGAAAATTAGATGATCAGTAGTGCATTCATAATTGTACAATAAATGGCTCAGAAAATCGAAGCTTGAAAAATTTCTTTCAAGAGATGTAATTAATAAATTGAGAAGAAATACTTTTATGAGCTGCATATTTATTTTTATTGAACAAAATACTTAGTGTTTGTAAAAAAAAAGAATGATAAAGAAAGTCAAAAACAAAAAGGTTTTAATTCATTTGAAAAATCCGAATAAATTTATGAATTCAAAGAAATGAATGAAAAACGTGTGAAATTTTCACAAGTATAAATAAAATAATAAATCAATGCTTAATTTAATACTTATTTACATAAATTATGATTATTAATATTAATAATATTATTAATATAAAACAGCACGACAAGGGAATAAATATGTATGAAAATGAATCGATGATATGATAGTGCGTTGTAGTGGAATGTAAAGATAGAGTCGAAAAAAAATATGATAGCAATTTTGCATTATTTGTACAATTGTACGGAAAACTGTTAAAGATGATGGGCTAACTGGAAAGTGTATTGCCACAATTGATAATAGTCGTAACTTTCATTGGAAAATTTATATCGAAATGCAACATTCATAAAGAAGAATAAAATAAAACTCTATAACCGGAAAAAAACTTACCTTTATTTAAGAGAATTAAATAAAATGTTCTGTCATTGAAAAAACACAGATTTTCAGTTTAAAATAAAGATTTCAGTAAAATATTTTGGAATACTGTGTACGTGCAAAGTGAGAACACTCAGATGTAGTATATTACGATAATTAAAAAAAATTTTATTTTTTGAAAAGTTTAAGAAGCGAGAAGTTTGAGAGAACACGAAATTTATCAAAAAACCACCATTATAGCAATGCCGGTAAACATGATATTTGATGTAAGCTTACTTCTAAGTTTGCTATGAACTTGCGACGAAAGTCATAAAAATGACATTGAAAAAGAATAGTTGGTTATACAAGAAGAAAGTATGATTATTGTTATATACAATACAACAGCTAGTTATAATGAAAACGAGAAGAGAGAAAGAGAGAGATAGAAAATATAGGAGCCATGATAAGAGACAGGAAATCTTTGATGTGATGATATGGATTCCCCTGCGTACCTGGTTGGGCCTCCTCACCTGCGTCAGTGCATCCATCCTCTGTTTCAATTGTTCTTCCATCTCGGGTAATTTGGCAAATTGTGCAAGCTCTTGCTCGGCGTGCTCCAATTTTTGCTGAACAGCGGCTATTTTTTCCTCTTGCAACTGGAGGTGAGCGACGATTACGAAAAAAAAAATCAGAAATGAAAGATTTTCGGACGTTTGTGCATTAAAATAATTTCGTGTATTTAATGCATCATCGTATAACAGTTAATATGCGCAACAATCTACGCGGACATGACGATGCAAATGATTTGATTTTTTGGCAATATGTGTGATTCTTTCGGTGCAGCTTTTGCAAGATCTACTTTGTTTCGGTTTACAACTTTAACATGTAGTATATATGCGTGTGCTCGAAAATTGTTGGCCAATCAATCGTGTGATAGCAATCGTGTATGCATGAACTGACACGAATTCCTAACTGAGAGCAATATACTTTTTGACGAGTGTGTGATGAAAGTACTGTACTACAGCACTTGATGCAATGAAAGTAATTGAGAGGCGGTGTTTGAATAAGTCAGTTTACCATTTGTTTAGCAAGTTGGCGAGTTAGTAAGACAGCCGTTGCACCACGCTATTCGTTAATAGTCACACACATAAGTAATCGGGAAATTCAGAAAAAAATTCATTTTAGTATTTTCCAGTTGAATATTATTTTGTTGTTACGCTAGGAAGAGTACTAAAATTAAAACTGTAGTTTCGGACGCGCTAGTAGCTAGTTGTAAATTAATATCAACAAACAATAAATACACGAACCTTGAGCTGAGCCTCTTTGTGCTGCAATTCCTGTTCGAGCTTTTCGTTCAGATCGTGAAGACTGATGGACTCGCGCTGCGCGTTGAGGTAGCGCTTTTCCAAGGTCGCTATTCTCTCCTCCTGGTCTTCCTTTTGCGCTACATTTTCGCGTAGGTCTCTTTGCAACTTGACATTCGTGTCCTGGGCTTTAAGGAAGTCTTTCTGAGTCTTGGACAGATTTTCCTCGAGCTCGGCTACGCGACTCGTCATTTCTGCGACACGTCGCTGCCACGAACTTAGCTCGGCACTCTAAACAATCGATGAGCTCGTTAATAAATAATCAGAGTATTTCACAAATTTATTATTATTCGTATGGTTATGTTAAGTGCCAGCTTTAATCACATATATTTTTATAAAATAATCATAACAGTAAAAACAATCGGTGTCAATTCGATTCTATAAATCAAGTAAGCGTATTAGTGCAAAGTAATCAAGTGTGGGCATATTGAACAAAATTTTTAAAGTAATAAAAGGATAGCGTTTCATTGTGGAATAAATATTTCATTTCGCCTGCATCTAGTAACCTCGACCGTCAGGCAGGTAATTTATCTTGCAATGAATTTTGCAGTTATTCGTAACGTATTCTTCGCAGTTCGTTTTTTTTTAAATTTCGATTCAATAATTCAATTGTACCTGCTTCTCGACTGTAGATTGCAAATTTACGACTTTTGCAGCTGATGTTTGGTCGTCTGATTTTAGACTACCGTTGCTCAGCCTATTTTCAATCTCTTGGACATTATTTTGCTGCATCTGTTGTCCTACAGACGCCGTTTGTCGGTCGCTTTCAATTCTCTATAATTCATGCGGATGAATTTTTATTGTAGATTTAACAACGATTCACGAGCGTAATTTTATTTTCTTAATACGTATACTATATAATATTGCAAGATACCGATGAATGTTTTCTATAAACACCAAATAATCACTATTGCTATTACAATAACTTGATTTAAACCCCATGAAAATAATACATTGTTGTGGAATTTACTTAACATTTGAAAGTTTGTCACTATTTTTATTAGATTTTTTAAATTTAACTCGAAGCTTTATGAGAAAATAACACAATAAATATAAACGAAATAAAATTATAAGAAATGGTAAAAACTTTGCAGATATGATGAATGTCGGTGTCATGTCAAGTGATGTTTATTTAATTTTATCAATATATAATAATTACCTTTTGAATTTGCATCTGCTGTTGTTGCACATGCGAGTCATCTGCTTGTCCATTTTCTTTCGGTCTATCTTCTATAGATTTAAGAGCATGTCCACCCATCTTGTATTGTTGAAGCTGTATTGTATGAAAATCAAATTAACCAATTTTAGTTTATTGCAGTCTTATATAAAGCCAATTAATTTAATTAAGTATTTTTTATTGAGTTAATTTCATTATTTTATATGCGCGTAGTGAAACACAATCAGCTAAAAATGTTTAAATGCGAGCATTATAATGACGATAAAAGGTATTTATGTAAAACCCAAAGAAAAGCCTATTATAAAATTAAGTTTTATCTAAACATCGTGTACCATTGATCAATAAATCGCGAGAATTTTATTTTGCGTTACGCAGCGAACGGTTGAATTTTGTTTATAAATATTATTCATATAATTGTCATTTTTTCTTTACCTCTGCTTTGGTATGGGCAAGTTCCTCTTCCAAGTTTGTGTTTTTCTCGAGAGCCAAGCGCCATCTGTCGCGCACCTGTTTCAAATAGAAAAAAAATGCGAAGAAAAAATATAAAAATTGGATGTATAATATTGATTTACGGAAATAAGAGAAAAAGTAACGTTCAACATCATTGATGCATTAGCTAAAATGCAGTACCTTTTCGTCGAGAGCTTTATGGTGCTCAAAGAGGCTCTTCAGTGCCTTAAGCACCTCGACTTCAGAAGAGACGCCGGACTGTGCTGCGGCCTGCCGCTTGACCACGGTCATCCTCAACGATCTCTCATGCCTCGAAACCAAGCATTCCAGATGTTCCAGCAAAAGCTGTGAGCAAGCAATAAATAAAATCAATTGTATAAAGGACTTTTAGTTAGTACTTTTTACTTTCACCGTTCAATATAAAATATTTAGCGCAAAAAAATTAATTTCTTACAGTACGAAGGAAAACAGAATGCTCTTTAACGAATTGTGTTAGAGAATGGCAACTACAGAAAATCGAAGTTTATTCGAGCAATATACTACAAAAATTTGCTTCACGTCTTTGTTTCAGTATAATCGTATGTACAAATACTCAAAAATGTAGTGTCATTGGACAAGCAAAAATTAAGGCTACTGCGGCGTTATAGCAGTATATAATAAATTAAAGAATATTAATAGGTACATATAGAACAGGACGCGCGACGAGCAATTAGTATACAATAAAGAGCTTCTCCACGAGTACATCAGCTACACAGCAGTAATTATCATTATTACGGGCTCTCTCGCTGGCTACTCACCCTCGTGTTGTTCCGCTCTGCTTTCAATTCCGCGATTTCATCTTCTTTCTCGAGGATACTCTCTCGCGCCGCTGTCAGTTCTTTCGTCAGCTGCGAGAACTCCTGCAACAGACCACAAAAAAACCTATTATCAATCACTGATTTCAATTTTTTTACAATTACGATATAAAGACGCACAACTGCATAACTATTTAGACAGTTTATATCTGATTATGTAAGGATTTTTATTTTATATTCTATGAGTATGAGCTTTTTCGATGATGCTAACGATTATAGCTTGGAAAATCAGACTGGCACTTATAATAAATGTTGTTTCAAGAGATTTCTGTACGGCAAGAATAAAACAAGGAAGATTCATCATCATCATCTTGAAGAATCGTATAAAAGTAAAAAAAAGTCTTTTCTTTGTCGAGAGAACGAATAAAATACGTAAAAACACGTTAATTCTTTCATATCTGTTCCAAGCCGGTTGATATTACAAAGAAAATAATTTCTCCAGTCTGGGCAAGTATACGCCAAAGCTCCTTTTTTCAACACTCGATTGCATAAAAGACGCCTCTTAGGATTCTTTCTTTAAAATTTTTTTAAAGGTTCTTAAATAATTAATCGTTATCTATAGAGTTTCTCAATATATAAGTACATTATTGGCGCGAACAAAAATTATTTAGTTTGTAAATCAGACACTTATATCGCAAAAAGCTTGTAAATCTTTCGCTGCGCATTTGGTATGATAGTACATGAAATATTCAAAAGAGCCCAACTTTTTACTAGCGATCGAGCAGCTTTGAAATAAAAAATCCAACACAGGCTGCAGCATTTGCTGCAAATGTCTCTTTCTATTTTCACCTTTCGGTACGTCCATCGGCCGTGCATAAACCATAGACAAGCCCGACGCTTGGGAAAATACATGCACGTATAAACTGCGTATGCATGTATAGGTACACAAGCGAGCAGTAGAAGGTACTTAGCCGAGCGAGCCGAGTATTGTCACTGGCTGTGCAGGTGGCACGTAGACTAGCATCAGCGCCAGACAATCGATAATTCTCGCGAAAACGCGAGGCGTTTGACGTTACTTTGAAATTTTTTTCGTTGCACTATGTATGATTACTTGTGAGCTTGCTAAAAAAATGTCCCCAGATGCATCACAAAGCTGTCAATTCAAAATTTCAATTTTTCATTGTATCACTTTATCAACTTTACGAATAATAATTGGTCGATTTATCGAATTTTTTTGATGAAATGTACGCAATTTTATTTTCCGACTCCCTCATAATTCTAATACATTCAACTAGCTTTAAATAATTTTCTTGCTACACATATGTATTTATTATCATGAGAATTGAAATAAGCTAAGAAAATGACGACATCTCTAGATAAGACTACAGATCAGCCCAATCAGTAAACCAATGAGTAATTTTGTGAAAAATTTGATAATTATTTTTGCCTGGCATACTTTGAATGCACCAGCGAATTGTGTAGAATTCCGAGGAAAAAAATATCAACTTTGAGCAATTTTGCTTTGCATGGAGCAAAGCTTAGTTCGATCAGAAGTAGACGCAAACTACTCATACATATATGGCGAGTCAGGCTGAACTTTGTACCTCTCGATAAGTTTTAGTTTGAAAAAGTTAGTTTGGACAAGTGCGCGAAAGTCTGCAAAATTCTTACGAGAAATTATTTATCCTCCGATGCTGCTTCGTTCGTTTTGCACTTAATAGAAACTTTCCTAGGCTTTTCTACGTGCAGCATTGATTCTCGCACAGGATGCAGAAAGAGAGTGCGATGAGACCACTCCCTATGGTAAAACTCGAGTGTGAACTTGTCCATGACAAATATTATTCAATGGAGTTTGACGCAACTTGGAGTCGTATTCCCTTCATGCATGACTCTTTGAAATGGATCAGTTTCACATAATGACGCTCCCTTTCGACGAGCCCACTGCATAATTGTACGATAATGTTACGCATATTATGTTGTATGCATATGCGCGCACGTATGGATGAGAGTGCGACAGCTTCTCCTTCCACTTGGACATAATGCGTCATTGTCAACTCAAGTGTATACGTGTCGACGAACTTCAAACGAAGTTGGCTTGTTTTGGTAAAGATAAAGCGGTCTGTTATCGTCGACGACGCCAATGACGACGACGACAGCGACAAGCAAGTAGCCTTAATTATCCTTTCTCCACCATTGGCACAAAAGCTTCTTTTTTTTCACTCGTAGCACACGCTCGCGCTTAATGGATGTATATAGAGAGAAAAAACAGCATCGGCAGTAATAGCGGCCATGTAGCAAGCGAGAGAAAAACGAAGCAAAAAAAAAACTCAAGAAGAAAGCTGTTAGGTAGGACACATACGTAGCGTTGCATCGCTTCATAAAATCCGCACAATCGATTGCATTAGCCAATAGCCTGCAACTGCCTGCGATGCTCGGGATACATTCATTTTTTACATCGAAAAGTATGAATTGACAAATAAATTTATCGGTGTGACTGGATGAACTAGTAAAATGCAACGAACCCCTTTATTAATTTAATGTCGAGTTTGCTATCGGGTGAAGTTTAAATTACGGTCACTGCACGACTAAACTTGAAGGCCATTTCATTGAATAAAATCAAATTCAAAATATAATTGACTTTCATTGATGAAGTTTGAAAAGTAGCAAACTTATTGATTCTTGCGGGATGCATTCATAATAAGGCAAGCGAAGAAAACGAGAAAATTAGATATAATAAAATTCGTGCCCTAGAAGGTGTAATGAACACGGTATTGCTGCCTGTTGCTGCTATGCCGACTATCTCGTTTATGTACACATATATATGCTTATATGCAGTTCATTGCACGCATATAGCACGGAATATAGTTGCTAATTATGTTCAAAATTCATTTTAACACCATCTTGAAGTGTATAGTTCAGGTGTTAAATTAAATAAATTTAATTGATTTCAGATCATAGAAAGTATTTATTATTATTTTATGAAATTGTTAAAAAAAATATTTAATTTTCAAAAAATTATAACGAAACTGATTTTGACATTAACCTTCTTCTTTACTTCTGCTTGTATGCGTTGGCTACAGGTATATTTTCGTATATTACAGCTACAAGTGTGTGTTTTGAACGCTGAGCAATTTTTTTTCTATGCATGCTTACGTAACTCGTTTCCTTCGCCTATAGAAAAACGAATGCATGTTGGTGTGTATGCACACCCGCGTGTGAGTAATTGGACGTACATTAACAAGTGCTTCATCGCTCCAAGATCTGTCACATTTCCAGCATTAAAAAACATTTCTTTGGTAAATAATTGGACAAATTATTTTTTTAAAGGCTAATACGTGTTTAACAGTAAACTAATTATTGCTGAATAATTTTTAGAAACATTAAATAAAGAAAACTGACCAAAAAAGAGCAAAGGTCCTACAGAGAAGAGGTGAAAAGAAGATTCAAGTATAAAAAGGACCTCAAAGGAATGAAATCAAATTTGTAGCTTCTTATAAATCCTTTCTTATCTCGCATGATAACGTTTATAATGGCGAGGCAAATCAGATCATTTTGAATTTTAACCAAAATGAAATTTAGGCTGTCAAGATCAAGCTTGCGCGTATCGTAGTGCGCGTCACTGCAATTACACACGCGAACCAAGTGAACTTTATACTGTGATTACGTGAATGGCGATGTGATCGACGAGTTACAACGACGCGCACTTGTGTGTTTGTATCGGATATTTGCATTATGCAACGGGTCTATGTACCGATCAATTCTTATGTAACACATACTCGTGTTTTATCTTTATCTGTATAAGTTGACGTTTATTCGTATAAACTGGAATATAATCAATTCTTTACCATTCGCAAAACAGCAAGACTCTTTTATCTCAGGAAATTGTAAACAACGCGACAAAATTTCACTAAATTTAATTTTGGCATGCATTTAATTATTATTATCTATCGGAGTGTGATTTTACAAAGTGAAAAAAGACAATTTTAAATAACGAAGGTTTGTTGTACCGTCGTACGAAAACAACAAAATATCATTAAAGTATTCCGATAATGCGTGCATAAAGTAAGGAACAAAAATTAACAAGCTACCTATAACCACTTGATCTCACAACCCATAATTAGCATGTAAAAAACTATTGCAATAAAATGAACTGATGTCGCGGTGAAAGTAGAGAAGAAAAAAATTGTTAATGCCAGCCATTGATTATTAGTTTTTCTATGAGTTTTATTCATATTCTATATCAAGATGCGAATTTATTTTTTTTTTGATTTGTCGCATAAAGGGCGCATAAAAAGAAAACAAAAAATCGATTCGTTAATTGAGCATCCTGCAGCTGTCCATATTATATACAGTAATGCGTATTTGCAGACACATGGGAGGAGCGACGATGCTCTTGGGACTTGAGCATTGAGATATGTATGGGCAATACAGAGGTGTGAAGATCGGGATGAATGACCGACTATGTTGCTAGCCACGACGGTTAATTACATAAATATGCAAGTTCGGAAATGCTTATTTTTCACCCACAAAAAGACTCACAATCCGTGTGGGTGAAGTGCCTTCCGACACATTGATTCGAGTGTTGCAATCGACGAGGCTACGAAATCTTTCTTTCGCCAATCTGACTGTTTAGCATATACTAAACCAGACTTGTGCCCATTCATGTACATTTATAGCATGCGATACGAATAATTGGGCGTTTAATCAAAGTGTTAAATCATTGAATAAATATTTAAAAATTTTAATCGAATTGTAGGATTTTTACGTGGGGATAGTTTTCAGAATGTATCAAGTACTATGTAAATGATACTTCTTGATGGTGGAATTCTGTCAAATTATAGTTTGCATAAATCAATGTTTGTATATCGCGCAAGAACAGCAAGTGAAACATTTTTACAATACAACTTTATCTTTTTTGTATTATATATATCTTGCGTTGACTCGTTCGAAGGTAGAAAAGCTTATTTAGAAATTTGTCTTTTTGACGTGCTCACATCAAGATTCGCGAGTGGGTTGTGTTTTTCACTGTTTATCGCACTTTTATCCGTGGCACAATCAAAAAATTGTTTCTTTCTATTTAAAAAGAAATGAATCTAGAAGAGAAATTTCACTTTGTCCAACTGGTTGTCTGGTTAGATATCATTTTCGACTGTTCAGATTTTCAATAGCCTGCCGATTCGACTCAATCGATTTTGCTGCGCGTAGTAGTTATCCCAGTGATTTTAGTTTCTCGTTCGTACGAACGCAACAATAGAAATATCAACAGGAAAAATACACTCTTTACTACCTACGACTCATGTAACAATGCAACAAAGGTCATGCACCATTTCCATTTCTGGTTGTAACTTATACATAGCAGAAGTATTTTGAGGTGATTGATGACGTATTTTATACTATCCTACATATGCCGCCAGACATAAATATAAAAATGATTCAAGCTGTGTAATTATTTGTATTCTTGACTAAATAGCCAATGTATGTAATACTATAGATATCCAAAATACCTATTTTAGGTAGGCTCTATTTTTTTGGTTCTACCCTCTGAGCAGACGGCAGTGCATTAGATCCCAATATGAGATCGGGTAGGAACGGTGTGGCTGGTTGCATCGATGAAGTATATGTAGCCACTCACGCTTGCACAGACGAAGCGAGTTTCGAGCGAAGTTAGGTATACATAAATTTACCTATATATGGTGGCAACTATAATGCATGCTGCAGTGAAGTTGAAGTCGAAGTCTGGTAGTCAAGGGAGAATCGTTAGCCGCACACACGACACAACACACGAACACGCTCGGTATCTGCGAGAGTATTGGTATACGGGGAATGCGAAAGCTTAAAGAGAGAGCGGACTCGAGGGTAGAAAGATAAAGAGCCGGCAAATTCACATTTATACCTCTTGTTGCTCACGGATACACACCCAAGCACATGGCACGCATACCCGCAGTTCTCAGAGCGGATACGTGCAAGTATAAATGCATATAAATTCTATAGTCTTCGTTTGAAGTTACTATTTGCGTCGATGCTCTTGCTACAGCTTGTATCTGAAGGAAGATTAATATACAAAAATAAAATCTACAACTTAGGAGACGGAACGAAAAGTTTCTTTATTTGTTCTAATCGTAAATTCCACAGGGGTGCAGCAGTTTAGGGTTCCCTGCAATGGAATTCTGAAAAGGTACGAGTTCAGTCAAACCGTAAAAATCATCATTTTTATTCATAAGAATGTTGAAAATAATGAATTAACTAAAGTACCGAGGAGTGATTAGTTAGCTGTTCTAGGGTAAACAAGATCCAAGAGCCCTGTAGAAATGTTTTATTGTGGTAATAGCTTTTTCCGGGATTGAAAAAGCCAAGCAGAGCTTAATGGAAAACCGTGGGTCGACATTGCGTTTCCACAGAGGTAAAACTCTATGGCCTCGATGTTGATTCGACCTCGTAAGCGTGTGGTGGTTTCATCCTCTATCGTTTGGAGCGGCTAAATAAAGTTGCTCAATGGAACAATGATTAGGCAGCTCTGAAACTTGTACCAGTCCGCGACATGTGAACGAGGCTTTCAACTTGGAAGATTTGAGAGGTATGAGTCGAATAGCCCCCAAGCTTCACTAAAAAGGTCACTGACAGCTGCAAGCGCGTGCAGTCGAAAATCGGTAATCAAGTGACGGTAATCAGCTGACGAGTTGCGAAAAACCTTGAAGGATATCGATCATCTTTAGTAGCTGCTTTTTTTCTCAATGAAAGGATCAAAATTTGTCTTAAAAAATTGAACATTCGAAGCATCGTATAAGCTTGCCAGGCGGCATGCGAGCCTCTCTCGGCACTTTAAATACCACAATCGGATCAAGAGATTCCTTACTGGCACAGAGCGAGCACATTGCACACTACATCTATGCTCTCTTTTACGCACGTGTAACGGAGACACTCAGCCAGTTGCGGCTACATTTCGCTCTTGGACGTGTTCCGCTTTCTCGCGTCGACGCCTCTGCCTATGCACGTCCGTTCAGCACGAATTTTCTCGCACTTGAAAGAGAATTAAAAATTATAAAAGCGTTTGTGCCGACGTTGTATCGGGCTCGGGTATTATTTTAATTTATTCGCGTTCGTTGTCGGCGGTTGTTCGCACTTATCGAATGTGGATCAGATAGTAGATGCGGCTATCTTTGAACAAAAAAAAGTGGGTCGTTTGTGTTGGCACTCGATATATTGTGCTAGTACTCGTACAAATACATTCACCTATACGAATGGCTTAATCAAATATGAGTTGTCTTTAATTTCGATCGATTCTTTGTAAAAGTCGAAAAATGTTATAAGGTATCTGTGATCCAGTGGGGCTTGTGCGCACGTATGATTGTAGAAAAAGAGCGAGAGCACGGCCGGAGAGAAACGTGAAACGCCGCGGTGCGATAGATGGCCGAGAGACTTTGAGAAAAGCCTCGCACGCGTCTCCGAGTATCGGGTTGCATAAAGGTCTTGGAAAGTTGAGATAATCCACTATTGCGCGGCTCGCCTATGAGTATGTAAGCGACCGTCACGCGCGACGCTTTCATTGCGCTGCGCAACCAAGTACTCGAACTCGCAGCTTCCGGGACGCGCGAGCACAAATAAAAAGTATAGTTTGCCCTGTCAACCGGCAAGCTCATTAAATACCGATCTCCCAAAATTGAGTGCCTGACACATGCACATAATCGATCTTGCGAAAGAGAGTCAATGTGTATCGATTCAGTTGCATTACATGACCCTGTATAAACATCCATAATAATAATTCGTGCTCTAGCTTGTGTTCATTCATTAGATTTAAAAATGATGTCGCTGTCGTGGAGCTTTTTGAGCAGATCAGCAAGATAAAAATGTTAAACGAGTAAAAAAGTACTCTAAAAGCTGTCGAAACTTTGAATCGAACGTTACATCGTGATTTGGAAATGAAACAACGGCGCTAGCAGGATTTGCGTGACAACGAGCTTTGAACTTGACAAAGCGAGGGTAAGAACAACAATCGTCTAGTCAGAGGTGGCAGATCCTCTCTCGAGTCCGTCGAAATAAAAATAAGCTCGACCTCGCTCGGTTTATTTTCCCGGCATATTAATGCTGCGCTACTTGCGAAAAAAGGGCAGCCACCTACTACTATATCGTGGCGGAATAAAACGTCATCACGCCGAGTGCTAATGAACACATGTGCGTGCGAGCGTAACTGCTGCTGCTACTCGTGTCTCATAAAATACTCGTGAGATATATCACTGCAGCTACTGCTGCTGCTGCTGCTACTGCTGTTACATCTACACTACTACTACGACTACTACTACTGATGCTGATATCGATCCTCTTTTTAGCTCTCGCGCTCGCACACATACCCGATACGTATATATGTATACATGTACAGAGAGCATAGAGAAAAAGAAAAAGATCTTCTTCTCGTGAACCTGCCTACTAATTTTATCCTTGTAAAATTTCTCCACACGTACGTAAGATTTAGCCGAAAAAGCTTTTTATGCATACCGCGGCTATCGGAGCTTTTCGAGGCAATTTCAAATCCTATATAAGCAATTAATACATTTTTCTCCCTTAATCCTTGTTATCGTATTATTTTTTCGATTCAAGCACGGAACATAGTTTTAAATATAGGGAACCCTAGACAAGTCTGTAATAGTTCTCGTTGTGTAAATAAAATAAAACTAGCTTCGAAAAAAATTGTTCATTCAATATACGTAAGTTTATCGTTCAAATTCATGGCTTGCTAATATTTGTGTGATCTTGGTGCAAAATGACTGGTTGAATGCAGTATTGGAAAAAGGGACAATAAATTATTTTTTTAATTTGAGTAGCAAAAGTAGCAATTAATTGTCAGTTACTTTTTATTTCATCAAGAACAAATTTGAATCACTGTGACAAGTGTATATTCTGATAATAATTATGAGTGTTGTTATCAACAAGTTGTACTGTAGGTTGGATGCAACATAATTAACACATTCATTTGGAGCAAAAAGTTTTACCTGTGGAATACTGGCAACCAGTTGTCGATTAAGAGCATCTCTTTCCTTTTCGAGCTCTTGCAGTCTACTATCAGCTTCTTGGAGACGATCTTGACTCTCTCGAAGAGATCCCATGAGCTTGTCACGCTCATCGAGCACCGAGACCATGAGGTGCTCAAAGTTGGCATCTTCACCAGAGAATTGTGAACTTCTCTGGCTGATACTGTCCTCCACAATCGTCGGCATCACGTCACACATCATATTCCACATAGTGTTTAGAACTTAACTTACAATAAAAAACTTTTTTAAAACTTCACTATCTTCAAAATCACTCGATGATTGTTCCTGATCACATTTAAAAACTATTAGCTGGAGCATGTTTTCAAACCATTGATAAAGACTCTTTTTATTTGGTTTGTCACTAAGCAACCGCTATCCGGTACCAACTCGCAGAGTCATTTCTTTGGTGCAAAAAGCTGATGTGAAGGTACAGTTGTAATATCAACTGCTGTTTCATGGGAGCCCTCGCGCACAAGGTGACAGAACTCGCTGATTCTCATCTCTGTTGACGTTTTAGTAATCTGAAATGAGAAAATATAAACAATGATGAGACACAATTTTAAAAATATTTTCTTTGACTTAGCTGCCACAACGTACATTAAGTAACGTTAGTGAAAATCATAAATAATGCCGTTATTGTAAAACATGTATAAACCTGTCAAAAAGTGTAAAACTATAGGTACTTCCGCGAGGTTTTATAAAAGAAAAGTATAAGCGCTGCGTGTACAAAAGGTGTGACTAATCAGTCAGAAGATTATTCACGAGAGACAATCGAGAGAGCAGCAGCAGTAGAATGTGGGAGAATAGCTGGAAAGTCTCTTATCATCGAAAGTAATAATCAATGAGTAGCACCTTATCAGCGGCACAGGTATGTACGACTATAGAGCCGCCTACTATAGGATCCAAGGTGTACGAGCAGTGATAGATGTCAGAAGAGTAAGTCAATACAAGCTCGCGTCAGAGAAAGATAGGAGACTGAGAGAAAAATAAGTATTTGCTACAAATATATTAAAGAGAGATAGAGAGAGAGAAATTAAAACTGACCTTAAGGTGGTAGGGAAGAAGAAGCAGCAGTAGCAGGCACGAAAGACGAAGAGCAGCCGGTGCAAGCTCGGTTGGGAAAAATGTTTGCCGCGGGCGACGACGAGCAGCAGTGGCAGCAGTGTCAGCAGCAGTAGCAGCAGCAGCAGGCGCCGAAGAGCAAGTCAGAGTCGGAGGCCGAGCAGCCGAGCACGAGAGGTCGGACGATGAGAAGGCGGCGGCGAAGAGGAAGCAGGGTGTCGTTGCAGGCATCGCAGGTGCATCCAAGTCGCCGGCGCCGCTGCTGATGCATCCGAGTTTCGAGTTATGTATTACAAGAGAGTCGCTGCTGGGCGGCGAGTCATAGTAGCACGAGTAGAAACGCGAGTACGTCGAGCGGCGGCGGCAGCACCTCGCCCTCCATGGCCGCGCGCGCACCGATCAATCGACCTCGAGAGTCGAGACTTGGCTCGAGCGCGCGCGAGAGAGAGAGAGAGACTAGAGAGAGAGTATTTGAGAGAAAGAGACAGACTGAGAGACTCGCGGCCGCCTATCTATCTCTCTTTATCGCGTGCGAATACTGCTGGATGCGACGTATATATATGCTCGCGCGTACGAGTACTAAATATAGTCGCGCGAGAACACACACATAGACTTGCGTGCGTAGGATATAGGCGCAGGCAGGCAGGCAGGCAGGCAGACAGACACGCAGCCACTCCGCCTGCAGTCGGATTCTGTCGCCGCACACTTTTATCTCCGTATGAAAAAGACGCACTGCATCACTCGGAGACGGCGATTCGTTCGGTGCAGCTGCGTAACGCACGACTCACGAGTCACAGTCACTCACGAGCAGGAGCAGCAGCTTAGCCGGCACTCGGCACTCGGGCAGTCGGCAGGCAGTACTCGGTCGGGAGCGAGTTAAAGGGCGACTCGAGCGAGCGCCGTATGCTCCGAGTTTGCCTCGTATATTTGGATTTTCAGCCTTGGGCTGGCGCTGGGCTAGGCATACACCGTACTAGTTGTAGTGGCGTTCGGCCGATGGCCCCCTATATGTGCCGCTGGCAGCTGCAGCAGACGGAGCGAAACTCGAGGTGACGGCCCTGAAGGAAAGCCTCGCTCGACTCGCGCCGCTGCAACGACGCGGACGCCAGCAGCGCAGCCCGCACAGCCTCGTTATTACTCGTTCCGATTGATTATTGTGTATACCGGAGTGTATGAGGAGTCGTGGACGCGAGCCAGGACGAGCCGTCAGCCGTCAGCTCTAAGCCGATGTGCACGCGTAGCTGCTTGCGCGAGACTAAATCCTTAATACGGAATCGCACATAGACTACTCCGCCGCCACTCGCTAGTTAGTCGCTACTGCTGCAAAGTGCGAAACGCGAATACTCCCACCCGACTTTGCCCCCCTACTGCCCGCCGAACACTATTATTGCACACTGACTCCGCGCACTCCGACTATGTGTGCATTGTGCACATGGATAGCCGATACTAATAACAGCTACATCCAAAGATACTATATAAAGAGATGTAAAATTGATTTTGCCTTAGTTATTAGATACGACTGTAGGAGTGTGCGGGCGGCTGTGACGCATTGCCAATGCAGGAATCAGCACCGGTCCCACGTATACTAGAGGACGGCCCCTCGGTAAGTTTGCGCTGCGCGGCTCGATGCGATCATTGGCTAGCCTCCTCGATCCTCGCCGGCCTCGTGAAATGCGACGTCGAGAGCTCATCGGTCAGGGTAACGTCGATTCGCTCGATTCGCCTTCGGTCCATTGGCGACTCGGTGCCGGCTCCCGTCCATCTGCCGAGAGGTTAAGTTGCAGCTGACTGCTTACTTTATGCATAAACCTTACCCGAAGCGATGAGCTGTAAAATTTCGAGGGGCTTCAAGGGGACATGTACAGCTAACAATTTCATTCGATTTCATTATAAGGTCTGGCAGATGATGGAGCGATCGATGTATCCGATAGACAAGTCAGTCTCGAGCTATCATGATACTTGTTGCAGCTGTGGCACAATTAGGCTCGTTGGATGGATCCTACGACGGCATCTCTCCAAACGCAAGCACGAGCTTATTACGAGCTGCAGCTGCTTGCGTCGAAAAATGGCGATTCGGAAATGTTTCGCATGCTGTGAATCCGTGATGGACTAATCTGTCAATTGATCGACGAGAGAAATGGACGGAGTTCTCGGGATGAAACGAAAGGACGATTGAGCCAGCTGTCGGTAAAAAACCGAGTGATACGTGCCCACGGGAAACTTGAGCCAATTGCATGCCAAAAACGCAGCCACAAGATTAACAAAGCTCTGCCAAGTTTACGTCGAAACTCGTCAAGTTGCGCGATCAATCGGAAAAACGGAGAACGTATCGCAAAAAGCTCGAAAGAGTCCAAGGACTCTAGGTAGTAGGAAGCTGAGCTCGAGCGAGGCCGATTGGCCAGCTCGCGTAACGCGTTCGAAGAGTCCGAAAGCTCGAAAATGAAGCGCGCGCCAAAACGCCACGGAAAGCTCGCTCGTGCGTGCGCAGGACTGAATCCGCCGCCGCTGTTATACGAGGCGTATGGTGTGTCGAGTGCGTAGCGACTAGCGAGGCAGGAGCCGCCGGAATCGAGCTGCGAGATCAATAACTGCCGAGCTTTGAGATGGCTCCGTCGGCGGATAGTCGGCCGAGGAGGCTGCGCGCACAGACACTGCTCAGCTGTGGCCTGCGAAACCGAGCTCCCCTGCGCCTCATGGCCGCTCGAGACCGACCAGTCCGACTTTTCGCCTGGCCATAACTCCGCGAAAGACGTCACGACTCGACGATTTCGCTCGATTCCGATTGAATTCCACTGAACTTTGATAGTACGCGAGTGATCAATGAAGAGCCAGGCGCACGTCTGTTCGCCCGAGGCTCAGGGTAAGTCGACTACGAGTTTACTCTTACGATTGATAATTCGCGACAATTAGTGCTGAGTCGTTTTGTTGCTTTCAGCAGCGGCACTCCTGGGCGAGCTGTCGGCCGACGACGACATGTCCGAGTCGGTGGACGAGCTGCGCGCCAAACTGGCCAACATGAAGCGCCTCATGGAGGAGCGCCGGGGCACTACCCTCGGCGAGCTCTCGGCCCGCAAGCAGCGTCGCAGCCAGGCCGAGATGATAGACGGCAACTTCCTCTCCTGGATCTTCCTCGTGGCCCTCGGCATCATACTCAGCGTCAGCTTCTACGCCTTTTACAACCTCTACCACGCCGTGCTCAAAAAGTTCCCCTCCAAGCACACCGAGCTCTAGACTCTCCAAACTGGAGCCTCCAACGACAGCTGCCCTCCCGATTGTTATCCTCCTTCCTTCCTCGTCCTCTGCGATTCCGATGTCTCTTTTCCCCCCCTTCGTTCGGATCCAGATTTTTCTCGACCCTTTTTGCCACGTACCACGCGTGTTGATGTATATATTTTATAACCGAGAACAAATTTAACTGAATATATAAAGGCTATTATTGTTGTACCATTTTATACTCGCCAAATAAGAGTCAACATAATGATATTGTAATATTTATTCGTGTTGTAAGTTCGACTGGAAATAAAGGAAACAACGTGTTTCAAAACTCAAACGAGCACTTTTTCTTCGCTTCATTCGATCCCAAACGCTTTTAAGAAAAATGTCGCCTGAAACCTCCCTGGTCTTCGATAAAAGTTCGCTGAGATCGTTCGAAATCCTCCTGTTGCTGAGAAAAAATATCGCTCGGTCAAAAATCATATCGCCACTGATTTTGATGACGTTACCTTAGTTATTTCGCGCTCCATTGCCTCTCTTCTCCAAGCCAGGGACATGATGTCATTTTCCATTTCGGCCAGCTGTCGAGTGGTGAACGAGAATTATTACGCGTCATCGTGACAATTATTTCACCATGACCTTTCTTTTAACAAAACGGGCATTTATCGAATAATCAAAGGCCATTTACCTCATTTTTCGTTTTCAGGAGGTCTTTTTTTAATTCGTTTATGCAACTATTGTTTTTTCTTATGGACGCAGATTTTTTACTTATTGAATTATTGATCGGCAGCTTTGCTCTTTTTACGACTACTTTATTTTCTGATTCCTGATCGAATCACTCTTTATTTATCATTGGCTCAATTCATTGCGTTTGTTAATCGCTACTTACTGCGATCTGATTCTCTCCCAGTCGTTGTCGAAGCTCTTGCAGTGGCTCGTCGGCGCTCTTTTCAAAATAATTCCATAATTAGACATTTCAAGTTGACATTTATTTTTTAATTTTCTCACACAACTAACCTCTGCTGGGTCTTGATAAAAAACCTGCAAAAATTATTCTCTTTTAGTGACTTCGCTTATCCATATAGCTTTTATTATGTTTGAAAATATTCTCAACTTACGCAATTTTTCAGCTCTTCCATTTGATTTTTGTACTGCAAGGCAAATGAATTTCTTAGAGTTTTTAAATTAATTGAGTTATAGCAAATTTTCACAAGTACCACTATCACGATGAAACTGGAGATACAAACGACGACAAAGGCAAAGATCCAAGTGAGCTTGAACGCGCAAAATTTGATTATGTATGGCCAAATGATACTATAAATTTGAAAACTCATGATTGAAATTTATTTCATCGATGGGGCAAGAGCCAACACCTAACCAAAATTGTTGCGTCGTTAAACGGTCATGTCAAACAACAACTGGCGGAATTTACCGTCAACTGTTTATTATAACAACTCGAATAAAGTTTAGTAAGTACATACCTATAACTATTTTCGAGTTTAATAAAGGAATGTGATTATGCTAATTCGAGGAGGTCTTCAACTTTCAAGTTTCGCGCTCATCTAGCAGAAAGCGATAACTGCCTGAGCCGAACAGCTGACCCTGTTATATTTACCGAAACACAAGTAAAAAAAAGCTCTGACTCACATTTAGCTCAAACATTTTCATAATTGATAATACTGAATTGGAAAATTAAAAATTAATGTTAATTAAATATTGATAATATCCGAGTACATATGATATTATTATTGTCACGCAATTCGAGTATCAAAAAGCTCAAATTAAAACCGGGTACCGTCACTAAGTTTAATGTTACGGAAAACATTCTGCAAATGTTATTTATCTCATCAACCGCTCAAAACATTTAAAAATCAATTTTCATCTTCATTCATCAGCTCAAGCAATGTCAGTGGTAGCGGCGACGACGAGTGTTTACATAGTGGCTTGAGAAGCAATAATTTTACGTTCAATTATGATACCAACGATGATAGTACAGTTATTTTGCCTTCTCAAGCGCAAATTATCATTGCTGGAGCAGGTACGGTGGCAAATTCGGTAGCTTATCATTTGGTTCTCAAGGGCTGGAAGGATGTACTTATTCTTGATCAAAACAAAATTGGCGAAGGTACTAGTCATTTTGGATCTGGTATTCTAGGTCTTTTTAAGCCTATTGCCCATAGAAATCTCATACAATACAGCATCAAGCTGTATCACCAGCTATCTGAAATGGGATATGACATAGGATTGAAACAATGCGGCAGTATTAATTTAGCTCAAACCAAAGACAGAATGATTGCTCTGAGAAGACGAATGGCCTACAATGAACCCACTGGACTACACTGTGAAGCAAGTTTTTTTATTTATATTTTAGTAAACAATTTAATAATTTTCAAATCAAGGTAAAAGTTTTAATGAATTCTATTTTAACTTAGGTCTTGAGTAGAAATGAAGTAAAAAGAATGCATCCATACCTTCATGTAGATGATCTTGAAGGAGCTGTTTGGGTACCTGAAGATGCTGTTGCAGATTCTGTTGCCATTTGTAAAGTTTTGGCTAATTTAGCCAAGCAAGGAGGAGCCAGATATATTGAACATTGCAAGATTGAAAAAGTCATCACAGAGAATGGAGCTGTTAAAAGAGTCAAAACAAATAGAGGACTCGTAGACTGTGAATACTTTGTAAATTGTGCTGGCATGGTATGTTACTTGAGAAATTAAATTTCAAAGAGCGCAGTATTAACCAAATTTATTCTTTTTTAGTGGGCTCGCGACTTAGGACTTTGTTGCAATCCTCCAGTGAAAATACCTGCTTACCCTGCAGAACATTACTACGCTATTGCAATACCCAACACTGGAGGTTCTCTAAATTTGCCATGTGTTCGAGACTTTGATTCATACTCTTACATGAGGGACTGGCAGGGAGGTATTTTATGTGGTTGGTTCGAATCGGAAGCAAGGCCAGCATTTGAAGGCAGCGGTGTGCCTTCTGATTCTAATTGGAAACAACACATACAAGTCAGGCCTGAACACTGGAAACCACTGTGGGAAAAAATAGTTTACAGAATGCCTATAATGAGCGAAATTAAAGAGCCATTCGTGTACAACTGTCCAGATACTTTTACACCCGATGGCCGGTGGATTATGGGTGAAAGCTCGGACGTAAAGAATTATTACGTTGCCTGTGGCATGAACGGCAATTCTTTACAAGGTAAGATGAATCGTATCAAATGGACCGAGAGAGAATCACTCATTTGATAAGGGAAAAAAATTGATTCATCACAGGTGCTGGAGGAATCGGCAAAGAAGTAGCGGAATGGCTGATTCACGGCGAGGCACCGGCCGAGCTTTTGCCTTTCAACGTGCAGCGATTTCTCGACTTGCACACCAACAAGCAATACTTGCAGAGACGCGTTCGGGAAGTCGTCGGGCGGAATTACGCCATACTCTATCCTCATCAGTGCGAGTACAAATACGCTCGGAAAATGCGATGTTCGCCTCTGTACTCTGTGCTGGAGCAGCGAGGCGCCATATTCGGCATTAAAATGGCTTACGAGCGACCCCTCTATTTCGACTCGACTTATCGACGTAAGTATTTGGCATTGGCTACTAAATCATCATCATTCAGAGTTTTGGATGACGCGTGACCTAAGCGTATACGTCGTTACAGGTGGACAAAAGAAGCCACAGATGCCGGCAGGTAGCTTCTACAAGCCAAAATTCTTTGACTTCATGAAACAGGAGTTCCAAGCGTGCCGCGAGGCCGTCGGAATCATCGATATGAGCTCGTTCTCGAAGATCGAAATAAAATCGGTCGGCTTGGAGGTAGTCGACTACTTGCAGAAGCTGTGCTCGAGCGACGCCAACATCGCGATCGGCAGCATAGCTCACACGGGCATGCAAAACGACGCCGGTGGATACGAGAACGACTGCATGTTGGTGCGCCAAGCGGAAAATAGCTACTACATGGTCTCACCGACCCTTCAACAGACGCGCATATACCAATGGATGTCGAGGCACTTGCCGGCCGATCGATCGGTTGGCTTGAACGACGTCACGTCCAAGTACACCGTGGTCAACGTCATCGGTCCCAAAGCTGCCATTCTCCTCTCCGAACTCTCCAACTCGGATCTGAAGCTGCCCTCCTTCACATACAAGGTGCGCTCTTGAAACTTGCTCGAATTCGGGCCCTTTTTTAACGTCGCTTTTACCCGAGCAGCTGTGCAACGTGGGCTACGCCTCCGACGTCATGGTGATGGCCTTCACCCACACGGGCGAGCCCGGCTACTGCTTGCACATACCGTCCGAGTACGCCCTCCACGTGTACGCCAGCCTCATGGACGTCGGCAGAGACTACGGGCTGCGGGACGTTGGCGTGCTCACCCAACGATTCATGCGCATCGAGAGGTTCATACCTTTTTGGGCGGAAGAACTCACGCCCTTCGTCACGCCTTACGAGGCTGGCAACGGCCACCGTATCAATTTGGACGTGAGTTTCTATTTTCCAAGCTTTTCCAAATTACAACCAGCCTTCGACCAAATTATCATTTCAGAAAGAGTATTTTATCGGCAAATTTGCTTTGCAACGCCAAAAAGAACGAGGCGTTACCAGAAGACTCGTACTTTTCATTATCAATAATTTGGATCTTGACAAAGACGTTTGGGCCTGGGGAGGAGAGCCCATTTACCGCAACGGCGAGTTCGTCGGCACCGTTACCTCCGCCGGGTAAGTTCGGTAACTCATTCTCTCGTTGACTCAAAATCATTGATGCTCATTCGAATTGTGAAACGTTATTCAGGTACGGCTTCAACATTAAGAAGCTCATTTGCCTTGGCTTCATCGGATATTCCGGCTACTCGCAAGGTCTCACCGATCAGCGCAATATAGTGACTAACAATTTTATTCTCGATCCCACAGCCAGATATGAAATCGATATAGCCGGTCACCGATTCCCCATGTCACCGAACATACGATCGCTAACCTTGCCGAGCAAGCGTAATCAAAGATACATACCCACACCCGTTGTTACATACAAGAGTGATATTTCTCATTAACTCGTCGACGTACTTCATTTTTATAAGAATATTTTTTCGTTTGTTTTTCAATCAAATGTTTATAAACTTGTTGATGAGTGGTTGCTGAATCTAATCCAAATTCGACTGATGCACGCGTGTTTGTTTAGTTCATATAATTTTACAATATTCACTCTAGTCACATTTAATAACCAAAGGTATAATTCAACTTTTCTCTGTGAACTATTATTGATGTTTTGTTGTCATGTTCCTATTACTTGTTATTTCATGCACAACAGTTTTAATTACATTAAAATACAGCATAGTTCGTATTAATTTAAAATAAACGACCGAGAGTTTTTACTAAAAGTAATACAAAAATTAAAAACTTAGATCAATATGAAGATTGTTTAAAAAGTTATTTTAATGTCATAAAAGTATACAAAGCTATAGTTATATATCTACATTTTCTAAATGATATTGCTTTTAATTGATGAAAATTAACAATTGTTAGTCAAAGTCTTGTTTCTTAACAATTTATTTTTAGCAAATGTAATCATTTTAAATTCAGCAATTTTTATGTGAAAAGGTATTTAGTTAATTATTTTAAAAATTAGCTATATACATAAGAGTAAAACTTAACTTGAAAGCGATCCTCATGTTTTAATAACAGCAGATCTACTCTAGAAAATAATGGTAAAGTTAATGTTTGTTAAAATAACTGTGAACGCTTGCAGCTTTTTTGAAAGTCAATAAAACAAGTTTGTATTACATTGTTTCTGAATAAAAATAATTTTAATTATTTGTCTCATTGTATTCAATTGTGTGCACTATCAGTGGTTGGTGGCTCAGAAAAGTTAAAGATATCAATTATAACTAATCTTATCACACTTGTTCCTTTTTAAAAAAGAAACTATAAATTTAAAGATTTTTGCATGGTATTTTCAATACTGAAAGCAGATTACTAATTATTCGAAAAAGCATTATTTTACAAATATTCTATAAATCAAATATGTGATATAATATTTATAAAAGAAAAGATCATTTGATCATTTCAGCTAATAACATATTGTCTCCCTGATATACACAAGAATCTTTTGACAACATTATCTGTTATTTATTCTGGTTTGCAAGTTTTTCAAAAATGTACATTTTTTATTTTGGATTTAACAAACATTCAAACACTCATTCAAATCTTACGCTGCCCATTGTTCCAGTTCCTTCAAATCTTCATCTTCTTCTTGTTTTTGTTCTAAAACAATAATAAAAAATTTTAAAAATTTATTATCAGTGCAAGATGATGGTGAAGCCAGTCTAAATAGCCTATTTTCAATTCAGTTTCAGACAACAAGATTGAAAATTTGATTTTTGGACTGGATTTGCCACTTATTAAATTGTAACAAGAATTACTTGATTTTTTAACAGGCTCAGCAGGCAAATTAGCTGCTGGCACTGATGGTAGCTCATCAGTTGTCTGTATTCCCAATAGTTCTTTGTCAAGCTCTTCTTGCTCCAGTTCTTCCAACTCTTTTTCAAGTTCATCTTCATCAATATCTTGACCAAAGGCTACAGGATTAGAAATTGCATCTGAAATTTCTTTAGCCACATCTTGTTGTTCAGCTATGTCATCCATCATGTCATGAACTTGATCAACATCCCTATTAAAAAAAAAAATCCAGTATTTACATTACAATGAAGCTCAAAACATTTGTATGTAAATCATATAAAAATCATACATGTGCTGATGTGCTGCTTTCAGAGCATCAGCTGCATTCTTCATAGTAGTAAGTACAGCAGTATTTGTATTAGCACTTTCCAAAGCCTCTCGTTGCATTTCGATTGTCGATAAAGTTCCATCAATTTGTTGCAACTGTTTTTCATATCGCTTTTTTCGTTTGAGTGCTTGGATTGCAGCTGTAAATTGTTATTAAAAATTTATTGATATGCAACTTGAAGAAAAAATAAAATAAAAATAAATAAATAAAATAATAGAAAAATTCAGTAACTGAAGTACTTTGAGTAAGTAAAAATCAGATATGGATAAAATTGTGGTAGTAATTAGTTTTTGAGAGGACAAATTTGTATTTACATTTACAAAATTAGTAAGTATTAATGTCAATACTAGAGATAGCAAGCAAATGAATGAAAGAAGAAAAGTGAATTCATTATCTAAATTGTAGATGATTCACCCACAGCCATACAGTAGTAGTGGTGGATGTCAATAGAGCATTGCCTAGCTGTTTGATGTAAGGATTGTAGAGTAAACAAATAAACCCACCTCTTTTGTTCTTGGTGCCGTTTTTTTTGGCAGTGAGAATCTCTTGCTCGATTTTGGTCTCGAGGAAGTCCTGCTTCTTCACTAGCATCTCTTCGGTTTCTCTCAGCTTCTGAATGGCCTCGGCTGTCGTCGGAGTGGGTGCCTCTTTCTTCCCACTGAAGACTTTTGCGAAGAAGCTCATTTTGTTGTGTGAATTTATTTACTGTGGGTTTGGAAAATGATGATAAAACTACGTAATAGACAGGGAACAGCGACGGAGTCTGATGAGCTATCTCGCCCCAGCCAGTAGACAGTTTCTGTTTGACTGCTCTACACGATGATTATTTTCACGCAGACACTTATACATATAACGACTAGAAACGAGCGACACGACGATGCGAATTCGACATCAGCGATCAGCATTACAGCAATGAGCTCAGCATATGCGTCTGCAGGAAAATGAGCGCATGCGCCAATCGAAAAAGGCGCGCGAATTTGAATCACGATCGGCCATCTGGCCTAGATGTGCCGATAGATTTTGTGTTTTATCTTATCATTGATGTAAGGAGCGATAGGATTTGAGGCTGTTTTTTAGGTAAAATACAAAACAATCTATGCTTTATTGGAAATCGATAGCACAACATGATTGGAAAAATATTGCAAGCAAATTTCAAAAGGTCTATATTAAAAATGTCTAGGTTGTACACATATTATTGGCTGGTCTAACTTAAAAATTTGTTCATCTAAGCACAACTTTATCTCTTTTGATTTCTATATTAAAAATATAACGTCGACTACTCTATTAAGTCTTTCAGAATGTGCTTCATTGCAATGACATTATCCACTGGTATCTGTAAAAAAAGAATCAGCCCTTGAATATGCAGTACCTTTTTGTCAAATCGAAGCTTAGTAGAGATAAAATAGTAAGTACATGCATACTCATATTAATTGGTTTTGTCAGTTCATTATTAGTATTAAAATGATTGTGCAAAGTTAGACGAGGCGAAAAATTGTAAATGCGAGCTCGATCGCTGACTCGGGCTGACGTACCGCATGGCCGGCTCTGTTGACCCAAAAGAGCTTAAAACGATCGTAGGACTTGCTGTAGCCTTCGATGACGTTATCTATCACTAGAGGCAGTCTTGGAGCTTTTATCCACTTGTCAAGATCCTTCCATCCTTTCATTTTCTCGATCCACTTTAAGGTGCCTGCAATAATAATTCTCCGTACGCATCATTTCCTGATTCGAAAGCTCAAAAATGATGTGTTACCTGGTGTATTTATGATGAAATCCAATTGACCAGTGCAGACGTGAACTTTGAGCTCGGTCGAGTTCAGAAGCATTTCGACTTGAATAATTGTGTAAAATATGCGTGAGACTTTGTGTCGTTGTCTTGTAATAGTCATTATGAAATTACCTTGATCAATGACGGGCTTCATATTGTCCTCTAGCAGTGCCAGAGCAACTTGGTAGCTTTGGTGGCCCCAGTAGCTGGTCAAGTTCAGGGAGCTACGAACCGGGCCATTCATCAAGTCGACGTATTTGTCACTGACTGCGTATTCGTAAAAAAAGGACTCGATGAATATTTTTAACGAGACACGGCGTGCAATCAACTCACGAGCTTTGGAGGAGCAAGTGTCAACTTTGTTGAGGATATTGTACCAGTCCATATTGTCGGTGATGTTGACAACCAAGGCTTCGATTTGCTGGGTAATGTCGACGACTCGAGGCCAATGGCCGGCAGCTGCGGCCTGCTCGAGTTTCTCAGCCACCAGGTCGACTCGACGGAAGCCGATCATGTCGACGAATCCCGTGTGCAGCAGGTAGGAGGCGAAAAATCGGTAATTGTCGATGGCCGATATGGACGAGTCGATGAGTCCGATGCCTCTGAGGTTGCTCCTTATCAATCCCTGCGTCTGTCGCTGTCAAAATCAGTCAACCATCAGCCGAATATCAGCCAAGTATGAGCCAAATATGAGCGATGAAAGTTTCGGCAACTCACTCGGTACCAGTGATTGGCGAACTCGACGGCCATCTTGCCGCCGTACGACTGGGCGACCAGGTAAGCTGGCGTCGCGGCAAAGGCCGTCATGCGCCGGTAGAAGGCCTCGATGCAGCTGACCAAGTCTCGGGCAATTTGCGAGTTGTTGTTGGCGAGGCGCTCGTAATCGTCGACGTAACTGAAGCCCGTGCCCACGGGGTTGTCGATGAACAGCACGTTGTAGTCTTCGACCTGTGGGACAGACGAGCGGGCTTAGTTTTCCTATTTGCTGCTTTTTGAGCTAAAGGAGAGCTACCCATGTGTGGTTTCGCGCTCGGAGTCGGGCGTCGATCGGGCCGATCTCGCCAAAGTTGCCGATCGCGCTGGAGGAGGCTCCGGGGCCGCCCTGCAGCCAGACGACGAGCGGCCTGTCGTTGGCCTCGGAGCCACCGGCGTAGAAGAGCCACCAGAACATGTGGGCTCCTTGGCGCAGCTGCACGTAGGCCCAGTCCTGCTCGCCGGGCCCGAAGCCCTTCCTGCCTGAAACTGCAGCCCGATCACTGGAGTTAGCGAACGGGGGGAACCAATTAAGGGAGGCTCGACTTACCGATCCGAGCCAGGAGCGCCAGGAGCGCCGCAGCGACCGACCGATTCATCATTCTCGCGTAAACTACATGCGAGTGTAACACGAGTGCCATTCGCATCTAACTGGTCTTTATGTATCGGCGCACTCACAGGCTCATGCAAATTTACTATCCTACGTATAGGTATTATTATCGGCGTCGAAGCGTCCAACTGGTCGCTTTCTACTCTACTCCTACGTATGCACCCCACCATCCCACCACCATCGACATAATAAACGAATGCAGTTATAGAATTTGATCGAAACTGCAATTAGCCGATTAGAATCCGATTGGAGACTACTCATTTACGAGGCTGCAACGTCAATCCGACGATTCCCCTTATTCTTACGAAACGCGTGGCGTATAATTACGGCGACTCGAGTGGACGATTCCTCGGGACGAGTCGCGCCTACTAAATTAGAGCCGTCTAGCGTACTTTCTCGCACGAATGTAAGAATCGACGAATGCACGTCGAGGCGAGGCGCGAAAAATCAGCCGCTGAAATCAATCCTCGTTCCGTGTGTTACGACGACCGATTGTAGGTCAAAATTAATTTAGCGGGACATTTACTACATTCGGAGCTGTTGTATTATGATGATTATTACGGATCGATCGAGCTGCAGTCTGGCACACTTTGAGCTGGAGATAATAGGTGCGCGGCTGCAGCAGCAGCGCCTTCCGGCTCTCGAGCTCGGCGCTACCGGTTTTCGAGCTTTCTCGAGGCGCGAATCGAAAGTCGACTCGACCTTGGCTCGATGCACGATACGCGCGATACACCGAGCTGTACACCGGCGCCGTACATAGGCGGCTTATCTCCTTCTCGTCGTCCGAAATCGCCCGGCAGCTGAGCACTCGACCGGCGCCGCTTGACGGACGAGCATCTCGCTCTACTCCTCTCGACTACTTCTCAACGCTTTCATCGGCAAAGTCCCTGCGATCCTCGGTTCCGAGTCCAAACATGACTTGGAAATCGGCCTTGTTGGCCTTCTGTCTCCTCTGTGGCTGCGTCGACCCCTCCACGGCCAGGCTCAAGGCCTTCGATGGCGTCGCTCACGGTACGATTTACTTTTCTCGTTTATAATAACAAATTCTTTGCGGTATCTTATAATAATCGTCCGTGTTAATACACCAGCGCTGAAAGTGTACGGGCATAGCTTTTACGACGTCGCGAGCGGCCGACCATTGCAGGGCAAAATCGCCAACGAGACCAGCCCGTCGAACTCGTCGAGCGAGCTGCCGAGCAAGCTACCCTTCAACCTGCCCAGAATCGAGTTCAATGGCTCCAAGTGCGAGTGCCAGAATTACAGCTGCCAGTGCTGCGCCGGCCTCAACGTCAGCGCGCTCAAGTTCGACCGGCAGTGGTGCGCCAACTTCGCCTACGACAGCTCCGAGTACTCGATCGACCTCAACGTCACCATGAACGACAATTCCATCTACAACAACAGCCTGTCGGGTGAGTCGAAAGAGGCATATTTTCCAATTGCGTCGAGTCAAATGTGAAATCGTAATTTGAAAGAGAAAAAAAACGTTTACACAATCGCTTGGACGTGACGCAATTGCGATAGAGTAATTTAGATTTGTCACGAAGAAATGTATTTAATTATGCGAGAGAGCGAGGATATATCTTGTGCTTGATTCTTGTTGCGCAGCTCGTCACCCACCGCCGGTCTGCCTACCTCTGCCGTACCTGCCGTTTTTGCACTTTTGCCTGCGCTTCTTCGACCTTCGGCTGCCCAACGGGACGGCCTTCCACACCTGCATCGACTTCGAGGCTCGGATCATTCACGCGCCCCTCTTGATACTGCACTTTGACTGCGTGGACATTGGCAGCAACGGCCTCAGCTGGTCCAAGCCCCAGATCGGCAACGACCAGTTGATCAACAACAGCTACGTGGAGGAGCTTACCTCGAGCACCGTTGGTAGCGTTTCAAGCACGTCGACGACGACGACGACGAGCCCGACGACCATCGACTGGGATCCGGTCGAGTTCGAGACCACGACGGAGAGCGACGGTTTGCCGATCAACGGCACGACTCTGTCGCCCGAGCAAGAGGACAAGATCGGAGAGCATCGCTTGCGCCATGCATAATACTGCCATTAGGCACAATCATAATGCCTCTCTTTTTTTGTAAATAATTTAGTCATTTAGCCGTTAAGCGTCACGCAGCATTCTCATTGTAAATAAATACTCTACTCATGCGGATAAGCCATTTTAGGCTCGACAGAGCCACATGTATCATAAAATCGAGACACATATCGCTCGAGTAAAAATAAAAGCCGTTGCGAATAACAAATCATGCTCGACTTGTGCAGCGAATTTCCCCGACTCGAGATGTACCGATTTTCGGGCTTGATTGGTCGCCCGAGCGCGACAGAGAAAGAGAGAGAGAGAGAGAGAGAGAGAGAGAAAGAGAGAAAAAGAGAGGGAGAGAGAGAGAGAGAGTTTTCATCAGAGTGTAATTTCCTCGCGACCGGCCCGTATAAATTAACTGTAAATGAGCCGAAAAAAATCGAAAGTATCCCGCTCATTAGCATGTAAGCAAGTGCGTGCGGGAGTAGTAGGATATAAGCGTGTTTATTAGCCACGAGGTGCACCATTTAATATTTCTTTCGCGTTGCTATACCGTTCGACGCTTCTCTCTCTCTTGCTCTTTCAGCCTCTCTCTCATACACACACAAACACACACACACATACGCGCGCGACAGGCAGTTTTCTCTCTTTCGAGAACACCTAAATTTCTCCAAACCGAAGGGGGTTCGAAACGAGGTCGGTCGTGTGTGTATTATAGATATATCGATCGACTGCGATCGCGACTCTTGCCGGCTCGTTTGTGAGGAGCGTCTTGTCATAAGCTCGCCTCGAGTCGCAGGCGACACAGGTCTCCTGTGTTGTGATCCTGCCATTTCTTTTCTACTCCGCCACGAGCTACGATTCGGTGAGTCCGCTTACAACACGTAAACATTTAGCAATTTTCCATCGGGCCGATCGAGCGATCGATTTGCAGGAAGGAAGGATGCGATCGAGCCGAATATCGCTGCTGTCGATGCTGCTGCTGCTGCTGCTGCTGCTGCTGCTGCTGCTGGCGTCGACGCAGGCCACCAAGATCAGCGGCAAGGCCAAACAAGCGAAAAAGGCCGACTGCTCGAAGCTGGCCGAGCTCGAGGAGACGACGGGCGATCCCAACGCGTCTCCGGCCGCCAGCAGCAGCACCACTCCGAGTAGCGTAATTCAGCCGAGCAAGAACAGCACGAGCAGTCGGCAGCGGCCCTGCGTCTGCGCCCAGGGGGTCTGCTCTTGCTGCTCGCGCATCCTGCTCAATCTCTGGAAGCAGAGGGCCTGCGTCAACGTGACCTACGACCCGGACGAGTTCGAGTTCACCGCGAGGATCAGCATGAACGATCAGCTCTTCTTCACGCGCACCGTCTCGGGCAAGAACCCGAGGCCCGTCTGCGTGCCCGTCCCGAGGATCCCGGCCATCCGAGCCTGCATCCGCTTCTACAACATTTACTTCCAGGGCAGGAACGTGCACGCCTGCGTCAACATGGAGGGCCGAGTTTCCGACACGACTCTCTTCAAGGTAAAGGCAACAAAAAGAACTATTTTGACTTTTTACTACTTTGACACGAATTTTGCAGGTCGGCATGGACTGCATAAGACTCGGGCAGAACGGCGTGGCCCTGGTCAAGCCCGAGGACGGAGGCGGCATCGGCCAAATCGAGCTGCTGCCGAGCGATCCGGGCGAGGCCGACAGCGACGAGGACTACGACGACGATTACGACGACTACGACGACGACGACGACGACTTGTTCGATTACTAGGCCCGTCGACGTTACGTCATTGTGTGCTTGTGCAGAGGCAGCTCGCTCATTTGCACAAACACGAGTGAGCCGAGCGAGCTAGTGCAAACATACTCATCTCATCTCACCGCTACGTCTTCGTCGTTAAATTATGCACATTCATTCCCATCGACTTTTTGTTATTCATCCTTCGACTCATCTACGAAAATTGTACATATCCACATGACATGTTAGTAAGGTTTAAGAAATTACACATATATATTTTTGTAAAAAAAAAAAAAAAACCGATCGTTCATTTTTGCGCCCTTAATACATTAAACTGATTTGAAGATTGATCGAAATACCTCGAAATAGCTCGAGCTCAGTGCAGTCGAGCAAAGTCGAGATCGAAGAAAAAATCCACGAGGTCGGCGAGCGACAGACGCTCCAAGCCGTTCCAGAGGCGGCGCAGGTGCCTCAGCAGCCGATCGCAACCGGCCACGGCCACTCGGAGATTCTTGACTCGCAGGCAGATCATGCGTCCGAGTCACCCGTAGTCTGGATGGAGATGCGAGCAACTACTCGCTCGCTCATGTGCACACACGCTTTGACGGCTTTGACAAAAAGTCGCCAAGCTCTCTGCCGGACTCGTCTGCGCCGCTCACTTAAAATATGATAAGGAAGTTGGCAATAGATATTTATATAGGCGCTTGGGAGCGCTGGCATACATATAATATCGTAACGTATACGCGTATAGGCTGGCGATCGAGCCGGACGCGGCGAGTTCCGATCGCTTATCCTTTAGCAGTCGATGAGAGCGTGATCGAAACCAGTTGCGTCTCGGCTATAGCTATAGCAACAAAAAAGTCCACTAGACGCGTTAGAAATTAGAAAGTCTGCGTGGCGTCTGCGCCGAATAGTAGTATAGCTCGTTGTTGTTGACGTTGTCGCGATCCGCACGTGGCAGCGCTCCCCTGCCAAGCGACAAATAAAAAGGGAGGGGACTTTTTTTATCGAACCTCCGAGTCAAAGTGCAATTGCACGCACGCGATAATTGCGCGTCGAGCAAATCGTTTCGAAAGCCCTGTGTTATATTATATCTTTCGAGTCATTCTTTGTCGCTGCTGCAGCGCGACAACAGCCGATCCAGACAAAACCGCTCGAATAGAGGAAACGATGCGCTATCTGCGTGCAACGATGCGACGCGATGATCCTCTCGCCGCCTCCCGCGACCAGCGAAAGTCCAATTAAACAAAACAAATGCCCCGAGCTTATCAGGCCGCGACGAAAAATAACAACGACTGAAAATTGAGCTCGGCGTTCGGCGTCGATGGGCCAAATTGCGCTTGGCATTTTTTTTTACACTTTACTACTGTAAAAAGTACTCGTGCGAGCCAGTTGGAAGCGCAAATCCAGCCAGCATGAAACTGGTCCCGCTGCTCCTGATCGTCCTCTCGCTGTTCTCGAGCTCGTGCGAGGCTCGGACGAAGCCCCTGCAGCCTCCCGCGCGGACTTTCACTTCTTACCGGACCAACTCCATAAGCCAAAAGTCATGCGTCTGCGAGGCGCCGAGCTCCTGCTCCTGCTGCGAGATCGTGACCATCTTTTACACGGGCGACAAGAAAAAACGTGAGAACGACTCGCTGCTTATAATACTTTCCTCGCGATTCAATGGAAATTTTGCCTACTTGCAGTTTGCTTCAACATGGCTTACCAGAACAATGGCTTGAGCTTCGACTTGGCTTTGGACTCGTTGATCATCAAATCGACGCTCGTGACAAGTAAGCCGTACGTATTCGACCATCTCGGCCCTTCATTTGAAATTCTAACGACCTTTCAGATTACAAGCCGATGGAGATGTGCTCTGCGGTACCCGGTGTGCTTTTCTCCTCGGTCTGCGTCAACATTTTGCAGCTCGACAGATTGCCCAAGTAATTTCCTCTCTAATTCATTTTCCTTCATTTTCATGTAGTTGAAATCGATGGATTAATATCAATGGACACGCGTGTTTAGCTCGATTCACGTCTGCCCTCGAGTGCAGGTATCGTCGAAAAAGGAACGTTGGCAAATAACCTACAGCTGCTCGCAGTTATCCAAAAGCGCATCGACGACTAGCGACGCGGCCACGACCATCGCACCGGCGGCTACCGTCCAGCTGATGCTCGCCTCGACCATGACCATCCAACCGACCTCGTCCTCGTCCTCGGCGGCGGCGACCAAACCCATGGCGAGTATCGCTGCGTTGCGAATACGTTCGTTTTGATCCTTACCGAAATATCCGACTGAAATTCCGCAGGTAGCCACGAGTCAGGAAACGACCTCGACGACGACGACGACGACAACTCCGAAACCGACGTCGATGGCCGCAGGAGCCGCCCTCATGCTCCAAATGCCCGGCATACCCGTGATGGCCATCATGCCCGGCGTTTCGTCCATGGCCATCTCCATGGGCCAGATGCCGAGCGGCCAGAAACCGATGCTGCAGGTGACGAGCGGCAAACCAGCGGCCGTGCCCGGCCAGATGACCATATCCATGAGCGGGGCCAAGGTCAACGAAGCCGCTTCGACCAGCCCGAAACCCGACGCGACCATCAAGACGACTACTTTGAAGCCAGGAGGGCCGATCATGACCCTCATAGGACAGATCATGCCACGGCCCGGCTCGGTCGCCTCGACCTTTCAGAGTTTCGACATTGCCAAAGATCCGACGAATTCCACCAGAAGCCCGATGGCCAAACGGGCCAAACGCAATACCGATTGGTTCGACCTTCTGCACCAGTCCAACAGGTGCGAGAGGGCCTACAAAATTTGCGTCACCAGGTCCAAGCATTACGTCATATCGAAGCTCAAGAGGCCCAGATTGGACAACGGCCAGGGCCAGAGCGTCGACTGCTCCAACAACAAGAACCCCGTGAAAATCGTCAACGGCAACTTGTGCAACTACCCGAGCCCCGCGACTATACCGACCACGCCGGGAATTCCGATTCTGCCGACTCCGCCTCGGCCCGTCGTCCACGAGCCCAACACCATAGTGACCAACTTCAGCGAAGCTTTGGATGCGATCATCATTCAAGACAGCGAGGCCAGTGGCGAGAGTAGCGATTTTTACCCCCAACATGGGCCCTACGTCGTGCCGATACCGCCTCAGAGGCCCGCTAAATATCCCAACAGAATACCGCCTCTGCTCGCGCTACAAATGGATCAACAACAGATCTATAAGGATGCCAATGCTACATTTTCCCTAGCTGATCTCTACTGAATCTCTATCTCGCTTTTCTTGCAAATAGACAGCAAACGACTCTTGATATTAATTACTTTAAGCTATTTTTGTTATTTTAAATATTTCTCTGATAGACATTGACGAGTAAAAAATTAAAAATTATTGTCTGTGAATCATTAAAACCTACTTATACTTGCTGTGTAAATTAGAACGAAGAAATGCTTTGAAATTAAATCTTCTCTCGTCTTATTCGTTGTCACTTCAAGTATTACTTCAGGCTAAATCATCTCACATTCTTAAAAATATTATACCATTTTTAAACTTAAATAAATAGTACCGCTTTAGTTGAGCTTTTTCACATAAATTACAGTTATGGCTTTTTATCATTTTTCATTGTTACGCTTTAAAGAAAAATATATGATAATTGGAAACAAGAGAGAGTAGGAAGGCTATATATTCGGTCGCTTCACAGGAAAAAATAAACGATTCGATTATTTGCTTTCACATTATATATATTTGAGAAATGTGCGATCTTATTAAATAGTGACTACGTTCGCTTTGTAACCTAAGTAACTGGTAATTTATATAATTCAAGAGCATTTGTTGATTAAATAATACGAGGTTGAGGGATGATACTTGTGAATAAATCAACGCTACGAGTAATGTTTCAAAGGGCGCAACATAATTATAAAAAGTAAAATCAGGCTCGTTAATCATGTTGGAGTAAATGGCGTGATATTAGTAGCAAGTTATTATTTTGTCGAAAAAATTCAGCATGCAAGTCGTTGACTCATGAGATTTCGAGTTGGAGCATCGGATCGATCGATTGGTATCCGCAGATAAGTTTGGCGCGAAATCTGCCATGTATCGGTCAATCCAACAACGCGGTTTCCTGCCGGTTCTTCAGGCTTTCGGCCAGTCTCCTTTGTCCATATGGGGATCCAAGGTGCATTACTTTATTATACCTAATACGAGCTCGGAAAAATTTGACACTCGGCGAAATCGGACAGGTGGAGAGCGGATGCATAAGACGCGTGACGGACGAGCAGGTGCGAGCACTGGCCCTCGAAATCGCGGGCACCAACGTCTCGACGACCTACGTCTATTGCCCGAAGAATCCTCGGGCTTCTCTGGGAATTTACATGCCCTATCTCGTCATGGTTATCAAAGGTCTCAAGAGGTACTTTACCTTCGAAGTGACGGTGCGTAGCCGGGAACAACTTGCGGATTGGAGGAGCTGCTCTCTTCTCTACTTTGCCTTTTGTTTCACATCCCGACCAATTTAGGTGCTCGACGATCGCAACGTGCACCGTCGATTTCGCATAAGCAACTTTCAACGGAGTCGGCGCGTCGACCACTTTTGCACATCGATGCCGCTCAGCATGCAGCCCGGTTGGAACGAGATAAGCTTCGACCTCGCCAGTTTTGTCCGCAAAGCCTACAAGACCAACTACGTCGAAACGACGAGAATCAAGATCAACGCCAACTGCCGAATTCGTGTCATTTATTTTTGTGACAAGTAAGTCTAGCTCGTTATTATCTAGCTCGCCACTACTAGTGACGTGTACATTTTTCGCCGACGACTTTGCAGGGTCTACGATGAAAAGGACATTCCGCAAAAGTACAAAATCTTCATGCCACTGGACCACGTCGTTCGAAAAAAAGGCATCGAGGCCAAGAGGAGCGAAGCCGCTCTTAAAGCCGAATCTCGACTATTTTTCGAGGACGAAGAAGAGGAAGAAATGATGTACGTCGAAGTTGGATCCATGCCCGAAGATTCGACGAGCAAGCACAAAGACCAGATCGCCACTGACGGCCAAGCGGCCCAAGCTTCTTCTCGCGTCTTTGCCGACGACGACAACTTCGAGAACGAAGACGACGACGATCGCGTTACCGTCTGGACCGAAGCTAAAGACGATTTGAAATCGGCGGTCGATGGATCGGTCAACGAAAAGACCCAAGATGCGCTTTCTCAAAATCAAGAAGCCAAAGCGGAACCAGCAGCTGAACAATAAGCCCTTTTATCTACAACTTTTCTGTACATTTAACAATAGGAAATCATACTTTTATATCAAACTAACTCTACTTTTATTATAACAAATTATATATCGAGCTAATTCTACTTGTATTATTACAAATTATTAACTATTCTTTTGTTTTCATTTTCAGTGTTGAAAAACTTAAATTAATCTACTAAAACGTAGAACGTTAAATTACTTTGTCACTCATTAAACAGCAACTCATGGATATCAAGTTGCATTTTCTTGATATGTAGGCATATATGACTAATACATTTGACAGTAAATTATAATCTTTATAATTAAAAATATTTTTGGAACTTGCAGCTAATGCATTATGGTACGCTAAAGTGGTTTCCATTTGTTGCTTTCACCGGAGTATCACCATCTTCTACTTTTGCTTGAGATTGGTTTTGATTTGATGTTGTTTGAGTATTGGTATTATTCGTATTTGTATTAGTATTTGAACCTGTAAAAGTTTGAAATTAAATTTCTAGCGTTATTGTAACAGCAGAGTCATTTTACATTTAAGAAAACAAATTACTTGGACAATATTTATATACTGGTTTGGACAATGAAGCATTAGATTTTGAATTTGCTGAAAAACTTCCTGGTCTTTTGACTGTTGCAAGAGTTCTATGACTTTTATTATGATTCCCAAATATAGTTGAATTTCCAAGACCATATTTTGGATTTTTCCTTGCAGGAGATTTCAGCCTATAATTTGTTCCAATTAAGCAAAATCTATCCGGAGGAAGCATAAGTCCACTTGCTGGTTTTATCGCAGGTAAATTAATACTATTCTTTTCTTTTGCTAGTTCTATCAAAACTTCTCTTGGAGGTGGGTTAGTAAAGGTACGGTCCAATCTGAGCTTAACAGCAAGTTTCACATCATCGACGTCGATAACTTTCTTCTTGCTGTGATTGGCATAAACTTTACTATCATCAAGAATTGATGAAACGTATCCTAGTCAAGAAAATTTTCATATAAATAATGCATTTAATAGAAATATCAAATTGAAGCTATACTTACTGTATGTGAATTCTAAAAGTTGATTGATTACTTTGGGTTCATAATCATTGATCCCCATGTCTTGCATTATAGAGGCTATTACTTGTGCATCTTTGGGATAATGTTTAGGATAGCTTGCTTTTGGTTTGTTGTTATCGGTCATGTTTGAATACTAAAAATTACAGAATGGTGAAATGAAACATTATTTTTTCAATGAATAAATAGCTTGCATTTTAAGATTTATTACAAATTAGAGATTTGAAGATGAATTAAAATTAAAGTGATATACACAATTTAAAATGTACTTCAAACTTGCACTTGAAAAAAGTTGAAATTCTTTTTTAATGGTGAAAAAATAAAAAAAGTGATATCAGCTTTCATTATTCCAAAAAAGGTTTTTAAACAAATGGTTTTGGTGCATGGTTTTCTTTTGGGCTCAAATTATGAATAAATGATTGGTTATATTTACCTATTTAAATCACGCAGCTTGATTAGTTTTGAATTAAATTATTAAATTGTAGATTGCAATTGACTTTTGTTCACTTGTTTCGACACTTGAGCATTAATACACAAAACATAAACACAAAGTCCGAACGTAAACAAATTCAGCGGCGGGCGGCGGCTAAGTAGCGGCAACTAATGAAACGCGCAATGCGCAGCCGGGGTGATTTTACCTTCCCCCACCAGTTTCCTATCCGCCAATTTCGAATCGCGACTTTTTTCTCACGATTCAAAAACATTCTGGTAAGTAAAATGAATAAAAAAGAAATTAAGCGTGTGTTGAGAACGATTATTATTTAGTTGCATCAACGCATCAAACATATTTTTAACAATATTTACAATAATCTCGAACTTATTAACATTTTTAACATTATTTACATAGTACATGTTTTAAGAAAATAAGTAGGTACTTTTTACATTTGTTGGTAGCGAACGGATCAATAGCGTCATCATAAAATATTTGTTTCTAGGACTAGAAAAGCATCGATCTTATTCTTAGCAATCAAGGTAACGAGAGCAAAAATAGTTTGTCGATTAAGAAACAGTAAATGGCTGTAATGGGCAATTCATCACGATGGTGTATTTTCTAACTCGTTCGTCACGATGCGTCCACATTTAATAATACTTATCAAATCACAGTTGCTGAGGAACCTGAAAATGCTCTCCCATAAGACTGCTGGAAGCGAGCTACCGATTAGGCTGTTCATCGCGCTCGTCGCTGGTTCGAGTAAATCTCGACGGGCCATGCCGTGCTTGAACTTTCGATGCAGGATGTGTCCGTAAATCGGAGACTTTCTTTCAGCTAAATATCTCGAGTAGACCATTTTGACTAATTTATCATTCTGACAAAGAGAAGCCATTTGGTTGGCATCTTTAAAGAGAATATCGTAGAGAGTGGAATTTTTCGTTATGACAATGCGCTTCAATTCCTCGACTTCCGCTTGACAGGATAAGGTGAAGAGGCTATGCCATCTGCCGCAACTATGGCCCAAAGCATTGCAATTCAACCAAATCCCTGAGCAAAAATGAACGACAAACGTGGTTAGAAAACAGCAGTCAAAGGAGGAGGGGATAGATGTATTGAATGGTAAAATATTACTCACGCAATTGCTCGAAAACTCGTATGATTTTGTCACTTATGTAATAATTAACGATTCTCATTTTTTCGATATGCGTGTAGAGGTACTCGTAGATAAAGTAGACGTTGTTCATCAATCTATTGGCAAAGTCGACGTCCTTGCAGGAGCTCTCGTAGAAGGCCGAGAGCGAAGTATTACCTTGGGCGTCCTCGATGTTGATGTCGCTGCCAAAGTCCAACAGCAACTGAATAACTCGCGAATTGGAATTGGGCTGGCTGATGGCGATGAAGAGCGGAGTTTTATGCTCGTCCACTGCAACGAGACAACGAGACAAAATTAAGCGAGGGCGAACAAAAGGGGGAGGGGTTGTTGGCTAGGCAGTACCGGTTACGCAGTCGACGTCGGCGTCGTGTTTGAGCAGGTACTTGATGAGCGACTCGTTGGCATTGGTACAGGCGTAATGCAGGGGGGTCCAGCCGCGCAGGTCCTTGGCGTTGACGTCGGCGGCGTGGTCGATCAGGTACTTGGTGGCGATCGCTCGGCCAAACTGCAGAGCCAAGTGGAGCGGGCTACAGCCTGGCCAGATGGCCGACGAGTCGTCGACTCTGCGATCCACCTCGATCTCCAGCTCGGAGAACAAGTCGGCGAAGTTCTTGCAGTCTCGCATGCAAGCCAAGTGGAGGCGCGTCAAGCCCGCCGCCTCTCGCTCGCAGCGGCTTATCTTGTCCTCGAGGGCGTCCAGCAGCAGATGCAGCAGAATCTCGTTGCAGCCGTTGGCCTGATCTGCAACGGACGCGATCAATGAGTTACAAGTTAGGCCAAATTAGGCAAGAAAACTCACGCGGAGGCAGAGTCAGGTGAATGGGGGAGAGGCCGGAGGCGTTGGTCTCGGCGGGATCGGCGCCAAAGTGCAGCAGCAGCTCGACGACGTCGCGCTTGTCGGCCAGCACAGCCAAGTGGAGGGCCGTGTTGCCGGGCCAGACGGGCGAGCTGTCCTTGAGGCGCAGGCCGGGGCTGACGCCGCGGCTTATGTACTCCCGGGCCATGGCCAGGTTGCCGCTCATGCAGCCGATGTGGAAGTAGCCGAGGCCGTGGCGGTCCAGGGGATTCTTGTCGGTTATCCGGGCCTGCTGGCAGATGAGCTCGACGATGCAGCAGTTGGAGCCGGACGAGTGGCCGGCGATCTGCTCGGAGGAGAGCTTGCCGACCGAGTCGAAGCTCGGCACGAGGGACGAGGTGGCGGCGGACTTGGCGCTGCAGGCGTCGATCGGCCCGAGCTCGTAGAGGTCGGCGAAGGGCCGCTCCTTGCTCTCGTACTTGCCGAACTTTTGCAGGCAGGCGATGTGGAGGGCCGTGTAGCCGTCGGAGGCCTGCTGGGCGTTGAGGTCGGCCCCGAACTCGATCAGGTACTTGACCAGGCGGTAGTGCTGGTGGATGACGGCCAGGTGCAGGGGCGTGTGCAGCTCGGCGTTGGTCGCGTTGAGGTCGGCGCCCCGCTCGATGAGGGCGCGGATCGTCCTCGAGTCGGCGTCCTGCATGGCCACGTGGAGGGGCGCGTAGCCGAGGGGGCTGGTGCGCGAGTTGACCGGGAGGCCGCGCGACACCAGCAGCTGGACGATCGAGGCGTGCCTGTGCAGCGCGGCCAGGTGCAGCGCCGTCCAGCCCTGGAGCTCGTGGGCCGGCCCGTCGACCCGGGCCTCGAGGTCGAGCCGGGGCGAGGCGAGCAGCTGCTCGACCAGCGACTCGGAGCCGCGCCTCGCCGCCATGTGCAGGCCGTTGAAGCCGCCCGGGCTCCGGAGGTTGGGGTCGGCGCCCGCCTCCAGCAGCAGCGGCAGCAGGCAGCTGTACTCGTTGGCGCTCTGCACGGCCACGTGGAGGGCCGTGTAGCCGGCCCAGAGCTGGGGGCCGCAGTCCTCGCGGATGGGCTCGTTGGGCCGGGCCCCCCCGGCCAGCAGCTTAGCGGCCAGTCTCGAGTTGTCCCGGGCGCAGGCGATGTGCAGCAGGCTCAGGCCCGACTCGTCCACGAGGTTCTCCTGGCTCTTGGACAGGAGGGCCGTCATGAGGCAGTCGATGGTGTACTCGCGAAAGTCGAGCTTGGCCGCCAGGTGCAGGGGCGTCTCGGCGCGCTCGTTCCTCGCCAGGATGGAGGCGCCCTTGCGCAGCAGCAGCTCGACCATCTCGATCTTGCCCATGAGCACGGCCAGGTGGAGGGGGCTGGTCTTGCCGTCGAGGCCGGCGTAGTTGACGCGGCAGCCCCGCTCGACGAGCATCGTCGCGACGCGGCACCGGTTGGCCTTGAGGGCCGACATCAGCAGCGAGTAGTCGATCCACTCCGAGTCGCTCGGCAGGCCCTCCCGGTCGATCAGCTCCTGCAGGTCCTCGATGTCGTCTCGGCTCACGGCGCTTTCCAATTCCGACTGAAGCCGCTGCAACATCCCCCGACTCGATGTGTACAAAAGCCAACATGTCTATGCCCTTCCCATTCGTTACGAACGAGCGTCACCGACTCGAGAAGGATCGAGCTATTCTTTTCACATTTTCGAGCTTCGACCGATCGTTATTTAAACTACCGGATTAAAATCACGCGATCGAATGAAAAATAAGAAAAGCGTATATTCAAACTTGTATTTATGTAAGCAAAAATTGAAAAATTACACAAATTTGCAATGGAGCAAGGGATAGCTCGAGATTTACTTTGGATAGAAAAATAAAGTAAATTGTAAAAATTCGTTGAAATCGATGATAGGTCATTACTTTGTTATTGAATTATTTATCGGTCAGTGGACGCGACGATCGTTCGATCTAGGTTCGAGATCGATCGTGGGGCTCGCACGTGCGTCGAAAGGCCTCCCTCCCACCCTCCTGCCTCGTGCGGCTGTTGTGTAGACTGGCTGGACAGCAGCGAGTTAGACTGTACTCGAATAGCTGCGCATTGGCTGATCGCGCGCCTCGACTCGTACTTGGACTCGATTTTCTATGTCATGCATCTCCTCGCTCCGATTACACAAAACTACCACCTACGCTACCTACAAATTCAATTTGACGTATCTCGACTTTCTCCAATGCCTTTTCCCAACTAACTTTTTTAATCATTCGATGCCGTGCGGATCGAGCAACTTGCAACAATTTATTTTCCCTTCAATTTGCCTACGTATACTCTCAAAGTTTATTCATTGCGAGCGAGTGGGAATCAACTTTGGATAATTGTTCATAATATGTGACGAGTTTATATGGCGAAAATGGCAAAAGACAAAAGACAAATGGTAAAGAGAAAAACTTACAGTCGTCATGTTTTCTTCATGATCTTGTGGCAGACGTTATCTCGAATGCATACATAAGAATAATAATAATTGACAGCACGAGCGACTGCCAGCGAAGGTTGATCCTGCCGTCATTTGGCTCTCGAGGACATGGACGCAGCCGAGCACTCAAGTAATTGGCTTTTCACTGGCAAAAGTAATTTTTCTCATCTTGTCGCAGCCAAGACGATTGGCTCGTTGCACAAACGAGACAGGCACTCGACGCGATGGACGTTATTCGCTCGGAGCGCGAAGCGTTCCATGTTTGCACGAGGCTGCGCGATAAGCGTCGATGTCAGCTGTTCAATGATGTTCATCTCTTTGCTACGTATAATGTATTATAGGTGCTATTGGAGTTAGGACTTTGACGAGCAGCTGCACTGGCCGCACCGACTGCACCGACTGCGTTGCAGTCTGCTACTGCTCGCGCTGCTACGAGTTCGCAAGAAGTTGCCTGCTGACGATCGCTTTCCCAGCCTTGCTATATAGCTATGTAGATGGCCCATTCTATACACTGGCACGTTCCCAATGCTATGTACATTGTGCTATACCAACGTCTCGCACGCTTATCCTTGATTCTAACTACTGAACGTAGTTGTTGGTGACATTGTACATCTTGCACCTATCTGCAACTCCCAACTACACGTCGAACGCGCAGACAATTTTAAATTTCGAATCTTTTCCTTTTTTTCCTGCAACTGTTTTTCACCTTGTAACTTTTTTCCCCCAGCAGTAACTTGAACATTTTATGTTTCATTTCGTTGCTTTAAAATAATCATAATTAGACAATTATTTTTTTTAACTTTTTTTTGTTTATTCCGTCTTCTAAATAATTCACCGTTTTATTTGAAAATCCTCATATCTTAATTTACATTATTGTTAACATGGATTGAAATAAATGCCTATTGAGAATTATGTTTGGACATTGGATTTGACAGAGAATTGGCCATGTGTATATCTGTATCTATATAGATTGTAGGCGTGTGTTTGTATACACTATACACATTAGACATCTGTATGAGTGTTCAAGATACATGTACACAAACTAATACCTTTTGGGGATTGTTACTCGACAAATAGCGCCATCTGAAAATGAAGTAGAAACTCTGCGCTGGACTTGATATACTTAGTATACTATAGAATATAGTCAATGATGTTGACTGTTGGCATTGTGTACACTAGTACAGCCATCAACATCGATGTATCATATCGTACATCAAGTGTAAAGACTGCAGAATTCGAGTAATCAAAAACACAGACGTTTTCACGAGGGAAGGAAAAACATATGGTCGTTAGCAAGTGCAGTGCGACGTATCGTTACAAGTAATAAAAGCGGAGCTCATGCTAAGCATCGAAAGATTCAATAAGCACAAGCTGTGGAGCGGCAAATCATCGAGTCTGACTTGCGACTGAGCAGAAATGGCGTCTAGTCGTCGTGAGTTGGGACTTGTGACTGTAGCTCCTCACTGATACTACCGTACAAATAAACATACAACCAATACATGCGAGAGCATCCCAAACGAGTGTGTGTATAAAAGTCGAGTCTGCTTTCAAGTGTCAACTGCCTAGTGCCCTGTGAGTTCAACAATTTTCCATCGACCAACACGTAAGGACGACCATGAGGAAGCAATGGCAGGTAGACGTTCAGTTTTAAGCAGTGCTGACTGTCTTGGAGGAGCAGCCAGTGAACCTTTCCGGGAACTTTTTGAGGCTTGCAAGACCGGTGATTTAACTAGAGTTAAAAAACTCGTTGGCTGCAAAACAGTCAATGTCCGAGACACGGCTGGAAGAAAATCTACACCTCTTCACTTTGCTGCGGGTAATTATACTTATAGTCATTTACACCTCTACGGGTACATTTTACTTCTGGCTTATTATTCTACAATTTCATATCTTTCATCGACAAATCATTTATTTACTAACATTAATTTTGTTACTTACCTGATACAAATTCCTGCAAACTGCTAATTTTTCCTATGGAATAATTTTTAAACATGTCTGTATATTTTATGATCTTCCATGTATATAAATTATTTTAATGTAGCAATAATTGAGAAGGAAAGAAATACCAATTTCTTTCCTAATTAGCTTATTTACTGACTATCTTAATGGTATATTATATTCCCATGACAGCGAAAAAAGAAATTTCTGAAATCAATTCTAAATTGTCTATGTGAGGTTGATCATTGTATGTTTTGAGGCATTTTATTGTCATACTTTCCAATCCTTATTTAACAGTAACATTTTGTTTTTGGCTCTGGGCTCAAAAATATTACGTCTGATTAAGTAGCACATATATTTTTACTTTAGATCAATATTCTAAACTAACTACAATTTGCAGGATATGGTAGAAGAGAAGTCGTAGAGTACTTACTTCTTGTTGGAGCATCTATACAAGCTCGCGATGATGGAGGGTTGCATCCTTTACATAATGCTTGTTCATTTGGTCACTCTGATGTTGTGAGACTTTTATTAGAAGCTGGAGCTAATCCTAATACACGGGATAATTGGAATTATACTCCACTTCATGAAGCTGCAATAAAGGTATGTAATGTTTTTGTTAAATAAAAATATTAGTTATACTTATTGATAGTTGATGATATATTTTTTAAATTTTAGGGAAAAATAGATGTTTGCATAGCTTTACTTCAACATGGAGCAGATCCAAATATTAGAAACACAGAAGGTAAAACAGCTCTAGAGTTGGCAGATCCTGTAACAAAACCAGTATTGACCGGGGAATATAAAAAAGATGAATTGTTAGAAGCTGCTCGTTCAGGAAATGAAGAGCGTTTGTTACAGTTGTTGAATCCCTTGAATGTTAACTGTCATGCTAGTGATGGACGTAGATCAACTCCACTACATCTAGCTGCTGGTTACAATCGATCTAGAATTGTTCAAATATTATTACAGAATGGTGCAGATGTTCATGCCAAAGATAAAGGGTAACTATTTTTCCTTATATATTGATTAAAGATTTTTTAATGTATTATCTCTTTATTCAAACAGTACTTTACTAATATTGATACATTTTAGGGGATTAGTACCACTGCATAATGCCTGCTCATATGGTCACTTTGAAGTAACTGAGGCTTTGTTAAAACATGGTGCAGCTGTAAATGCCAGTGACCTGTGGGCCTTTACACCATTACATGAAGCTGCAAGCAAGTCTCGTGCAGAAGTTTGCTCATTGTTGCTTAGTGAAGGTGCAGATCCTACCCAATTAAACTGCCATGGGAAAAGTGCTATTGATGTTGCACCTTCCCTTGAATTACAGGAGAGATTAGCTTGTAAGTAATTAGAGGAAATAGTATATTGGCTGAATTAATCAAATATTTTTACTTTTTAAAAATTGATGAAAAAACGGTTGGTATTGATAATTAAATGTAAATTTCAGATGAGTACAAAGGACATTGTTTGTTGGATGCCTGTAAACAGGCAGAAATAACTAAATTGAAAAAGTACTTATCAGTTGAAGTGGCTAACTTCAAACATCCATACACAGGTGACACACCACTTCATTGTGCTGTGTCATCACCCTACCCTAAGCGTAAACAAATAGTAGAGATGTTGGTACGCAAAAATGTTGCCTTGGATGAAAAGAATAAAGATTTCCTTACACCGTTACATTTAGCAACTGATCATTCTCACTATGATGCTATGGATATTTTACTAGCTCATGGTGCCAAAGTTGATGCAGTAGATGGACTTGGGCAGACAGCTTTACATAGGTAATTTTTAAGTTTTTCAGTGAGGTAAATGAAGCCATTTGAATTTTAATAATCATTTTTGTAAAATTGTTTAAGGTGTGCAAGAGAAGATAATATTCAGGCTTGTAGAATCCTTTTGTTATATAATGTTGATCAATCAATTGTATCACTGCAAGGTTACACAGCAGCTCAAGTAGCCACAGAAAACGTTTTAAAAATTTTACAAGGTAAATTTAATCTTTCAAATTACTTAGTTATGCAAACTAATGCATTTCTTGTACTAAAAAGTCGACCTATCGTTCAACATATTTATAAGTTGAATTTATTTTTAAATAAGGGCAAGAATTAAATTTAAAGATCTTATAAAAATTTATTATCGGTTACATAGTTTCTACGATACCACTGTGCTTTACTTTAGATCCACCAAATGGAGCAGAAGATGTTGAAGCTCAATTATTAGAAGCAAGTAAATCAGGAGATTTAACAGCAGTCGAAAGAATACTTCAATCTAATCCACACGCAGTGAATTGCCGTGATTTGGATGGTAGACACTCGACGCCATTACATTTTGCGGCGGGATACAATCGAGTTCCTGTTGTAGAGTATCTTTTAGCTCACGGTGCTGATGTTCATGCGAAAGATAAAGGGTAAATATGAACGATATATGATCGTGAAATCTTTACATAATATATTGAAAAATGTACTTTTTGGTATTGCAGTGGTTTAGTGCCTTTACACAACGCATGTTCTTATGGACATTACGAAGTAACAGAATTGTTGGTAAAACATGGTGCTTCAGTCAATGTGGCTGATCTATGGAAATTCACACCATTGCACGAGGCTGCTGCTAAGGGCAAGTGTGAAATAGTTCGTCTACTGTTGCGCCACGGAGCTGATGCGACCAAAAAAAATCGTGATGGTGCAACTCCGCTGGATCTTGTGCGCGAAGGAGATCAAGATGTCGCAGATTTATTGCGAGGCAACAGTGCTTTACTGGATGCTGCGAAAAAGGGAAATCTCGCTAGAGTGCAGAGACTTGTTACGCAGGATAATATCAATTGTAGAGATGCACAAGGCAGAAACAGCACTCCTTTACACTTAGCAGGTATATTTTTAGATCCGGAGTTCATTATCGGTTTTCGTAACTTTTCACGTCATCAATTTTTTCAGCCGGTTACAATAATCTGGAGGTCGCTGAATTTCTATTAGAGCGAGGAGCCGATGTAAATGCACAAGATAAAGGAGGTCTTATACCATTGCACAATGCATCAAGCTACGGACATCTCGATATTGCCGCATTACTTATCAAGTATAATACGGTGGTAAATGCTACAGACAAGTGGGGCTTTACGCCACTTCATGAGGCCGCTCAGAAAGGCCGCACACAGCTCTGCGCATTATTACTTGCTCACGGAGCGGACCCATTTTTAAAAAATCAAGAGGGACAGAGTCCTGTAGATTTGGCGAATGCAGATGATGTGAGAAGTTTGTTACAAGACGCCATGGCGTCACAGCAAGTTATAACTAGTATTCCACCCGTTGGATTGAATACCAATAGCTCCAGTAGATCACCGAGCAACGTTGCAGGTAAAATATTTACTCGATTGTCAACTTGAAATAATTCACTTTTATTACTGAATTGAATGTAATGGTTTATTTTACATTTTTCAGTTTCTCCTCCGCCGACGCTGAGTCAAGAAACGGTGATCATGCCATCAGGCATAGCCATGACATTATGTGTACCTCTTAGCCGTCCACCATCTTGTATCAATACTTTGAATTCAAGCCACGAGTCCCAACATTGTGCTTCTGAATGTTTAGAGTCAATAGCTAAGGAATCTGCAGCGATAACTGGTATAGCTAATTTTTTGCAAAGTCTAGGTTTAGAACATTTACTCGAGTTATTTGAACGTGAACAAATAACTTTGGACATACTTGCTGAAATGGGACACGAAGATCTCAAGCAAGTTGGAGTATCAGCATATGGTTATAGACACAAACTTATCAAAGGAATGGATAAATTTCTGAATTCATCGTCTAATTCTCTGTGGCAACCATCGATTAATCCTGGCACTTTACTCGTTGATCTTTTGACCGAAGATAAAGAATTTCTGGCTGTAGAGGAAGAAATGCAAAGTACCATTCGAGAACATAGAGACAATGGGCATTCCGGTGGCATTTTTTCACGTTACAATATTGTTAGAGTTAGTATCTGCTAATAATATTTTTTGAGTTATTAACTTATTGATATTTAATGAGTGTAATTGAAATTGTAGATTCAAAAAGTACAAAATCGAAAATTATGGGAACGATATTCTCATCGGCGTCAAGAGGTAGCAGAAGAAGTAGCGGCAGCGCAGGCTCCGACATCTCCCGGTACAACGGGACGAGTGAGCGGACCTTCGTCTTTATCACATGCAAACGAGCGTATGCTCTTTCACGGCAGCCCTTTTATCAATGCCATTGTCCAGAAAGGTTTTGACGAGAGACATGCATATATTGGTGGTATGTTCGGTGCAGGTATTTATTTCGCAGAACATAGTAGCAAAAGCAATCAGTATGTTTACGGAATTTGTGGTGGTACGGGATGTCCAGTTCACAAAGATCGCAGCTGTTATATATGTCACAGGTAAATATTTATGACTCATCAATTAAAAATTTTTTGTCTTTACTGCATATTGGTTATATATTTTAAAATTTCTTTTACTTAAATTTCATTACAGACATCTCTTATTGTGCCGTGTAACTTTGGGTAAATCCTTTTTACAATTTTCGGCGATGAAAATGGCCCATGCACCCCCTGGCCATCACAGCGTTATGGGTCGCCCATCTCAGGGTGGTTTAGCTTTTCCAGAATATGTAGTGTATAGGGGAGAACAAGCGTATCCAGAATATTTAATAACTTATCAAATTGTACGCCCACAGCAAGATCCAAATTCACTCGGTGAATCATCGGATGAACGATGATCGTGGATCGAGGGCAAAACTCTAGATATTGCTTCTGGTTTTATTCGACGTTTGTGCTGTTACTGCCAACATACTGCGACCCTCTAGGTAAAATACTAAACAATTTAAAGTAAATTTGAGCAATTTTCTGCATTTTTGGTAACTTATCAAGCAATAATGTGATAGAATACCATTAAAAATTTTATTTTTATTACATGTAATATTATAAAATAGTGAATGAATTTGAATCAAAGTAATTTTGATTACTTAAAATCGTGCGCTCTATGAAATTTCCAATTATTTTGTTGGAAAAATTTTTGAGTGTCCTCAGAAAATTAGTGGAATATTCATTATTATTTAGCATTGTCGAAGAGAAATTATATGAAATTAAATCTCTGGTGTTACGTTTCTTCATTCTTTAAAAATAAGCTTTTTAAGAGTGAAACTACTTTATTAACATCGTATTATTTTATCGCATATCTTGATAAATTTATTATTATTTTCGATTGAATTTATAACATACACATTTAATTTCGTAAAGTTGTATGACCTTCAGGAAAACTTGACAATATTCACAGCAGTTTAACGCACATTCATTGAATGATGATATGTTTATTAAAAATAGGCTTCCAAATAACTCATTATAAGAGTTTAAGCTTGATTTCCAACCATTCTTAAACTTTTATGCCAGGCAAATGTGAAATTAGATTAAATTGAATCTACTAATTAAATTTTGTCCAACATAATCTTTATAATATTTGAATAGAAAAGCAAAAAAATTGTACATAATATCTGATCTTTTGTAAAAATTTCGATTAGAATAGTAAAATCAAGAAGAGACTTTTTTAATAGAAGCAACTGTTCTTTGTATTATATCGATTAACACAAAAAATATGTTGTTACATAGTGTTTTTTCCCCTGATAGTTAATTTATTCAAAGAAAAAAATATTTTTTATCATCACCAATGGTATCGAAAAATATACACGTGCGTCTATCTTTGCTTTGTTTGAAAAAATGAATGTTTCTGAAATGAAAAATACTGTACTGTTATTGGTACAATTTTAACAGTAAAATGATTCCTAAAATAAATCTTGTGTTTGAATAAACATTGAACTTTAAAAATAAATTCATTACTCAAACTCATAATTAATTAGGATATTGTATAGAAAAAATAATAAAGTCAATGATTGTCTTTAATCTTGGTTGTTATATTAAAATAAATCATGATTTTGTATTCATTATTGAATAATGTTAACTTATGTAATGTAGTAAAGTTATTTTGCTTAGCAAAGGCTTAGGAAATATTTAATGTGTAGATATATGTATAATAGTAATAATCTATATCTATTGTAAAAATTTAATTTGGTGTCAAACACTGCGTTAAAATTGTTTTGGATATGTATAATGGTATTTGAATTATTTTATGAGACTATATGTACAAAGATGCAACTTTTTGAAAATATAGTTAATAATGAGTCAAAGACTGCGAGGAAAAGTGTCGATACTTGTTATGAATTATTAAATAAGATGATTGGTTGAAAGTTATACATAAATATTATTTATTTTGTGATTCTTATTACGAACTAAAATTGCGTTAAAACTTTTTAAAATGTGTCGTAAATTTCATTTGTCATAATATCATATCCATCTATTAATGATGTATATTCTTCGTATTTAGATGTTTATTTCAAATTAGTGATTTTTCAGATATTGTGAAATGAATTTTAAATGTAATTCTTTTAAATTCTACTTAACTAATGAGCATTTAATCACTCGATATTGTGATTTATTGTGTAATGATTAAGCATTTGATAATTGAAACTAAATTTATTTAACGGTTAAAAACTCTATTTCAGTCAAATAAATCTTTGAATCCATTTTCGTGATGTACAAATTAATATTTGAAAAGAGAGTAAATGATATGAGAATATGATCGTAAATAAAGTTCATCAATTAGTAGGCACATTCATAGAAGAAACTTTTAATTTTTATGTACAGTCGTAAAGTCGGGTTCGATGTAGCAAAATGATTATGCTGTATAAAGTTTATGGACGAAATTTGACTTGAAAGCTATTATCCAGCACTAAGAGCTGAATTTAATATTTCTCGCTTTATGAGGTGTTGATACGTTTGAAATTAGTTTGAAAAAACTTGATGCTGTTACAGCATTAATGTTTGCATAAATTCAATCCTCTATGCATTATTTACAGGTATAATTATAAAAATAGGTACTCAATCATGCATTGAATATGTCTGTCTGAGAGTATCACACAAATCATGTAGATAAGCGTAATACTTTTAATAAAATATTTAAATTAAAATTTTTTCTGTAATTATTGATACATGAAAATATATCCTCAGTCAATCAAAAGGAACATAAAAGGACATATAACTTTTGATTTCATTTCTGTCATAAAAATCTCTTAAAACATGAATAAATATTATTTTTATTATTTTTAAAAATGAAAACTGATCAAATTTTATGATATTCATAGTCAAGTATACATAGCAAAAAGACTGAAATATTGTCTTGAATCGATTTTCTAAGCGCCTTATTTCTTTTGTTGTTCGAGTTGATCACACAGCAGGTTGCTACCGTATGTTCGCTTCTTTAGTTTTGTGATATAATTTTGTCGTTTCAGAATGGATCACGAGTGCATCACTAGCCGGAGCTGAGAGACTTTCTGCCCATAAAACGATGTGTAGTTGATTTTCGTTAACATTTAAACTCCCTTTTGTCGATTTTCTTCTTTTTTTTGTTATGATGAATTTTTAAATATTCTTAGTGATTTATTGGTACCCTTGTGGTAAGAATGTTTATTTCATTGACCGATCCGTCTTGTTGATTCGGGTGTGGTAAAAAGAACCCTAAACAGGCTTATAGAAACGCCTGTGTGGTTTAGCAGCTCTGTACTAGATACAAAACGTCAACCGGTACAAATGTGGGTTTAATATAGCTCAAGTTTTCTACGTACCGGTTCAACGGCTTAAGAAGCGCTGGAGCAAAAGAAAAAATTTGAAAGAAAAGAAAGCCGATAATGCTATGGGCGTATTTATTATTTTGCAAAGGTAGTTTATTGAAAGATTGCAAAAGTATTGTCCAGATTACTTGAGATTTATAATGTCCATTATTTGTAAAAACAGACAATTTGTTTATTTATCTATAGTCCAACATAAAGATGGGTGTAGGCTGTTGAATTCAAGCACAGTATTGAAGGTTAATGAAAAAAGTTGTCGAAAATGCTCTCTTAGTCACCTCGATACTCTGCAAGAGTGCAGGAGAAGTTAAACTTTTTGAAAAATTACATAGAGTAGCTCGAATGAATACCGTTAAATAGTTATACAGTTAGTTGTATAAAGTTGACGAGATAGATGAGAGAAATTTTGGAAGCAAAGTTGAAAAATGCACCTGAAAAGAATGGAGTCGCTTATCTGGAGGGGAGAGAGAGAAGATAAAAAAAGCGAGCCGGCTATCGAGATTCGGGGACGCCTGAGAAGTCGTGAACACCGAGGGAACGATAGAGAGAACGAGAGGGAGAGATATAACGCTCGTACAGGCTTGGCACTCGCACCATCGTCTTGTACAGATCAGTCCAGTGACCAGTCTCGGCCGGCGCAGAGTTTCGAGTTGTAAGCTGCAAAGTGGCGCGTGTGGGCCGCCAAGCCTGGACTGTATTTCGCTGTACTGAACCGAACTTTCACTGAAATTCACTGGAAGAGCCTCGAGTCGTCGACTCGAGCTTCGATATAATCAATTTGAATAATCAAGTCCAGTCGTAGAGTGGATGCAAATTATAAAGGTCGCTCACCAATCGAGACCTTGATTAAGAAAGAAGAAAAGAGACATAGTCGTAATTCAGCGTCACTTAAACAATTGTAAGTAAAAAAAGGAACAGCTCATGCTAGGGATCGGCCAGAGTTTCTCTCGAGAGCGCATGTGTAGCTAATATTTTGTCGTGCCAACGTGTTTCTAAAAGGCAAGGCTCGAGAATTGATCGAGTATCGGTTTGCTCGGTCCAATTACCATCAAATTGGTAAAATATTTTGGCAAATTTCGTAGTTGGTGAATATAAACGACGAGGGAGGAAAAAGTGTGGAGCGAGGCGGAAAATACGGAGTGAAAAGTTTTGGGATTTTTGCCGGAGTCTCGAGCGTGGAGGTCGTCGGCAACGTGTTATTTTTGCTCGGGTACGAGCGAGAGGCGCACGAGGAAGAGGCGGCGAGATATCAATTGAATAACAATCGTTATCGGTATTTCGGCGCTTTAGCGACGATCCACGCGTTCCTTCTCAGCTGTTGAGCAGGTATAACACGCAGTCGATCGACGCACGCGTTATCGCGTCGAGTGCGCGAGCTGACATTGGCACGCGATATTCGCGCCAGATATACGAAGAGGAGCCGTGGAATTTTACCGGTGCATATTATGTCGCTGGTGCGTAGGCCCACCGCCGCTGCTCCCCCCTGCAGTCCAATAATAGTTCAATGAACCATAGCGCTTACTTACGTCTGCGCTCGCGATACTCCTGTCTTATACTACGTATAGTAACGTTTCTCCCGCGAGCGATAACTTTTCCCTTCCGATAAAGCAACTTTTAACTCGCTTTAATGGACTCAAGGCGCCGATCACCACATGCGCGTACTCGATCGCGATCCGTCCGTCCGTCCGTCCTTACTTTTCGATACTACGACGTTTTATCGAGCACTTTTCAGCCCGATATTTCAAGATGACACGTATGCCTGATTGATAACAGTGAATAATCGTGCATATATTTAGTCTCTAAGCGCTATAATTCTCTCTCTTTTTCTCACATGACGCCTGTGAATAAGTGTCAGATTATGAGAAGCCCCAATCATATTCTAGTGTAATTTACTTTACTTAACTTATCGAGCTTTTATTTAGCCATTTAGTAATAGGTATTATTATCGATCGATTACCTCCATAAGTAAAGAGACCTTCATTTTTACATCCAACGATAAAGGCACGTTTTAATAGAAAAACCTTTGCAACATCATCGCCGTAAAAAAGCTCAAATTTCTCACCCACTCGATGCCATCTCAACGTTACTCTTAAATGCTCGTCTGAGTTTATGAGTAAACTTACACCTTCCTCGCGAAACTTCATCGCCCCATTGTGCGTTTGCACTTGATACGACTAACATTGAATATGCTAGAGAATTGAATCAAACAGGCGAGCTTTATGCACCTTTGACTTCTCTTCTTTTTTACTTTTTTACTTTGGGATAATTCAACTGCTATATCGAGAATAACGCCAACTGAGTACGATTCCAAGCAACTTTATGTTTCTTTTTAGTGAAAAATTATACTATCCTTGTTTAAAAAAGTTGTTTGCAGAAATTACAAGGTAAACAAGTGGATAATTCACTCGTCCCAATGGTCATAACGAATGAAACTGTTGTTTAAAATCAAATTCATTGGTGTTTTTATTTAGTGTTTTGCATTTCAATCACTCCAATACTTTTATTATGCAGTTGAAAACGTTATCTTACAGCTGATTTATTTTTGCTACTTTCATTTTCTTCTCGGGTGAAATAATCTCGAAATCATTAAAATTCGGTCGAGGTCTTGTTTCCTCGCGCTCTACTCTGTTTGCACGACGGATTGAAGGACAGCCTTTCGCGTGGTTAACTTATACCTAGTTTTTATGTTGCTCCCAAGTTAAGTCTCGTCAATTATCCTCAATTTAGGTTGACCATCTTCGATTCGAAAAACCATTACTTCGAGAGAATTCAAGTGTCTATTAGGTTTTTCATTCGCGGGGAAAATTTCTTGAATTGTCCTGGCATTTTTAAACCAAATTGCTCAATTTCTTACTCACGCCATAGAGCTACAAAAACACACAAAACTGACAAATAATTTTTATAAGATGTATCTACTGCTTTCCGATGGTTGCTTCAGGTTTTCCAAAATATTTCATTTTTACCGACTGCTCAATGAGAAAGCAGAGAAAAAACGCATCGCAAATGGGTTTTGGTACTTTTACTAAAGAAATGGAGACGATTGAAAGATATTGAGCAATTGGATCATATGCGTTGAAAATGATCTAATACATATAATCCCTTAAACTTGGGAGCTTAGCAGGACCTTCATGGGCACACTCGGAGAATGGATTCATCCCACATTTGTAACGCTATGATTAACAGAGCATTTGTACTTAAAGTTTTCTTAAAAGTCAAACTCAAAACCTTCGATTGGATAAAGGTATTAACTGGAAGAACTCAGATCTAAATGGCATTTAGCAATAAATTGTCAAAACTTTATCTTTATTAATCTTTTATTTTACACTTGAATGAGTATCGTTGGATCCTTACATTCGGCTAATATAGACATAAATGCTTATTGCTTTTATCGCGTTAAATGTAAAAGAATTAAAGAAAAAGTCCTGAATCGAATGCGCTATATAATACATCATGATGCAATAACGTATAAATGCTAATTATAAAACGTTCGCTTATCATTATGCTCTTATTCTCCAGAAAAATAAAGAAGACAAAACGTTTGAGCAACGAAATTCCTTCACGTGAGCGATGCGTGCGTACTATTATCATCGACTTCCCTTGTGTTTTTATGAGCCTGAGATAATACGAAAATAGCTTAACAGTTCGAAAGTGAATGTGCCCTTACCTTTAAACAAACTTTAATAGATTTAATAGATTTGAATCGATCAGCAGGGCTATTGTTGCATCCGAAAAACTATTACTTTAAGTTCATTATCCTACTTGATATGCTTTATAAATACCCATCGGTCTTTATACAATCAGTATTAAATCAAGTACTGTAAGATTGTTGAAAAAACATTAAAGATATCAAGAGAAAAAGAGACGGAAGGAGAACCGGAGGGAGAGAAAAATGGCCTTATTGTATTGCAAAAAAAACAAGTACCCATGATAGGGAAAATTATTTATAAGTTCTATATTATTAATCACAATAATTATTCCAATTTTTAGTAGAGTGTGGAAAAGTTGCTCGCTAAAATGATGGAGAGCAATAAAAAGTTAGTAAAGTAGTTGCGCTGTCAAAGATAAAATGCGAGGTCAGCGATTTAACTCACTTATGCATTGTCTCGACATCGATTTCTAGCGGAATTTTTTTCTTCTGCGAATATGTAACCGCTGCTGGGAGATCGGCTTAAGGCGCCGCCAGCGATATCGATCTAATTTTTAGACATCCTTATGTCAATACTGCATCTTATGAACTAAATATATTTCTATAGGGTAATGTGTACGTCCAAAGGGGGTGGGAAAATAAAAATTGTATTTCCGTCGCGCAAACTATAATCAGGGAAGTAATCTGTGCATTTTACATTAAAAGTCAGTACTTTGATTTAAACTGCATAAAAAAGCTGATTGATCTCAATATATAGGCCAACAATATAAAAAATATGAAGCCCGAAGCTCCGAACGCTACGCAACGAGTAATGTTGCTTCGAGATTCATTAAGCGAGCATCGAGGTCTATTTATAGCTTTGGCATCAGGTTTGCGATGCAATTTGATTTTGAGTATGTAAGACATTCGTCAGCTATTGTACACGCTGACGGATGTCCGCGTAAATGTCTCAACATTTTTTATAAGAAATACAAACTTTCGCTTTTCGTTTCGTGTATTTACTCGTAAGCGAGTGAAAGAAAAAATGAGCGAAAAAACAAGCTTGCAGCGAGACGAGTTCTTTTAATAGAGTGAATTGCTGTCTCGTTGGCTCTTGCACGATGCAGTTAAAAGCATTTACCTAGTGCAGGTCCGTTAACGGACAATGCAGAGGAAGCGAACGACGCGAGGCTTACTTGTTTCCCAGTGCCCATAATGTTCTACCCGTGCAGCCCGTAATTGAGTATATTATTAAGATAGCCATCATTTTTTGTTTTTGTTATACTAGAGCCAAAGCTTTAGATTTTTGTAGCCAAGCACGGGTCGTAGCGCTGCAAGCTCACCTTATCGTTGCTTTGGCCTTGAAAATGCCGATTGCCGCGGCTCTCGTGGCCTACTTTTCATTCATTGCTACGTGTCAGTGTTCCATGACTTTCAAGCGATGCCCGCGCCTGCGCCGACAGCGGAACGGTCTAATAATACACGGCATCTTGTCGTCGAGAGCCAAAAGTGCGTTTCGATTAGCCAGCTGCTTTATATCTTTGAATGCATTTGCAACTGCACGTGTCATTGCACGGACTTTAACGTCAAATTCACTACAAAGTTTGCTCGAATTCCTTTTCAAATTATTCAACATTTTACGAGTAACTTCAATGAACTGAATCAGCCGAAAAGATTATCGTTCGTCGTCGTACCAAAGCTGATCTGCCCGTTCAAACTAATTTATTATCCCTCCGATGTGTCTTCATTCAACAGAATGACCATCCAAGAAAATTGAAACACTCTAAAAAAACTTGGCTTAAAACTGATATTAGAAAGATTTTTATTTCTGAAATTGAAAAAACTGATTAGTTTTACAAGTTTCGAAAGCATTTTTATAATAATATACCGTATTTATATTGTAATAATTTTGTACAAAGTTGACTTGAAATAGTTGTCTATTTGTCTTTCTTCGAAAGTGACCTTGAATCTTGTCACGAGGACTTTTTGCTTTTCATCAGTTAGCTAACACTTTTGTTTATACTCATCATATGTATATATTAGTACTTTTATTTTTAAACAAGTTTTATTTTTATAATTTCTTCTACCTACATTGAGTAAATAAGTTTGTTTGTAGAACATTTGACAAATAGATGGACATAGTAATGAAGCAATAATCATTTCATTAATTCATTTATTAGAATTGAATAAATTCATTGAAACTTTGAAAAAAAGCATGGGTTCGAATGACTTATTTATGTTTTCAAGTATAAGTTGAAATAAGCAATTTTATTAGAATTTTGGATGTAAAAAGTGGAATTTTTGTGAATCATAAGACTATATATTAATTAAGGCTGTCTTATAAAGTCGTAATTTTGCATCGTCGTGGAAAACGGTCAAAAAATACCATTATCGCATGTAGAAGGAGGGAGTAAGGAATATCACGCGCTCCCAACTGATACGTGTTAACACTTTGCTTACAACCCCTACTTTCAGTGCTCGGCGCCGTCGAGTCAAAAGATTCCAACGAACGGCCGCAGCCAGCCAAAACAGTTTGTCGACTCCGATCGAGTCAAAACGACGGTCACTTTTCGCTGTATCGGCTACTGTTTTGCTCTCAACTTTTAGTACTATCTCGAATTAGAAGTTTGACAAGTCCAGTTTGAAATTTAAAGTTATTCGAGTCTCGGTACAATTACAGCAAAGAGACTCATCTGTCCACGACTTTTATTCATTACACAAAGTAAATATGACATTGATCTTTTTTGCATTTCGCTTACGACCACGTTGAAAATAGCAAAATTTCATTGTTTTTTTTATAACGTGAGTGGATCAACATCAGGTCGGTTGGTTGTTTTATATTTTTCGAAATAGGTATAGCGATTCGTCAGTAGGGAGCGAATTTCGCAGGTACATGGCTTGCGATCAGTGCGATGTACGTACGTAAGTGCAGCAGCGATGAATTCAAGTCGGTCTTTATCATTACTTCAACGAGATCGATTGGATCGTCCTCAGCGCGGGGTTCAAGGAGAGACGAATGCGCGACGGAAGATGAGCGAGTAGCTGCAAGTGCGGGCTTGAATTTTGTACGTCGAGCGTCGTCTCAAGCGTTGGCACCGATTCAATCGTACTATTCGAGCGCGAGTAGCGCGGATCTATCGATGCGATCCTTGAATTTCTCTCGATCTATTCTTCGAAGCGGCGATCGACGGCGTAATATTCGTTCGAACGAGTCGTTCACCTTCGATCGAGGAGGTTATCCAAGAGCTACCCTCGTAAGAGCAGCGACAAAAAATTGCATTACGCGCGAGCTGTTACTAGCGCAACAGCTAGTTAGCTTCGAATTTGGCCAAGAGCCAAGAAAAAGAATATCGTGTCGAAAATAACGCAGTCGACAGCGACGCAGTCCAGCTTTTTCAATTTGCCGAGCATCAGTTGCAGCTCGACGTTGTGCACTTTACGGACTGGTGCGTGATCGACGATTGTGCCTGTGCAAAGTGAACCTCGTTTCTTCGCTCGTCCCGCAGTGCGCAGTCCGTCAGTGAAATAATGTGAGAGCAACGCGACTCGACCAACCGATTGCCTACTTCGTTAGCGGAGGAGAGGTCAGAGGCTTCTCGACTTACCGATTTACCGATCGATTAGTAATTATTCGTTTATGTTGTATAATCGATCGAAAAGTTGATTCTATCATCGATGCGATTGTTCCGTCGGTTTCGCTTCTTCTTTGCGTTCTTCTCACGTGTTTCTTGGCCAAGGGCCACGATTGACGCGCATTTCATCCATTCTGCTCTTTTTAAAGAACTCGACACCCGCGCACAACACACCTAGCACGTGCCACTAAAATTAAACGTCCAAATATATACATTCGTTCTCTCTCGAATCGAAAATAAAACTAATTCAAGTCTCAGGCATAGCGAGCATAGTCGCGAGTCGAATCAAACGAGTCCGCCAAACTGTTGAAAGCCCGTACTTTTTATGCCACGAGGCAATAATTAGCCCAAGTTCGGTACGAAAATCGAGTAAGTAACGATAAATCGAAGCGCACCATAGCTCAAAGTGAAAAATTCATACGCGATTCGGTATCGCTCCGCACGCGCTCGACTCGTATGTTATGAATTACAGTTACGGTGCATCCACCCCGCGTCGTTTTCATATATTATATACATGCTATATTAAGAGGATATGTAATATTATTATAGTTATCTCGCGGGCGCCACTCTTATCATCGGATGACTTTTTCTCGCTCGCGATGCTCGAGGTTGGATTCACAAATTCTTTTCCTAACTCGATCTTTTATTCGATCGTCATCTGCTGGCCAGAGTCTCGTCGCGAATCTCTAATGACTTGCGTAAATAATTTTCCGCTTTTCCATCTGCATTTTTACGAGTTTGCCCTCGACATCCCGAAAACAGTCGACTTGGGAATGTTTTCTGCAACTCTCGGCTCTGGCACAATATTCGCAATCGGCTCGTCGAAAGCAAAGCTGCTCTCACTTTTAAAAGTCTAAGCGTCAATCATTGATAAGTGACAGTGGCTTTTCACAACATTCTCTTGTTTTGGAATTCACAAGAGTTTTGCGGAAAAAATGCGTAACGTAACGTGTTGTCATCCTTCCGTCTTGCAGATTAAACACAATTTCGTAAACATACTAGTATGACTCGTGGATTGGAAAAAAGAAAAGTGTCAGTAGAATCGTCACCCCGTCTATAGTGGAAAAAATTAATTAATTCAACGTCTTCTTCCTTTCGTTAGAGGCGATTAGAATTGGCATTGAATATTTTTTCACTAAAACATTTGGTACGACTTTTTCACAGCGAGATAAGATAGTGACGAATCAAATCTAGGCTAAATTAATTTCCATTTTTACAGCCTCCAAAATAACTTTTTCGATAGGATATTGTGAGCGATAAGCATTCGAGTCGCACTTGAACAAATGAATTTCCGCGGAAAATTTAGTCAACTTGAAACTTGAATAGCGGACGGATCGCTCGACTCGCTCGTCAATGAAGCAGCGAAACTTTATTTCTCAGTAGGGTCAGAACGTCAGCGAGTAAATAAAAATATCTATTAGTTATTTGCCAAAGTGCGAAAATCATTGGCGTATACAAGATGACGCGGTGACGAGGAGCAGAGCCGAAAACGATCTAAAATAAGCCAAAAAGAGGCCTATAATAACGGTCGATGAAAAGCGATTATTTTGCGAGCAAAAGCGATCGACAAAAAAGTAGGGAATACATTTGCTTAAATAAGCCGTTACTCGATCGGGAATAAGTCGCGACGAGTCGCGATCGATACCGTAGTAATCCGAGTAGAAAAAAGTCCTCTCGATGGCTAAAAGCGCTCGCCAGATAGTTCTTAGTCGTTGGAAGTCGGAAGCATAAAAAAGGAGCGATAAAAGAAACGTGCTTGGATGTTTGTTGCAGATCTAAATGTGTTCAATAGCAGCGATACCGTCGGAACTGCGGGTTTTGGGGCGCAGTCCTCCTGTGTGCGGCTCGCTGCTCTACAGCTCGTTGATGGTGACGACTCCAGCAGGGCCGATCGTCAGCAGAAACACGGTACCGCCGCAGATTCGCTCTTGTCTCGCGTCGGCCTCGCTGCAGCTCAACGAGCTCATCAAAACCAGCAGCGAGGATGCGAGCAGCAGCAGCGTCGCCGACAGCAACAAGAGGAACAAGAAGAGGGTCGTGTTCGCCGACGACCGCGGAAGGCCCCTCGAGCACGTAAGTCGTTATTGAGCGGCCTACCTATCCCCTTTGCTCGGACTCTATTGCATGGGTCGCGTTGACAGGTGCGAGTGATCGGCGAGTCGAGCAGCACGCCGCCCTCGTGGACCAGCTCGTACGTGGCCAGCCTCGTCCGGGGGGGCCTCTTCCAGCCGTACGACGAGCTCGAGCAGCGGGCCCTGCAGGAGCACCAGCCCAGCGACGCCGTCGACTTTCCTCGCAAGCCTAGCTCCGACGCCTCCGTCTGGGAGCTGTGCTTCCTGCAGCCGGCCAGCGACTACATAGGCTTCCGGGACAAGCTCGACAGGCACGGGGTCAGCTTGGAGAACGTCCTGGTGAACGAGGCCGAGCAGAGCCTCGTCGGCACCGTCAAAGTCAAGAACCTGGCCTACGTGAAGGAGGTCGCGCTGCGCCTCACCTTCGACCAGTGGACGAGCCAGCGGGACATAGCCTGCGTCTACGTGCAGCAGCACGGCTTCGGTCAGTCGTCCGTGCGCAGCCTCTACGACACCTTCCGGTTTCGCGTCGACTTGAGCCCCGAGTCCGCCGCCAGTCGACAGATCGAGTTTTGCGTTCGTTATCGCACCCAAGGCCAAGATTATTGGGACAACAACGACGGAGCCAACTATTGCCTCAAAAAGAAGAGAGACGTGAGCGTTGATGATTTTTACTTCGGAATCGAATTCGCTACTTTTAACATCAGTCCCGGACGTTAGATACCCGTGCCGATTCTTAACTACCTTCTCGAGAGAACCCAATTGCCCTCTGGCATTTGTTTCCAAGAGGCTGTTGAGCCTCCTCGTTTGCTGGCCAATTTTTCGACTGACCTAGCTCGAGCCACACTACTCTTTTCGCCAGCAACTAGGCGTCGCCATTGACGATTCGTGGCGCGAAAATGAGCTATTTTATGCTAAAACTCTTGTCCCGATGATCGATCAAATATTTTCGCGCTCTTCATTATTCAAATGCGACTAAAGTAATCAGCCAAAGAGAACGGGACGATTTTAATCGAGCGAATTATCTATTCTTACATCGTTTTGTTAACATCATTTCATCGATATCATTTCATTAATTCGTTTCATCGTCTTTAAATGCAATCCATTATGCGACTTGAATGGAAACTCCTGATGACATTTTTACAAACCTGATCGTTTGTCTCATATAACCTAGCAAAAAGCTTACGAGACTGCATGCTCTACAAGCACAGCAAGAAAAGACATTTTTGCTGCACCATGTATGTAAATAATTACCATTAAACATTTAATAATGACAGTTAATGTCGTGCAGTCGTGTGCGTAGTTGGTTGTGAAATAATTATAAAATTTCATTTATATTGACTTAAATCAACGATAGACTTAAGACTATAATTATAAACGATTCTTATTTTGGACTGTTAATTGACAATTGTCCATTATTACGTGCTGCATTTGCATGCTTGTGTGTCATTCCTATATATTTATTTAAATATATTTTACATTTGTACTTTTTCATGTGCCATTATATATTTTTTTATGTTGATGTTACTCTAATATAATCGACAAAAATTTCAACTGTAGAATAATATTTTGTTTTATATTTTATACTTTCTGCTGAAATATTTTCAATAAAAATTTAATGTTTATCTACACACCTGAATATTTTTCTTTTAACAATTTTTTCAGGTATTTGTCAATTTATCAAATTATATAATAATCAAATATAATAATTAATCGTTCAAAGTATCGCATTTTTATTCGAATGCGAATGCGAACCAATAAAATTTATTGTTTTCATATGCTTACTTACCGATCAATGTGACTTGAAGCGTTTTTTATATCAAAAATCACCCAACGCAATATAATTAATACTTCAAAAAAAAAACACTCGTTAACTTTATACTGATACAATTTAATATGTATCCTATTCCGAAAAGGCAAAGGAAAATGCAACCATTTCGATTGAGAATCAAAGCGGTAGTACAGCGTAAGGTAGCACCATGAGACATAACGGGTGATGCTTATGTCTATTGAATATAGTATAACCTATCGCACTTCAACCTCCTTGAAATTTGAATTGAAAAATTGTCAACCATTTTTATTTGCCATACGATTTAAAAAATACTCGATGCATAGCATGCATTGATTCTGAAAATTTGTCCAAAAAACTTTCTGAAAAAACTGAAAATAATCAAATAAATCTTAAATAGTTGCCCCAGTAATTGAAATAGTTATGGGTGATTTTTTTTTCCATTTTCGAAAGTCTTGAACCATTAGACATAAATAATTTTATTGTGAATGTTTTTTTTGTCTTCAACAATTCTTATTTTTTGATTGAAAACTATTCAGATAAGTTTACATAATCAAAAAATTTCCGTAACTGTCAGCAGATTTCATTGGAGGAACAAATTACCGAATTTTTATCATCGTGCTGTGGCCCAACATCTGTTCATAACGGTTTCGATCAAACTTACAATCGTGAACAATTACCGCACAAAATCGATACGAAAGAAGATGCTAAGATCCGTGACTGGAGCGAGTTCGCATCTTGGCAACACCTCGAAAATGACTCGCCCTACTGGTGAATGACAAATTTGGAAAATACCATCAAATCTCATTCATTAATTATTATTTGTCATGCCATTAGTGATATTACACCGGAAGAATTTTCATTGATCGACAAAAAAAGTTTCATCGTTAATTGTTAATATCGTAGTAGTTTTTATTATCAAAATCGTCTGGTTCTATGTTCCATCGAAACGAATAGCTGCTCGTAAGAAGATGCTCATAAAAGCTGCTAGTAAATGTAATTTACAACATTGGACACTTTCAAATGCAGAACCATTTTTCTACTGAATTAAGGGCTTACTGTAATAGTTGATTAAGGTAAGATTCTTTTCTGATCTCCAGGAAACTGGGAAAAGACGGGGAATTCACAGACACAGTTGATTAAAATCACAATAGCAGGTACAACAATTTGAAGCAGTAGTCCAAAATAATAAATACTTCCATAAATGAAAATAATTGTAAGACACAGTATTTATAGTTAAATAATAAGTTAAGTTCTGTAATTATAAAGTTTTACGTAGTTTATTTGAACACAAGACTTAGCCATTTAATTGAATATTTTTATTGACTATGTAACTAAAATTACTGAAATACATGACGTCGTTAAATCATTCTGAATAAACACCAGATAAGAACTCAAAAAAAGAAAAATGTTGTATCTTTCTTATTTTTTAAAGTTGAAAAATTGCCAAATATGATATCCGTTGGGTTTAAGTTTAATCTAAAAAAAACATCATAAGAGGGAAAAAGTGAGGCCAACCCTCTATATTAATATAGCACAAGAATGCCTTCTTAGTGTCTGAGAGTTTTGGCCGTGATCGATGCTTGTCATAAGTTATAAACATTATCTTTGGACAATGTACGTAATTTTGCATTACGGTCTAGACCCGAGTTTTCTTTACTTTCGGCGAGTGTAATAAGTCCTATTGGATGACCACAAACTGCAATTGGAAATTAAGCTGGCATGAGCTTCATGTGTTCCGATATCTTGGTCTGCAGAAACTACAAAACAGTATTTTAGCCTAATGGCACCATTATTTGAAATTCGCGGACTCGAACACATACTGTATTACGTCTAATTAATTTGACTATGGATACAGTATCAGGATGTGCTCTAGGAAGAAACAACTCTTTAAATTCATTGTCAGATTTAACTATCACACCAATTTCAATTACTTAACGCTTAATTATTTAGAAAAAAGTGTATTTTCTTAACTATCTACTAAAGTTTGAACAAAGGCACGTTTAAAAAAATTATAGAATGTGATTAACTATTCCTTATGACTTTTTCATAAAAGTTTCATTTCAAAATCAAGCTAAAAAAATATGCGTAAAATAAATAAACAATTGTTCACAATTTTTTATAAAAGAATATTCGTAGAGAACCCAAAGAAGACGAAAAATGAATAATTAATTTAAATTATTTTACAAAGTAGCAATAAATTTGAGTTTTTTACTTTTAGTAATCTTTGAATTTATGAAGATATAATTTAATTGATTTCAGGGTAACTGTCAACGATTAATGAAAATGGATTTGGTTTTTAAACGAGCAGTTAAAACATTGACAATTTGTAATTACAAAGATATAAGTACAGTTTTGTAACGATCAAGAAAATAAGCGAAGATTATAACAAAAGTGAACAAACAACAAATAATAAAAAGTTCATTTATGATTATAGTTCATCATGATCGGCCGTTTTTCGAAAAGGATTTTAAAAAATTATTTTAATGAAATCTAAAAACATTAATTCAATGTCATATCTGAAAATGTTATTCAGCCTTACATAAATGACATTTTTATAAAAAAATTTTACTTCAGTCAACATTATGTTATGTAAACATAATGAGCAATAAAATTTTGATAAAAAAAAAATTTAAGTAAAACTTAAAATTCTATTAATTTTTGGAAGCTCAATCCAGTTATGACAAAAAATTGGAATTCCGTGAAAAATCACCGCAACGCTGGATAAATATTTCATTAATTTAACATTAGAAATGAAAAAAATTCAGAAGTTCTCATAGGTGATATTTCGAAACATTAGTTGATATTAAAATTCAAACGTTTGAAGGTACTGTTCCAAATCAAGAAGGTTTACTATTGAGATTTTGGAATACACGTGAAAAATGGAAAATAATGAGAAAGCGTGTACTGTGCATGTAAATTCGTAATAAATATAATTTATACTAAAATTTTAATATTTTGAGTCAAAATATTAATGTTTGCTACGAATCAATTACCAGTGTAAGACAAAAATAGCTCTATACTGTTTTTGTTACAATAGGATGTCTATGTTTTTTCTATTGAATAAAGTTATTATCAAGCTTTAATTTTAATTTTCAATAACAAAATCCCGACTCTCCTCGTTTCTTTCACGCAAAACCCATATAGTAAAAAATTAATTTTTTAATAGTACAAGAATCGTTAAAGATTTGATCGGCAAAGAATCTAGTTGATTGCTGGAAATATACCAACGTTATAATTTTTTAGCTCTAATAAAATTACATAGATTAAATAAAATTTGACAAAAATCGTTAAAATTTCGTATGTATTCTAAACCAACTTGGATTCTGTACAATATTGTTCGGTAGAATAGAGCACGCGAAACTGCACATTTCACCGGTCAGAATGGTTATACTGAATTAAAGTAGGTCTAGAGATATACTGCAAAAATGGTTCGGAAAATTATTTCAATTTTTTGAAAATCGTATAATACAAACCTTGAATAGATTAGCCCTTTCCAAGTGAGGGTTTTCTTTTAATATAGTAACAGAATCAGTAATCATTATATGTTATTTTAATATTTTTGTAAAAATCATTTTTAGACAATAAAATCATAAGGAAGTACAGATGAACTCACAATGAATGTGTCTATTTAATATATATCTATATGTATAATTGTCACCTAATATACGGACATATGAAACACAATTTTTTTTCTTACACACAGTAAATGGTACTTAGTTATCCTAGTTACACCTAGATTTATAACAATCAACATGCTTTTTAGAAACGATGTTATTCGCTCAAAAATGCCAAATATCTACTTCAATATCCATTTTCACTTTTAATATTAGAAAGAATGATTTTTAACACTTTATCAAAATGGTTTTTTTTGAGGAGATATCAGAAAAAACTATCACACAGGATTACATTGCTAGAGTTGATAAATAATATCTCTCACGTATCAAGATTGTTTAATAATCTTACTTGTTGTTGATTAACTGAAATAGATTATAATATATTGTTTTATGCGATGATATGTACATGACCCATTTCAGTTTTCAAAAGTACTTTAGTTATTTATAAAAATTTCATGAAAAAATGATCTTTATCGGATTATTTAATATGTGTAGTCATACATAATTATGATTTCATCGCTAAGGTTTTTTATGCGTTGCTTGTCAAAATGAAATTTTAAATGCAATCTCGATTCAGCAAAATTATGAAAGTTAATCTCATACCTTATCATTCTACAATCTACTTTCTAATTTTATATAGATATGTTAATTGTGAAATCCATCGAAAACGGACTTGAAAAAAACTTTCGAACCACGTAAATAAAGTTTAAAATACGAAAAATTAAATTACTTTGCATATTTTCTGTTGGCGTACTTGATGAAATGTGACAATCACTATTATGATCTAATATAGAACATATTGATATTACAAGAATCAATTATATAAAAGAAAACAGAGAGCTTACAAGACACACGAAAAACGCTGACTAATCAAACAAAATCATTGAATTTGAAAGACTCAATTATGACATAGAGGAGCAGGGTAATCTAGGAGATCCCATTTGTGTTAAGACTCTATCCAGCCACTGGAGGGGTCCATTTAAATGCAATTCTATCCAACAGGGTGTTGAAGTTACTGTTTGTCGCCTATATTCTGCTCCCCACCCTTTCACAAAGCTCATGCGTATGGTGCACATTCGGGTTAGTTGGTAAACGGCTTCGAATCCTTGTGATACCGAATGGGACAATAGAGTAGCAAATTCTTGGTTATTGAAGATTTTCAAATTACAACCTGAAACATATTCAAACGATTAGTGTCTTCCGAACTTTTTGATACTTCGATTCTTTAAATTACCTGGTGGAATTTTACAAACTGTTGCTGGATGCCATCCATAACGTTGATTGCAATTTGGGCTTTGCACAAAAATACTAGAATCCGAGAGGCATTCTGCAAAAACTTCACCACCGATGTAATATAATCTCACTCCTCTTCCGATATGTCTTCTGGTTTGCTCAACAACTGCATTACGATTGACGTTGGACAGCAAACCAAGACAAAATCTTTCCGAATTACTAGGATCCGTAAAGCCATCGACAGTAATACTCGGTTGTGAAGCATGAAATGTTTCTCCAACTCGCGTGTTTAACTCATAGTAACTGATTGAACACCTGTAATATCACAGTCTTAAGAATATTGAAGTAGTAAAAATATTCCATCAATGCTAATGAGCTCCAAAATCAACCCCGCAACAAATTTTCATTTATTTTCCTTAGGGTACGTCATCTTTTTGACTCATGGACTTCTTCCGTTACAAAGATCACCGTAACGTAAAATTTTAAAAACAATATTAATTGCGATAAGAGTAAAAAGTTTCCGATTTTACAAGTCTTGAGTACAAAGCTTTAAAATTGTTTGTAAAAAAAGAAGTAAATAATTAATAAAAAAATTTCGTATTGTACAATTTTTTTAATGAAAGTTTCAAATCTTGTTTTTGAAATTGATTTAAAGTCAAGCAGTAGAAAAATGTGCTCATAGTGAGAATTAAATCTGAATTATAATTGAAAATATATTAGTACCAAAAAGCAGGTTCACAATACATGACTGGTTGTGCATCAGAAGGACTAGGTGATAATCTTGAAAGTGACATGTTGTCATTATGATCCATGTTATCACCATCTTCACTTATGTATCCTGGAGGAGGAGTATCAGCTGGTGGATCCATAGAACTCGGAGTGGGATGAGGTGATCCTTGAATACTCCCAAGACTGCCAACACTTGCTGGACTTGTGGCTTGCATACTCTATAATAATTCTCTTATTAAAAATCCCAGAAAGCGGGAATAGAAAGATTTTGTTTTTTAAAACATGTAATGAATTGAGAGAAGACTAAATAAGTCTTAATTATCCGAATGAATTATAACAGATCGTCTATTTTCACCTAAAAATAATATTAAGATTGAATCCTTACTCTTTTTTATGTTTTCAGACGATCTATAATTCGGATTTCATGTGATCATATGTATTAAAAATATTTTGCTTTTCTCTAGAAAATCATATACTAATTATGAATCATTTTAGCGTCTCAAAATAGGGCAAGCGATAGTTCTTATTAGAAAAAAAAACCACAAAAATTATAGTGTTCACTGTATTACTGTTTTATACTGGAAGAAAATTTTAATTCCAATCAAAAGTAATTGGTATTTAGTTCCTATCGGAAAAAATTACATCTAGTAGAAGACTCTGTCTCCGAAGAGTCTATATTCCTAGAACTATCGTGCTCGCTCGTTTTCCATGTATCTAACGTTGTCAATAAAAGTTTTACTACAAAGTACGTACTATACAACAAAAATTGAGCAATATCATCAAATTATTGCTGTACGAAACTTCACTCAAAGCTGCTTTGGGCTATCAGAATTGAAAACGGAACGATCACGCGATGGTAAAAATTACAGTGGTACATGAATAATAAATTTAATAAGTGAATTAAAACTTTCACTGATCAACTCATTATGGAAGTTTGTGACATTTTCACACAGGCAATGTGTGTAAATTACGTTAATAAATTGTGATTATCAATATTGATAGGAGTAGCATTTTTTAAGAGGGATTTTCGAGCCATCTTTGAGCAAAGACTTGATTGATAATGACGTATTTTATATTGTAAAATTCTATTTGCAGTTTTAATATTTTTTTAATCGTGAAACTTACGCAATGAGGTAGATTTTCTTGAAGTGGACTTTGATGAGGAACCAAAATTGAAGGCAAAGCTGAAACCCAATTTGAAAAAGTATTTTTTGAAATCTCTGAAGAATCATAGATCGATCGATTCGATCGAAAAAAAATAAACCATTTAAATTATTGAGAAATATTAAAATCAAAATTTCAATCCCGTTCTTTAAAACTTTTATTGCATATTTTGCTGAAAAATTGTTATAGTGCCATACTGAACACCAAACTGAAGGTCACCACAGCTCCTTTTAGAGAAATAATCAGAAGAAGATTTAGAAAATGGGATTGAAAATGTGATTTTTGGGCCGGTAACATAAAAATGCAGATGGAAGCAAGATTTAAGGCATTTGCATTCAAATGATCCAATAATTGCAATAATATATAAATTAACGTACCTGGTGGTTGTACTCTTTGGTAATGGTAAGGATTAACGCAAACTTCTTCACGCTTCAAGTTAAAAGCGTATTCACAACTATCTATAGGTTTTAACTCGTGATGTGATTGTAGATCAGGCCAACGCCAAAGACGACAATAAATAACATGCGGTAGACCTTTACTACGTACAGTTTGAGAACAAGTTTCTGTAGCACCACTGCTAGGTAGCCTTAAAACAAAATAGAAACTTCTTATTAATATTATGTTGTGAAAAAGTGCAAAAGTGGATTAGCAAAGCAAGAAGGAGTAAATCAAGACCGAATTTATACTGAAATGGAACAGTAAAAGCTCATGACATAAACCAAATTCGACCCTTAATGTAATTGGATTTCAAAGACAGATAAGACATTTTTTCTTGAAAAGGTTTATAGATTTTATGGAATTATCTATTTTATTATTTTTCTGTGAATCGTTCAATAAAATTATTTAAATTACGTTTTTAAATAAACATTATTTCAGACGCTTTAAACTACGATACTTTTACGAGTTTTTATTAGTATTTTATTAATAATTAATATGATAGACATATCTTTGACATCTTATGCTAGTGTTCAACAGGTCATCAATACTTCTTACACTCAGTCAAAATATCTATTTATTGAATCTCGGCAAATCGAAAATTCAAAATTGTCTCGAATTTTTTTTAATAGCTTTTGACATTTCAAAGAGCTTATTCCCGTTAGTTGTTTGTTTTAAAATGAAAATTTTTAGTAATAAACGCATAAAACGCGTTGAATTACACTTTAAAAAATGACGATTTAAAAAAACTGTATGTAGAACTGAAAAGAAATCTGCGAAACACGTCGAAAGCAACTTTTAAAATAATTTATCCAGTTAATTTGTAGTTTTTAATCTTGTTAGAAAAGGGGAGTCACGCTCATTTTCACTAGTTCTTATGAGAAAATACACAAGAAGTGATGTGGTATAATTCTACACCACATATGAATGAGCTTGATGATGGAATAGAAGCGACTAGTAATGTTAGAAAAAATAAATCCTTTAAATTTTCCTAATTATATCATTTTATAATGATCATAATAAAGAAAATTCTTCCTTTTTCTAAAGTACAATAGGTGTATGGTAATGCGGTTTCCTGGAACATGGAGCTATGTTTACTTATATATTTTCTAAATTAATGTTTCAAGAATTAAATCAACTAGCACCTATTGTACTACAATACAAATAAAATTTTAACTTTTTGTCTTGTAACATATTAAAAGTGCTAAAACTCAAATTAGGTTCGAATGGACTCTATGAAAGAACATGAAGATCATTGAAGATTATCCTGAATTGCACATGATGGATAAGCTTGAAAGATAAAATATATGCAATTAAAGTCATTTTAAATGCTTTTGGTACTTTATTCATCTAATCAAATAAAATCTTTCAAGGTGTTTTAGTTTATCTTATTTATAAAAATAGTCATTTAGCTATAAAAAAAATTGATTTATTTATTTACCTGTAATTTACCTCAAACAAGTATTTTTAACTGAATCGATTTTCTATTAGATCATATGATTCAAAAAAATGATATGGACAAGTTATTTTTCAATTTCAATACATGGGCATTTTAACTAAAATACAACAGTATTGAAAATTGTAAGAAACAGTATGGAATTAGCTGAATAACAACATTTAGGACGATAAACTGACGTTTTCAATATTTTTTGAGATTAAATATCACTTGTACATACCTAGGTATAACTATACACTTAGTATTGCAGTTCTGTGTACTGATTGCCTTTTCCAATTCTTCTAAACCTGAAGATTTTTTTAGCTTTTTGACAAGACTTTTGATAACTTTTTCACTCCATTTATCGTCGCCTTCTGCTTTTTTCCATCCCAGAAGCCGTTTAATAATAGGATGATTGAAACTGGGTAGCATTGAATTCATAACTTAATATATGGGAACAAATGAGTTGTTGAATGGACTGCATCAGGCTGATCTTCTATCCTGCATGCAGGTATTCAATGTCCAGAAAATAACTGCAATTATGAAGTAAATTCATTAGATTTTTTATTAATCATTTTATCTTGGGGAAATTTTGAAACTAGAATATTACAAATTTTATTATTTGAAATTATTACACATTCAATATTTAATATCAACACTATAATATTGTTATTGACACCAACATCGTAAAAAGATGCATGTTAAAAATAAAAATTCATGCTTTCCGAACATTTTCACGTACTTAAGGTCACTGACCTGTCGATGCATACGCAGAAATATTACGAAGAAAAAATATTTGCCGACCGTAATATTTTCAAAAAGTGCTGACTTGTTAGATTATTGTATTATTGTATCATCATAACAAAATAGAGTTTACTAATTAAGAAAATGTGAAAGTTGTCACCCATATATAAATAGATAGCAGTTTTTTGCTGTGACACAGATAACGCGAAGTTAATTGTGAAAATTGAGTACATAAATTTCACTCGATAAACAGACTAATTTCATCATTAATAATAGCAGATCGTCCAAACCAGTCTACAAGTTGGTGTAAATACTCAATACTTGCGAAATTTTTGCAACTAATAATAAAACTAAGAATTCTCACAGGAACAATATATGTGCTCTTTTTTGTACTGCAAAAAACTGCTCAAGTACGAATAAATATGCCGACTTATATGTACATATAATGATGACTACTGGCGACTGCGAAGTACGTGTTAACTAGTATATAGACACTAAACAGGGTCCAAGAGGGAAGAGAATGTTATATACATATGTTATGCTTCAACCACGCAAAGAAGAAAGAGCACATGCGCAATTTCGGAGTACGGTCGGTAAAGAGAGTCTCTCTCACAGGCGTGGTAGGCTCGGTTCTCAATCAACCAAAATTCAGTCATCAAATGCAAAGAGACTTACATAAATCCAGCTAGTCAAGTCACAAGCTGCAGTATCTTGCCGTAAAATTGCCGTAAAAGAAAAATCTCTCCGCTAAATATTCTTGTGCTCTATGGCTTTGCCCAGGTTCCGTTGCTCAGTTCCTCGACCTACAGTGCTTCATAGTTGTTGCGCATTTAGTTTGTTTTTTATTCAATGCATTGGTGATTGGAAAATTTACCCGAAAACAATTAAAGAAAATCGATGAATAAGACCACTAAAAAATTATACTTTCTTTCGCATTAAATGATGTCGTATTTTAGTTTATAGTTTGAGTGTGATTAAAAATCGCCAAGGGGCGCTACTATCGATCAACATGACGAAACTGTTTCTATAGGATATTTTCGCGCGTATAGAGTATGTAAACAGGCATTTATTGGAGCAGTCAAAAAATAGTGATCTGCTTGTTGTGCTCAATTTTCTTGGTGTAACAACCCTCAATAATTTCAAAAACGGACACAGTCGATAAGCGCCAAAACCGTTGACAACGAGCTGTTGTGTGCGCAGAACGCAATATGAAGTAGTAAACATTAAAGACGTATATATAATCAACAATAGTTTTCGTTAATTAGTTTAGTCTTCAAATGGACACAAATGTAAGTTGGGATGCATGAAATTGTAATCAATATGAAAACCGTGATGAAATTGTATCAATACTTACTATTTATTGTTTTTGCCAGAGCTTGCAAAAAGAGTTAGAAGTTTTGCAGAGAATTCACCAGCTGATACGTCAACTACATTCTCTAATTCGTATGTTCAAGTTTGATTTAGAAAAGGTTGCTGATAATTATCATTCTTTGCTCAGTAAGTATCATCAGATTTATTAAATTACTCTGTATTTATGATGCATCATTTTTAATAAATTTTCTAGATGAATAGCTAAATACATCTTTAAATCATCAAAAGTCTTTGGAGCAAAATTTTCTCAAATTTTAAAACATAAACGTGAGTTATGAAAACTTCTGATATATATTTAAATCTTGTGACAATTTTTGTTAGAAATGAACATATCTGTAGATAAAAATTTAATTTTTTTGCTAGGGTAACCATCAACAATCTGTACGATGGCTTTATCAAGAAAAAGTTTAGGAGCAGTACGTTTCAATGAAACATCATTGTCTCCCTCATCTACTGCATCTCCTAGCCGCAAAAGACGATCCATAGCAGCACCAAAAGTTGTTGGATTGATTGAAGAAAATGATGATGAAGCAGAACGGTCAGCCAGGAGACAAGAATTAGGCAGCCCAGTAGCAACGCCTATTAGTAACAATGATCGACGTCAGTCAAACTTTGGTTTGTCAGCAATATCAAATTTAAGTGCTACAGAAATGACAAATCAAATTGCTCAGTGTATAAAGCTCAGTGCAGAGAATAAGATAAATGATAAAAATGCATTTCAATTAAAAATGATTGATTTTTTGCTGTATACTTTAAAAAAACAGGATCCTAATATGACTAATTTACAAATGGCTAGTGTTTCGTTAGATGCAAGTGCTAAAATTTATGGTTTCAGAGTTGACAAAGTGTACTCTGATTTATTAAAAGTTATTGGAATGGTGAAACAAGATAAAAAAGATTATCAAAATGAAAATGATCATGCCGAAGACATAGATCAGCAAGGTTCAAATAAAGGTGAAAATCCTCAAAAAAAAAAGAAAAAGAAAAATCGACAAAATATCATTGCCACTGTAGAATCTTTGAAAGGAAGTGTGGAAACATATGATCCATTATCATTAATAAGATGTCAAAGAGATACTCAAACTTCAGACCTCCTATTTCAAGCTGGTATGCCGCAGCATTCTAATCAAGGAGTAGCTTTAAATCTGTACAATGATGTTATACTTGATAAAATTCCTGAAATATTGTACTCACAAAAGATCACAACAATAAGTATTCATGATTTGGCAAATGATTCAATATGCCCATCATACGATGCATTTAAATTTTTGGATTGGTCTCCTAATGACGAAGTTGAAGAAGCATTATCTCAGCCAGAAGAAAATGATGGTGAATTTCATTTTGACTTAGATGCTGCTGTTCCAGATGATGATGATCAAAATGACTTTGATTTAATGATGGACTGTGGGGATGCATATGAAGATAAATGTGGTAGAATGGCTCATAAAAGTCAAATTGAAAATATAGTTGATTTTCAAGATATTATAGCTAATAATCCCAATCCTAATGCAACTTATGAGTACTCATATGTGCAGAAAAGCTATCGCATACATTGGGCAGGCCCATCACATTGGAAAATAACATTAAATAAAAATCTTGGAGGAAGTAGAGTAGTAGAAACATGTAAACAAAATGCCGCCAAGAGAAAAAAAGAAATTGAATTATCGTACTCATCAGAATCAAAAGAAGAAATTTCACAAAAATTTAAACTTGGTGAAAAACAAACAAAATTATTAACAAAAGCAACAAAACTTGTTTGGTCAGAAGACAAAGTTACATTTCCTCAAGATGTTCATTATGAATTAAAAAGATATTACACTTTTTTTAATAAACCAACAGAACATTTGAAATTTTCTATTGAAGAAAAACAAAAAGAAATGTATTCAAATAATGAAAATGATGACTATGATGGTCATTCTGACCACGATATGTCCAACTTTGCAGCTCCTGAAGATGTAGAACATTTTGCAGAACATCAAGATGATGGGCGTTTTACACAGGATCCTACTTTCACTCAAGAATCTACAGCAATGCCAACACAAGGAGCATTCATGGGAGACAATCTTGTATCTGTTCCCAAGCTTACTGATAAAATCTTCATACCTTATTCTCAGCGAGCTAAAAAAATTGATATGCGTCAACTCAAAAAAGTTATGTGGAAAAATCTTAAAAATAGATCAAAACAGAAAGAAAAAGAAAATTTCAATAGTACTCAAGTAAATGAGAATGACAACTTGGCAAAAGAAATAGAACCAAGAGCATTCAGTGATATGTATATGGAAATGCCTAAATTACTATCTAAATCAAATTCTGATTCACTTAGTCCAGCTATAGCGTTTGTATCGCTTCTTCATTTAGCGAATGAAAAGAATTTAAAGATTGATAGAACTACAGAGCTGACTGATTTAATCATTAAAGGAGCAAAAAGTGACTCTTGAAAATAAGTTGGAATTCAAAAAGTTAGAAATCAAAAAAATTTTCGTTATTTGAATTTCTTGTTAATAGTATAACATAAAAATTTGTGTGTATAACTAATATTCAATCAATTTAATAGATATTTCTCTTCTTTATTTTTATATTAATTGTAGATTTAATTATTTAATATGAGCAAATCGAAAAATCTCTAATAATTGGAATTCTATGTTCATATTTATGTTTAATGTGCACCATATTTAATCTTCAGTTAATCATAGATTTAATTTAATAATTTTCAACTTAGTTTACAATTTTTACCGACCATCATTTGTAATTATAATAAAGTCTATATTTTAAATCATAAAATATAGTTTTATATAATACATTTAAATAAATAATATTTATTTAATACACTTATTGTTATTTAATTGGTTTTTATACTGTTAATTTGATTAAAAAAGATTTTGAAAACTTGACCGAATATAAACTGACTTTTCTATGAAGTAAAAATGTTAAAATTTTTAATCTTATTAGTTGGAGTGTTTTAAATGTCGTGATTTACGAAAATAAAAATTATCAATAATTTCCATAAAGTCAAAATTCACTAAAAAAAGCTTGAATCATTGAGTTTTTTAGCCATTTTTAAATGAACCTTGATTCATTTTTATAAAATTTTCATAAAATATTTGAATAAAGAAATATGTTGTTTGAACATCAAATCGCGAGATTGAATCTTCTACAAACTTAACAAAAAAAAGTGTATGCATTTTTATACGTAAATTATAAATGAATACCGAGGAATTTCTAAAATTTATAGTAAATTTTTATTTATTAATATTATATTAACTTTAGTTGGAATATTATAAATGCGTATACATATTAAAACTGGGCACCTGAAATCATCATCTAAAATATTGGCGGTGAAAAAAAACAAATTATTAGAATTAATTTTCATTTAAAACCCGGTATAAAACAAAAAATTGGTTCTATATCGAATCAACATTGAATTTCACTTTAAAGGTTCAAAATTAGTGTAAACAAAAACCCCGCATCGAACACATGTCATTAGAAACATTTCTAAATCATTTTTCGGGTAGTCCACAGAATTAATTTAATTATTTTTAACGGATTGAATATGTGTGTCGATTTACGTGAATAAATCGAAGTTTTTTTAACAATTCTCTTTAGAATCAATAAAAAACATTTTCATAATTAAAAATTTTTTTTTAAATCCTTAACAGGAATTTTCTTTTATGCGTACACCAGTTTCCGTAAAAGCTTTGAATATATATCGGTCTGAGATGAGAAAAAACTGTACTTTCGGTTGAATTTTCAGAATTTTGATAAAATTATTACACTGTGATAAATGTTAAATTTTGTGAATAAGCCTGTAATGATCAGGAAAGATAAATTTATAAAGTGTCTTTCCTTTAGGAATTTCATCATTCCAATTTCTATTTAATAAAAATCATTTCGTAACAAGGATATTAAAGAGATTTAAAATTACGTTCGCTAATAAAATTCTTGGTTACGATAAAAGTTGTTCACGGCAAATAGTAGCTTTTTCACGTTTCATTCTTTATAATTGAAAAATGTCTATGAATTCAGTAATAATTTTTGTAAAAAATATCGTTGCTAAAATATAATATTTCAGCGATGGAAAGATGAGTATAGGCTTAGCATCGATCGATGATAGAAACAAAAGTTGCAGATGGCCACTTGTGCGAAAATGAAGTAATTTTTATCGAGAGCCCGAGTGCAGGTACTGATTAATATATAGCAGAGTTGGCAGGACGTGCTTTTCTTTGTACAAGTTTGAAACAGGTCTGGTAAAATCTTCATATAAAGGCATCGGCAAGGCAGTGGTAAGCAAGTATACATAATACTTATTATAGCCTTTTACGCGTAGTGGCGTCTATTTCTTCATCAAAAGAATCATCGCGAACGTTTGAGATATCTCAGTTCGGCCGAAAGCAGTTCACGCTTCAACGAGAGAAGCGATTTATCGCCGAGAAGAAAAAAAAACATAAAAATATATATATATGTAGCTAGGCCGTATGGGTAGGCTACAAAAGTAAGAAAGGTAATATGTTTATAAGGGGGAAGAAAGGGAGGAAGGGAGAGGAGGGAGGGAGGAGTTAACAGGCAGGGAACATCAGTAAATGAACAAACGAATAAAAAGAGGGAAAAAAGGCAAGGGCAAAAAGAAGGTAAGGTATGGTCGTGAGCATTCGGCACGAGGGGGCATTCTTTTAGTGGCGTGCAGCAATGTGTTATAAAAATTCCGCCTCGGTCGAGTCTACCGAAGAGAGATGCTGGCTGCACGAGCGGCAAGGAATAAGGATACATCGAGTCCGTTGGCGAAGGCTACGCATTCATACGCGCCTCCTAAGTCGTATTGCGGCGCGCCGATCTAAGCAACGAAAATATATAGGCAAAGCTGCGAGAAGCCCTTGTAGATTTGCACGTTTATGGAGCTCGACAAGGCAGATAACGTATTCGGCAAATGATGGCACCGGCTCCAAATAAAAGGAGAAAAAGAGCCGAAAACGCCAAGAAGCAGCAACTGGCCAGTAAAAAGAGTTGGGACTCGAGGTCACGTACATTTTTTTACCAACACTGCTTGTATATGTATTCTCGGCAATAAAGACCGCAGGCCAATGGACTAAAATTCACGTGTGAGAATGACGGGGGCAGGCACACGGACTTTTGGGCTCTCTCTCTCTCGAGTCGTTCCCTCGTCGCAAGAGGAAAAATAAAAAGCCGAGCGGCAAAAATAAGAGAAAACGCGTTTGCCTCTCTCCCTCCTACCTGGAGCATATACACGCAGACGCGCAAAAAAAGCCTATATCTTTACTATACACTCATTACGAGAAAAATAGCTATACCGAATGTGGCGAGCTGTTGGTCGGCTACACGCCCATGTCTAGAGGAGGCCGAGGCGAGCCGTGGGTGGGTCCGATGGCCGGGCCACGCCCACGAGTCGCTCGCGCGGCCCAAACAGAGTCGTGAGCGTCCCACCCCGTTGGCCTCGTCGACAGCTGCGCGCCCCCCCCCCGTCTGCGATTCGTATTAAGAAATGCGAATTGCGCCGATGCCCTAAAGCCTTTCTGCTTGATATACTGTTGATTTTGCTGCAATTCGTGCTTCGAACAATGCACTGGCCTGCAAAACACGCGACGATCCAAGCTTCCTTTAAAGTCCCGATTAATCCGCGCTTATTCAAACTTTCGACGCGTTTCAATTAATTCAACAGAATATAAACACGTCAACGTTTGTTTTTCCCACTCTGCGGCTGCCACTACATAACTTTTTAGTTTTTTTCGTTCTTTTTTTGTGGCTAAATTTCTTTCGAGTAAATATCCGAAAAAACGACTGCACTAGGACAAAATAACAATTGGAATATATATTCATTATTACAAGTTGGAAAAGAGAATCATATCGAAGCGATGCGTTTTGCATTAAATCACGTTTATGGAAAAAAGCAAAAGAATTATTTGGTGGCTAGAACGGATTGGAAGGGAGGGCGCAGAATCGTTGGGCAATTCGTTATATGGCTTCTTATCCATTATCATAAAGTTTACATACGTAGGGTAAAGAAGAGATATCAAAAGAAAGGTATACGAAATTGCCGGAGTCGCTTAGACGAGCCGAGAGGAGTAGGAGGAAGAGGAGTCGGAGTAGCGAGGGGGGATTTTTCTTAGGCTGGCCACAAGGTGGCTGGCCTCGTATCGTAAAAGAGAGCCCGAAGGTGCGAGCGAGATGCAATTATGCACGGGGCAAGGGTGGGAGTCCTGCATAAATTGCCTGGGCGGAGCGTATCGCTCGGCAGGCTAATAAAGATACAATCGGCCAAGTAGGAGCTCGAAAGGGACAGCGTCATAGGAGGAACTCGAAAGGAGCAAGACTGCAGCTCGCAGCTCGAAAGAAGTGGAAAGAAAAAGATGGTCCGAGAGAGAGAGAATAGAGTAGAGAGAGAGAAAGGTGGAGGTGGCAAGCGAGCACAGGAGGGGGAGAGCATCTTTCGGCCGCAGAAGCGAGCAAGAAGCGACGGCCTGCCTAGTTTAGATCTCAACGAGCGACGGATGGTCGAGCAGACGCTCCGGTCGCGCATTCGCTACGCAGCTCCTTTTTCTGCGCTCCAAATCGACAGCCAGGAAATCGTCGGAAAAACTGGCCAGTTCCGCTCGGATGAGTTGCTCGTGCGCCGCCGATCCGGTGTCTTTGTGCGCTGCTGCGAGACGCCTTTGACTTTGTCCTTCGGTGTGTTGTGCAGTGTGTTTTAGCTGGAAAATCAGTGCCGCTGATCGTTGTTCGTGCGTTAAAAATGAGCCTCGGCGTGGCGTCGTCCCTCGAGTCGGTGCGTTGTCAGTTGAGCAGCCACTTGAGCCACGTCATGGCTCAGCAGAGTCACTTGCGCCTCGAGGCCTTCGGCTCGGCCAGTTCCAACGACCGAGCGAAAAACGAAAAAAGCAGCAGCAGCCAACGCTCGTCCTCGCCCCTGGCCGCGCTGCGCTTCAGCGTTTACAATATCCTGCGGCCCGAGTTCGGACGCGATGCCATCCTCAAGACGCGGCCCGACGCAAAGTCTTCGCCTTTGAAAGCCGCCGGGGACGTCTGCCGGGGACGACTGTCGCCCCAACGCTCCGACGGCCGAGGCTCGCCCTTCAACTTGCCCGTCCTGCACTCGTCGCACTCGTCGTCCAACTTGAGCCGCAGCGGCAGCCTCGAGAGTCTCGCGAGCAGCAAAAGCTCCGTAACGGGCGCATCGGTCTGCGGCTCGTCGGCCTCGACGACCGGCTCCGAGTCCGGAGGCTCCGATAACGCCAGCAGCAACGGGGGACAGCAGAGCCTCTGGCCGGCTTGGATCTACTGCACTCGCTATTCCGATCGACCCTCCTCAGGTAGGCCTAGTCGCAATTTTCTTATAAGCTCTTATATAACGTGGCCGATCTAACGAGAGCATTGATTCCTTTACAGGCCCGAGATCCAGAAGACTGAAACGTCCCAGTGGCGGGGAAAAAGCGAGGAGCGCCTCGAGCGAGGAGAAGAGGCCGCGAACGGCCTTCAGCGCGGAGCAGTTGGCCAAGCTCAAGATCGAGTTCGCCGAGAACAAGTACCTGACCGAGCAGCGCCGCCAGAAGCTCTCGAGGGACCTCGGCCTCAACGAGCAGCAGATCAAGATCTGGTTCCAGAACAAGCGGGCCAAGAACAAAAAGGCCAGTGGCCACAAAAATCCCTTGGCCCTTCAGCTCATGGCCCAGGGCTTGTACAATCACTCGACGGTGCCGGTCGACGACGACGGCCAAGAGATACTCTTCCCTCGAGACTCTTAGTCTCCGAGCTAATAATCCTGTAAATACAGTCGCTTCGATCCATCGCTACCGACTTTTCGTACTGTTCATCCAATGACAGTCCAATTGTTACCCTTATCTATTCAAACTCGACTGGCAAGTCGTACAATTTTAAATATTGACACGCCTACGCGAATGTAGCTCGACTTTCCTTGTAAATACTTGTACATTATCAATGTGACATACTCTTTATGTTTGTAAGATATCTTAATCACCGTCTCATGTCTCTCTCACGCACCGAAAAATTCTTCTCGCGTCTCCTTGATATATCGGCGACGAATCCATTCCATATTCCATGTAGAAATAATTTAGACAAAAATTATACTTAATTTAAGATGTAAATTGAGCAACTGCTCGAGTCTACTTCTAGTTGTTGAGTAATTATTTATTACTGCATAAGTATTACATAACTATTAAGTATTTACAAAAAATTGTAAAAAAACGAAAAACTATATTTTATATACATAATATGAAAATGATCTCGAATATAGAAAATAAAACAATTGTTTTCAAAAATATCCAAAGCAACTTTTACTTAATTACTGCTTCGCTCCCTTTGTACTTTGATATATCAACGCCAATAAAACACTTTCACGTGGTGAATCACACGTTGTTGCGAATAACATTATCGTTTGTATATATATTACACCTGTGAAATAATGTATTCGATAATAATTTCGTGACGGACCAAGGCATTAATTCTAGAAAAGTATACTCTTTACGGACTATGAGCGTCGAAAGCGTGACTCAATGAGAAACGCGTTACAGGTGTATACAATCCGAGTGATTAGTATCCAAATTTCTTGCCGGCTTTTTATTTGACATTTTTATGACTGAATACTAAATTGCTTAAATAATTTGCTCAAGTATTGACTATCCAGGGATGACTCACTGAACGTCTCAATACATCAGTACCTCTGCGGTTTCGCATTTGATCCAATCCATCGGATAAAGCTAATTTTTTTAATCATCGCGAATAAAATATTTCCTAAACTTTAATTTCGCCACTGGAATGTAAACTTAATTTGTAATTTATCTACAGCTCTAATGGCAGCGAACATTTCTTGCAATCAAGATTTTTCAGCCCCCTTTTTTTTATTTCTGTGGTATCTTTTTTTAAAACATTTTTTCGGGATCATCCTTTTATTATTTTAATTTATATTATATCGGAAATTCTTCCAAAACATTCTTTATGAGATATATATTGTTTATTTATTAATTTGAACTAATTACTGCAGTTGTAAGAAATACTTTTTTGGTACTATAATTTAAAATTTTTACTTTTTTAAAGAATTATATGAAATAGGTTAATGAGACACTTGAAAAAAAACATTATAACTATGTAAATCAGTCAGTCAGTCAGATAAAGTAAATGATAACTTGAATGATATAACTTGGGACACAATCAATCTCTCGAAGAGACATTCTGACGACACTATGCATTACAAATTCACCTAAATTATTTTAATTATTTTAGGTAATATAAGATGATAATGTTCTTTATGACAGAAATGATCCAGAATTTTGAGTCTCCCAAATGTCTTTTGCAGAAAGTATAATATTGCAATTTTTCTGTGAATTTAGACAAACTAGCTGATAGTGTCTATGATGCTTTTTCTGAAATTAAACGGATTGTAAATGCTCACATTAGAATGTTAAGATTCACGTCCGCAACATATTCTTAACAAAGAGTCTTAAGTCAGAAACATATTGTTTTTGACATCAGTGACGAAAAAAGCTCAGAAACTTGCCTCATCTATCTTAAAAAAAGTTTGCATAGTAATCTAGACTCAATTTTTCAAACGATGATTTTAAAAAGTGCCAATTAACTTTTTCTGCTGCTACTGTTGCCACGACTAACTGTTTGTCAGTAATAACGCGAGTACATGAATCATAAGCGTTGTGAGTTTAATACTTCGTCAATAATTTGAAATAATTTTACGCCAAAGTTGGAAAAAGTATGTTCTTTTATGTAAATACATTTTTTTTATCTTAAAAATACGTTTTCTTAGTGTCGTTCACTGGGAACTTTACAGACTTAGAAACTATATTATTTCAGGATATGTTATTATTTTTGCAATTATTTTAATGAAAGTGATAGAAAAATACTTACATTATGTAAGTTACATACAATCAAGTAACATATGCGTTATTGGGTAAATACATGAACGATTTCGTACTTTCATTGGCATAATTGAATTCATCACTCACATTCTTTTATTTTCCACACTTTCAGATAATAGCAACTGTTTAGATAGAGTTCATGGTAGATTTGTTGCTCATCTGTTGTTATTTAATAATGTCTTGAACGAGTTAAACAAGCTTGAGTACAAAAAAACATTGTCATTCTTCTAGGGCAAAAAGCTATTTGTTAATAAAATTAACAATTCTCTATAATGCCTTTAGTTATACAATCAATCATTAAAAATATTACGGCTTGTTAAAGCTGTATCTTCTTCTCTACCGTCGCGTCAACAAATAAATAATTAAGAAATTACAAAAAAAGTCACCCGATGGTTCACTTGTCACACTAGATGGTCGTAGAAGTTACGTATATTAAAATAGAAATTACAAAAATTAAAATATCTGTCAACTTTTAGCTGCCTCCTATCAGGAACCGATGAATAAATGTATAAATTCAATTTTTGTAATTTCTTAATTTTTTATTTGTTAATGCGGTGTTAGATAAGAAGGTACTTACAGCCTTACACAGCCGTAATATTTTTAATTGACTGGTTAATGATTTGACAAATTAAAAGTGCTAAATTCTGCGTTTGTCTCTGGAGATGTCAAGCATAATATGAAAATCTGACCCAATCTACCGGTCTATTGAATCAGAATAAGAAATCAGAGTCAAGTAAACCCTTTAAATATTATTATCATTGAAGATAAGTACATTAGAAAAAAATCCCAGAGTAATTGTTGGGTAGAAATTGTCAGGTCAAGTAATTTAATGATGAAGAAAAGGTGCCGTTTGTGTCGGATGAAATGTGAGCGAAATATTATTTTGACTGGAAAAATGTGTGCGAGCATAAGATTCGAGTAAATACTTGGCGATAAAATTTTCATCGGCTGAAATGAAACTGCGTTTGGCTATCCGTAACAATTTAAGTTTAATGAACGTCGAGGAAGTTAGCTCGGGGCCAAACTAGCGAACATTAATTACGCAGTCGTTGTCAGGGTCGTTATATTTAACTATAAACGAGTGGGCGAACGGAGCTTAATTGCTGTATGAATAACTACAGGACAAAGAGGGTATGTGTGAGTATGTAGGTGAATAATGAGGCCGTAGTGGTTGAGTTGGGCACATTGGCTTGGCGAGGAATAGTCCGCAACTGCATAGTCAGACCCTCCAATGGTCACGGCAACAGCTATTAGGGGTCGCATGTAGTGCTTCCAGTGGCTTGCTAAATTTTCTACTCTCCACACCTTGTGCGCGCTCATCTCAGCCGCATATTTGCTTCTACGATTTATGCGTGTAGCCAGTGGTGCGCGGATAATTCAGCGTAATTTGTAGCAATTTATGCCACTTGCATTTTGCCCGATTACTTTTTGCCAGCTGAAATCCTGTGCATCTGGAAGGAAATCAATTTTTCTTTCGACTTCTGTAGAGCAAAGTCAGATCGGAAAATACGCTCTGGATCAATCGATTACTTTTTATTTATATAAAGTACTATTTTGACAAGGCTGTTTAGTGTGAAAGGAGCGATACACAAAAGCATAAAGAAGTCGCTTGCGCGTATAGGGCGCAACCGTAAAGGCAACAGGTATAAGAGCAGAGCTGCTGAAGCGCATCGAAGCATCTTTGAAATTTGTAAGATTCCATAAACTGAAAAAAAAATCGCTTGGCATTTGACTCTAGCCGAGGTAGAAAAAAAAATCGCGCGCCTCAATAAAAAAAAAAGAGCGGCAAGCCACAATAGTTTCGGCAAGACGAAAGCTGTATTCAGTATTTTATTATACCGAATATACGGTGCGACCAGTACATTGAGGTATTAAAATTGAGCTTCCAATCAAACAAGATCTCACGAAAATAAACATTCATTTTTTGAACCTGATCATTCAAAGTATAAACTTTTGTCCCAAGACAGAAAGAAATTAATTTCATTTGGATAAATCATGAAATAAAGCATAATTTTTTATCACAATTCTATTAGATAATTCATCGATTTCGACGAGTAGATTCTACTAATTCAATCACAGAGAGAGAGAGTAGGTTATTTGAAAAAGTACGAGTTTACAAAAAAGAAAACGTCTCGAATAGTCTGCGTATAAAAAGCTAAAAAGTGTCGTAATCAGCGCCATCGCATCGCGTTTAATCAAATTTATTAAATCTCGCGTGCAAAGATTTATTCGAGCGGCTGTTGAGTTTGTAGTCTAATATGCGAAAAATGAAAATTTAAAATTTAAAAGAGTTACGCGTGGCAGTAGGCATAAAAGATGTCCGATCACAGCTTGATTTTGCGCGTACAAGTTGGCCGAAACGTGGCCACGAGTGTGCGTGTGTATAACGAGCCTGCATACATAAACTTCAAAGAATACGATGACAAATGAACAGGCAAAACATATGCGTCATTTACTCGAGCGGCCGTAAGGGATATTATTGCGGCGCGAAAATAAGCATTACATCGAAAAGGCGATATTCGGATCCGCAGCAAGAGACAAGCGAAAGTACGAGAGCAAAAGGTAAATTTAGATTCGCGAGTATTATCGCGAAGCTCTGATTGCAGCCCTTTCAAGCTTTACAGCTGACTTTTACTGTGTCGGCGCAACGATGTGCGTTGAAAAGTTGAGTATACAGAAGTAGAGCGAGTGCACCAGTGCTCTCGCGTTCGAAAGAGTCGCAATTTTTCCGCAATCGTCGTTACTCGTGTGACGGATGCAAACGAAGCAGTTGCAAATTATCCTAAGAGCAAGTTGACCAAAAGGCAAGCCAAGGTGATAAGTTGAAAGAGGTTTAGTTTTTATCCGTTCCCATAGCTATCGATACTTGTAAAGGCCAGCTGAATTGGAGGAGCTGGAAAGACGATCCGCGCAGTTGCAGCTGCGATCGCACAATATCATGTATAGACGAGCGGCCGGTATCCGGGATCACTGCTTAAGGATATTAAATGTGCGCGCGGGGATATTTTACGCCGTCGCAGGTATGTATCCAAGTCGGTCGGGAAAAGTCGGTTCGTCATTATTCGGCTCGATGCAAAGGCGGAGAAATTGTAATAGAATGGAAGAGTCGCGCGAGTAGTCCGAGATCGTCGTTGGCGGCAGCGAGCAAAAAGAAAA